CGGTTATCAAAGGCTTATTATAAGCTGGCTTTCCCTATAATTTTCCTCTCCACTCTCCAGTGATGTATACCCACATTGTCGACAGTAGATACTTTCACGTGTATTCCATGAACTTTGATCACGTATTCGTTTATCTTGGTATTTCAGTCATATTTTATTTGGTCTTAACAATTTTGCGCTGGTATTAATAGTTTGTGTTGGTCTTAATAAATTTGAGTTAGACCTAAAAATACTGTGTTGGTTTTAAAAATTTGTGCTGGGCTAAATTATTTTGTGTTGAGCTTATTAATGTGTGTTGAGCCTAATTATTTTGTGTTGGCTTTAATAATTTTCGTTAGGCCAGTTACTTGTTTTCTTTGTCGTACAGCAAAATTGAAAAATAAAGGAAAAAATTTCGAATATAAAGGACATTTTGAGATTGCAGAATACGAACTAATAAAAGGCGCTATATAATCATCATTTTCGACCTTATTTCAAAGCCATCCTAATTTACATTTATTTTCTTAAATTTTGTGTTGTAAAGTGTATTACATATGTTATTTAGCTAGGTTTTAATTAAAAATCAATTGCGATAAAAATTAGAAAATATTTCGAGTGTATTATATGTACGCTTCATGATTTTTCCTTCGTTGTGTAGCATTGTCTGTACGTTTTTGATATTTTTAAGTTTAAAATCATATATGATAATACTATTTCATAATATATAAAAGAATAAAGTCGAACAGTCGATGAGCTGTGTTATTAAATAACTTTGTCTGTAGCTTAATCCACCACTCACTTTGGTTTATATTCTTGCCTTAACATCTTACAATGTTAAAACCCAAGAAAAATTACGGGAAAAAGTATGATAGAGTTGATGGGACAAAATTTAACTCCTGAACCATCAAAATATACAGTTTGTGTTTTTAACATTTTACTTCCCTATCGTTCTTAAGTCCTTCAAGTTTTAGATGCTCGATCTAAATGCTGGGTGCTACCAAACGAATCTGTCGTAGATTATCTCTCTCTCCAGAGAACTGATTCATATAGCTTCAAACAGTGCTAAAATGCACGAAATTTATTCGCCGTTATGGTTTAAGCTCAATGCAATATTTCAATTCATGTTCGATCATACAGGTAATTCTTACAGATCATGGGCCTTTGCATGCGTGATGTCTTATACGTGTGAATCAAACCCAACAATTTAAAAAATTCTTTGTAGCTGCAATTGAATAATCAAAAATTCAAAATTGCTCATAAAATTACAAAAATGAGACAAGTGGGTTTAGCGTTTTGCGTTGGTTGGATGAAAAAATTTATTCATTCGTCTATTACGTCTAAAGTTGAAAGAAAATTCTACAAGAACTGCCAATAAATGCTCTTATTTAAGTCATAACATAATGTGTTACCTACATCATGCAGTAGCAAATTTTGAACCCTTTTTTCATTTTAACATCACAAACTGAATTAAAGAATAAATAAGTTTGAGACATCCAGAGTGATTTTTATATTGATATACATTAATTACATGCTCTATAAATGCATCAAATTCTACTACTGTCTTCCTTAGATTACAAAATTTTATATTCAACTTACTATATTGTAAAAGTTTGATTGGGTGTTAAGACACTACCAGTTAGGTCCAAAACATTAATACGCTGTACTAGAATTCTTGAAACGAATAAATGCTTGAAATTCAATACTGCAACAATTAATATACTCCGCACAAAAAGAATCAGTCCAAATATTAATCTTATTGCCAATTTTGCTTAGAGTGACATATATTGTGCTACGAAAAGCTTCTATGAATCATAACTTTTATTTTAGTAAACATCGTGTGGAATACCGTTTGTGCAAACAGAATATAGTTTGTCATTGTCGCTATTCTTCATTCCACTCAATTAAACAAAGCACTTGAAATTCTCCTGTAATCAAAGAGCACAAAAAAGTGGATAAGAAAATATAAGCAAACAGCGTGCGGGGAAAGGCTTAGTTTAGTTTCACACAATTCTGTCCTATAAGCTTTAAATATTTGTTGAGTATCCGCGAATTCTAAGATAAGCAAGCTATCAATAATAATAGAGCTTGTTGTACAATAACATACAAGTGGCAATATTACAGCCGATTACTCATATCTTATTGAATTACACATTTGTTATTACAATCTTATAGTTTAAGTTGTTTGTCATGAAACGAAGTCAGCTCTCAAAAGGTCTGTATTAAATCAAAATGAAGTTAACTTATTTCTTAATTGTTTTATTAGTTTCATAGCGTTTGAACAAAGGTTTTTATTACGCCAAAATATCACTAAGCAGTTAGTTGTGCTGTTAATACACTAAAATGTTTTCATCCAAACATAGCTGACAAGTAGTGCAGTCTCTTTTTTAAGTGCCCAGATGATAAAACTTATGATTGATGGCATATAACAAATGGAGACACAAGCTACCAGAAGAAGACATGTTGATACGGATCTAAGAGACAACTTTTTCTTTTTTAAAAGCTGATCATGATTTTGCGATCTTTTAGCGTTCTTTTTGCGATACTTCTTTGAGATAATATGGAGCTTCGTGTTGACGTAGAGAAATGGGAAAATAAACAGTAAAAAGAAGAGTACTGCCGTGGCTAAATTATGCTCTGTTAAATAAAGCAGAAATATAATGACGGAAATAGAAAGAAGAAAAAATGCAACTTAATGACCAATGTCTTCGTCACTTTTGTGCGGTGGAATATTGGATGAAAAATTGCCAAATATCGTTCAATGCTAACGAGTAACAAGGTAAACAAAGAGAAGAGGAGAAAACAATTAAAATATTGAGTAATAAAGCGCACTTTAGATAGTGATTTGTTTTCACTAATCCAAAATATCGATTCTGTGATCAAAACTGGAGAATTTGTTGCTACCGTCAGCAGATTGACGTAGGATAGCAAACAAATTGTGAAGTCAAAAACTTTCATTCGAAGATGCTGTGACTTTAACCAACATAAAACCACAAGAAAGTTCAAAATAAACCCGCCAATAAGAACGATAACGTTGATCGCTAGTACTATAGCCAATTGTATAAAGACTTTGACGTCCATTTCATATATCGGATGTTGAAAGATGCACAACTACTCTCAGACAGATATTGTCGAGTATTTAATGGCATGTTTATTTATTCATAATTGCCTAAGGCTGAAACATTCAATCAAGCCATTTCGAAAATCATTACTCTTCCTCTACCAAAATTTTTTAAGACATTTCTTCATATCATAGAAATAAAAATGGCAATTTTGTACGTATATTTTTGTAAATTTTTTGTTGTTATAAGTATATCACATATGTTAATTTGTTTTATTAAAATAGCAATTACGACAACAAATACCAAAAATTATACGTAAATAAGCAATTCCAGTCGCTTTCTTGCGTTTTACAAGGTTTTAAGAAATTTCTATAGCATATGCTAGAGCCATTGGATAAATATTTTGATTTTTTAAAGTGTTTTTGATTTCTAAAATGATTTTTAATTAGTCTACTGATCTCAATTACTTAAGTCTCTTTACGAAATGTGTTGAAAGCAAAATAACACATTAAGACTCTCAAAAATATAAATTATCATATGCTTTGATTACAGATATCGTTTGTTCTAAGTACATTTTTAATTAATTATACCTTTTTTTTTGGTTTTCTACCGAAATTCATTGCTTTCATAAAAAATATAATCTTGACCATCTAAAGTTGAAAAAAAAAACTCTAAAATAAATGCAAATGCTCTTAAGTAAGTCATAAAGCACGATAAAACACACCTGCTTCTTTTATTAAAGAAATCAACTAGAATGGGCCATGATCCCGGCATTTGAAGGATCTTGCCTGTTTTTAACGGACATATTCTATGTAAATATCTAGCACTTCAGTAATCTGTAAATATTGAAGTATATTGTGTCCGTTTGTCTTGAAGAACCATTTAGCATTAAACAAGCTTCTAAAAAGTGGCTTCTAAAACTTTTTCTAAATGATAAATGTAAAAAGGAAATATAAGGATAAAACGTTTGCAAAGAATGGATAGCTGATTTAGAAAGTTTTAAGTTTTCTATTGAGGAAAAATCTTTTTGGCTGAAACCATAGGCTTACATATAGTACAACATAATTGGTATCGTTGGCAAGAAAAAGGATAATTTTGACTATTTTTCTATTGGACGTAAACCAACGACGGGAAAGAAAGCGTTCATATAGGAGATAATGTTGATGAAGCAGATAATGCTAATGAAAAATTATGTTAATGAAAGAAATATGCTAATGGGTTATGTTAATGAAAAGATAGTTTTGTTGAAGCTCATAATATCGATGAACAAAGAGAAGAAAAATTCTTCACTTTTTTCATCAACCTTAACATCAATTTTCTTAGTTATACCAAACAAAAAAGACGTCATTTTTCTGAACGAAAAATGATAAATTTCCGGAATTTTCCAAGGCCAGTGTAATATGCAAATTTAAATGTCCTGGTTGTTGCCCAGCAACGGCAAAACAGAACGAAACCTACACACATAACTAATCTAACATGCCACTAATCACAACAATTCTAGTGCCTATATCTCAGCATCTACTCAACTGATTCAGATGATGCCATCTTCACTATAACATATGATAAAGGTTTATTGTTGTAATATCATACAATGATGTTGTATATAAATATGACTAAATTAAAATTAAAATTATAACGACAATGAGAAAATGAGGTGAATTAATGAGGATTTTATTTAGAAACAATATATTGTCAAACAGTGGGCCATAAACGTTACGCTCAGGGTTAGTTGATAAGCTGCTTGTTTGATTTATAGTAGAATGCAGTGACTCCAGTGTCAATGATTTTGAAACAGGAGGATGAATAGTTAGCTTTATGTGAATGCGATTTAAGAAGGAGTTGGTATAACACCTAAACGAATAAACCTAATGAAACATCTACGAAGGCTTCCGTTTAAGCAACTTGCTCAAAAGAAACGAATATGACTTGCTGTTTTTAAATTATAAATGCATTCTTTGTTTTGCACGCTCGTTACTAGCAAAACAAGCTCCATAGGTATACAGAGCTTAAACTGGAAGGCGATTAAGAAGAAAACACTAAATCAAATAAAACACAAGTTAGTATGTGCTACATATAACTAATTTTGCCATAAAGTCTTTCATTGCAGTGATGTTTTTATAGATATGGATATATAAAATTTTATCTCTCCATTCAGACACATGCGAATGCGATGCCTAAACGTGAATCACTGATTTTTTTCCCTCCAGATTAGTCCCCAAAATACTTTATCGATCCAATGCCAAAGATTGCTATGTGATTATTTTTTTCCAATATTTTATTGTATTAAATAGTAAGTGCGTTTTGCTTCAAATTTGCATCTATATTCAGTTATTTACACCAATTTAACTGAATTGGTCTCCCATCATCAAAATCTTTACAATAAAAAGGGTTTAAATTTGCCTCGTCAATTCGATGCCGTTACTATAACCTTTTTGACGTCAAAGACACTATATGTTTCAATTTGATAAAACACGCAATAAAGTGACTATACGATCTGTTGCTTCATTGTGAATTTCATCCTGTATATGAAACTGTTTACAAAAAAATACACAGCCGGCATAAATCAATTCGCTGTACGCATATAAGTGAAATAAAATGGACACGCGGTTATAGAATTATTTGTTCTGCATCAAAAATACAACGATTTTAAGGAAGGGGTTCAATAAATCACAGAGAATATATTCTCAAAAGAACACTATGTGTGATATTAAATGATGTTCATGCAATTATTGCAATTATTTGTTTTTGTTTTGCACAACTACTTGATATTGCATGAGTAATTGTTCGAAGTCATATATATGACGCATTAGCATGAACTTGCTGAATTAAACTTCTCGTTCTTCAGTAATGGGGGAGCAAGGAGAAAGTGATATTTCGCTTCGTAAACGTATATGATGTTTTGAAAAAGGCGCGGATTCATACCGATGTTTTAAAAAGACAAAACATTTGATTAAGCATTCATAAATCATAAGGAATGTTTTAACACAGCGGCGGATCTAGGAGAGGTCAAAATAAATTATAGAAGCTCATTTTAAATTTAAGACTTTTTAAACAATGCTGTTGGTTAAAAATTTCTGAAGAATATTTAATAATAAAAAGCATTCTTTAATAGAAATATATTTTCAGTATTATATTTTGACGGACCCTGAATCTGCTACTCTTATAGCACATAAGGTTCAACCATCAGGTTATCAAACAAATCAAATTGACATCAACTTAAGATAAGTCACACAGCATACTCTATGTGCGTTATGACTTACGGGTTATCTTGAAGCTTCAAACTTTCAGAATTGATTAATTTTTTATCAGATATATTTATATTGTACTGTCACTGTAAAATTGTACAAATACTTGTGATTGATGATTCAGATTTATTCAAACTTTCATAAAACTAATAGGATTTGCGTGATGTATTGATTTTTATCTTATAAAAATATTACTAAAATTTTTTTAATTTATAAGGTTTTCTTTTGTCAAAAACAGACTAATAGTACACTTAATTGTTTTTGCGTTCTTTATTCGTCAAGAAATAAGAAGTAAAGATGTAATCAGGCTAATCAGCTAATGTGCTTTATCAATGCAAGCGAATTCCTTGTTTAACTTTGTGTAGTTTAAAGGTTTTCACGTATTTAATATATGATAAATTAAATGCGATATGTCAATATTTGCCTCTAAATTGAAATGAATTAAAGTATGCGATTTTTTTACCTAGAGTTAGCTATTCATAGCCTAACAAAGTTGACATTTTCTTTTTTAGACATGGTTTTACTGAAATCTTTCGCATTAACGGCACTCCTGTTGCATTTAACAATGTCAACATCAACTGCACTCTCCTATGACGTCAAAGGATGTTTTTCATCCCTTCAGGGAAGAATTACCATCAGAAACTTTGGACGCTACAATTCCAACTACAAATGTCAATTTTGGTGCAAATCTCAGGGATTCATAATTGCAGCAGCAAAAGGAAATCTGTGCTCTTGTGGAAATGTCTATCCTGAAGGGAAAAACGTCAATGATTCTTTCTGCAAAACTTCATGCCGATCATGGTCGACTTGTCACAGTCCTAGAAGTTGCTGTGGTGGTCGTAATGCGTATTCTGTTGGCGTTGTTGGAGACGTTGATGTGGCAAAACATGTTCTTCAAAGATTGGCTATGAAATGGCAGAATAACGATGCTTATAGAACAGATATGGAAGGTCTCGTTCAAAAGCCTACTCGTCAACATCATTACGATAACTGGGGAAGAAGTTTTGATTCAAAAGGATGGTCAACATGTGAACATGGAAGATACATGACTGGAATGTACAGAAATAAACTGACCAATTCTGATCCAATCTATCTAATAGAAGAAGTAGACTGTTATGATGCTCCTGGATATCTATATTCCTCTTCAAAAGATCGCGATTGTTATCATCATGATTGGGGTGTAAAATTTGACAGGAGGGGTTGGGTGTATTGTAATAATGGGTACTACATGGCTGGACTCTACAGATCATCTGGACATAAATTGTACAATATTGAAAAAGCTTTATGCTGTCGGCCTAAAACTCAAGTAAAACAGTGGGGACACTGCCAGCGAAAGGACGTAGGACGATCGTTTGACAATAGAGGATGGAATCGTTGTCCATCAAATTATTACATGACTGGTTTGTATAGAAGTACATGTAATAAATTGTACTGCTTGGAAGAGTTTTACTGCTGTAAAATGGGTAAATACGTTGGCCCAACGCTGGTGGTAAGATTGAAAGATAAAAAAGGGAACTTAAAAAAATGCTCTATGAATCCAATGGACAAATCACAGACAGCCAGCACTTTTAAATGCACAACTTTATTAAAAAATTTGAATTCCAAAATTTTGATTTTAAACGCAAAGAAGTTGATCCTCAATGATGATGAAAAACCATTCAAAAGTTTGAAACTTTATCCAATTGCGAATTTTCGTCCTGTTGTTTGCTCAGAATTTAAAACCAGATATGTTTGTACAAGAAAACTTTCAGCATTTGTTTCTGAATCATCTACCTTAACCACGACTATGGGAATTTCTTCAGCTATAACATTAGGCTCAAATTTGGAGGTGTCTGGAGAAGGATCTCTACTGCCAGAGATAAAAAATATATTTTCCACACAAATAAGTAAATCAGGTTCTTTAAGTACGGGAGATACAAAAACAACAACAAAAACAATAACTGATACAATTGACGTCATAGTCCACGTTCCACCAAAGAAGGAAATCTCAATTAATCTCATAAAATCTGTTCAGGATCTAACATACCATTGGAAAACAGAGTTTGAACTTGATGGATGGTATTCCATCGAGTGGAACAAGTCTGATCTTGAATCATTTCAAGCAGTGAATGCTGTATTATCAGGCCCCAAAGAAAGAATAAGTGCATTTGGTACTTGGAATTATCCACGCATTGGTTTCATTAAAGTGGTGATCAGTGATAGTAATGGGAAAAAGAAAAACGTTGTCTGTGTACACAAACTAGGCAAAGGAAAGAAGTGTCAGTTATGAGAAAGATGTTTATTTTTTATACTTTTTACTTCTTTTTACAAAATTAGAATAAACATTAGCCTTACATTAGTTTAGCAAATGAGACATTTGATAGAATGAAAGAACAAAGGGTTTGTAAATTTGCCTATGAAGTATATTTCAAATACCTGTTTCATGACATAGCCACGAAATATCAGCATTCACATATGAAATTATCTTAACGTTGATTGATTTTTATTTTTACAATACTCTTGGTCAATACTAAATATGTTTATCTCGCTTAATTAAGACATACACTTTTACGTCAACTGGAATAACAGAAAAAATTAAGTCATCCTCCTGGGGGATATGATCAAGGCGTACGTCTGGTGCACGAGCTGGGGGAGCAGGGGGGCGGTCCCTCAAAATATTGACGAATATAGCATTGATTAAACTATGGAGGTCGTTAGGCTCTCGATTTGGAAGTCTGAATTTCCAGATTTTGTGGGCACAGTTTCAAGGCTCTTCCAACAGTGAAAATGGAAAGTTCCACAATTAGAAACCACGCAGTCAGATGGACTGAAACTACAAGGTTACGATACTAAATTTTGAACTACAAAGACTATATAAACCCCTAAAAACAGAACATAGCTACTTATTCCATACACTGTGAGTGAGTTCATTTTGCATGCATCAGTTATCTCCATGCCATAACATTGCAAGAGGTTTGACTCAGTTGACTGCACTCAACTGCGTTGAGATGTTCGAAGATTCGCCGCTCTCCCTCCCTATTCCCACCCCCACCACACCAATATGATGATGAAAAGCCGTAGCCATGGAACTAGAATTCTTAATGTCACAAGTTGAAACGAAACATTACAGTGCTAGAGTTCGATCAATATACCTTTTTTGTATGACTATTGTTAAACAAGCGGTGTGTATACATCATACAAAAATGTGAAAGTCAAGTTTCTCCTTCCTCGATTGCATAAGTGCCGTGAGACGATATTCAATAACTAAAAGTATATTCTTTTAGAAATACATCAGTGATCTGAAATAATTTTCAAATCTGTAAGAATAATCTCTCCTTATTCATTGAAATGACGAAAGTTATATTAATGAAAACTGTTGCGTAATTATTTAGGCGATGTAATTATTTAAATCTGTCTATTTTTATCAGCCTTGTCGGTGTATTTTATTAGTACAGTCACAAAGACAAATGTTCATCAAGTTTAAAAAGCGTAAAATTTTTGCCAAAGCTTCGTTCGGAGCAATTCACTGAACTAAACCCTGGAAAATGATATTTGTTACAACGTCAGCAATTGCACTATATATGATTGCGGCCTGGGAGCCTTATTTATAATCAAATGAAAATTCTAATTTTTTTCTCCAATATTCTCCGTGATATGAAAGTTTTAGTTCAAGAGCAGTGACTCGACAGTAATTTTTTGAGTAGCTAATTAAACCAAAATAAACTCTCGCTATCGTCATTGAAACGATTGGCGCGACCGGCACGGTAGAGACTGTTTGGACTTTTAAGGTAGAACGTGGAGTGAATGTTTAGCTAACATACCTTATCGTTAAGAAACAGTGACTTACACAGAGCAATTTAAAATTTTTATCTTCTCAGTTTAGTAAAAAAGTCACTATCACAAAAATACGTACGATAACATTCCATTCAATTTGTCAACACACTGTAAATAACTCATCGGGGGTAAACTTTTAAAAATTCCCCCAGAATAAAATGAGCTTTACAGGTTAACTGTAACTGAAACAAACCTCAAATTGAACATTTAAATGCAAAATTTACTATTAACAAGATGCGTATAAGCAGCTGAGATCTCATGATTAAAATTGCTTTTCTTTGTAATTGAAATTCAACCACACATTAACATGTTACTATGGAATTGTAAACAAATAAGATTCAAGTTGTCTCTCAGTCAACGTTTTGTAGAAACATATCGTTGTCAGTAAAGAAATGTTTTCATTAAATATATTAAGAAGGCGCCATGAAGAAGTCGAAACGGTAACAAAAAGGAAATGTTGATACACACTCACACTGCAATTTCACGGTTAATAACAATTGCGTTTGGTGTTGATAATGGTCGCTAGGTAATAGTAAACAAAATCTCTATTTACAGCGCAACAGCTGAGATCCTCTTCGCAATCAACCAATCAGGTATCGATTTCACAAAGCACAAGCACGTTGCCTTGGATGTAATTAAAATCAATATGGACACGTATTATTCTAATCGTGATAATAATACTTCAAACAGTTCTTTGTCTTTCCATGTCGCTAATAAACATGTATATGCAATGTTCTAGCGATACAATAAGGCACATGTCAACGCGTCAAATCTACCAGCAAAACCAACTTCCTCTAAGTGTGTTGTTCATTCTACCTTACAGTGAAGACCTTTTTGGTTTGCCTTTGGTAGCACTTATAGGTTGACGTAAAAACAGAAGAATCGTTTTAAGTTTACAGTTCTCATTTAATAAAAGCATAATTGTGAAAATGATCGAGGTACTTGGTGCACAGAACGGCCGTCAGGAGGCCAAGAACTATTCATCGCTGACTTTGTCGACCAATTCTTCTCAAGAAGACATAATAACTGAATGGAGTGAATCTAGTTGGGACGATGAAAGTGATTATGAAAATGACGAGCTCAAGAAAAGTTTTCGTGATGGGCTGAAACGAACCGCATCTGAGGAGTTTTACAATGATTTGAAACGGATTAAGTTTGACAATAATGTGAGAGATATCACAAATACTTTATCAGTTCATCTCGACTTTACTATTAACGAAGGTAAAAGCAGAGTAGAAAGCCGAGCAAGAAGTAAAAGTAACAATATTCTGTTGCCTGAAAAATCAAGAAGTGGTGAAATCAAAACAACAGATGAAAAATAATGTGGCTCGTTAGAGATGTAGTGACGAGCGCTTAAAATTCACTTGAATTGCCACCAGCTTCCGGATGATACCACCAACGATATTCAGAGTTGGCAATGATGTTTATTCAATGGATACTGTGCGTTGCAACTTGCGTGCACCAAACTAAATAAAATGAATTGAAGTATTGAAGAACTTATATAAATAGTTGTATATATTTGTGTAAATATAAAGATATCATGTGTGTTCATTTGGAGTAGACACATAGCTAAACATGAATTGAAACCATTCTATATTTCTCTTGTTGAAATAGCTATATTTAAGATTTAAGATGCAGAGATAAATTTTTCACCGCGTTTGGCTGAATTATAATAAATTATAACTAACATAAAAAAGTGCATTAAACGATTTTTTGATGATTACGAATTAACTAGAAGTTGTGTTATAATCCAAAAGAAGAAAGCTAGGATTCACATTCGTAACCTAAAGTAAACCGTTCTCATATTTAGCTACAGGTATTCTCAAAAGAGGTGATAAATTTGGTTAAGTTAGGTTGAACACATTTGGGTGTAGTTCAGCATTACATATCGTAAGCAAAATTAACCCATCAATTTGTAAATGTAAACGCAAAAAGATTTTATGAACGGTTTTAACTACCATTTCCCCTTGTTTAACTTGTATCATCACCTTATACCTTTTTTGTAAAGTCAAAATTTATTTTTAATAAATTGCCATCATATTATTGCATATAAGAACGACGTGATGCTAAAAATGTATTGAAAACTGAAGTCATTTTTTGAATTTTTTCCATGAATAGCACCAGCCGCCAGATTGTTAGATACTTGGCTACGAACTAGTGATCTCGCTATTAGCCGACTAACCACAAAAAGAACAAAAAAACATGACTGAACTACGATCTCGCTATTAGCCAACTAACCACAAAAAGCACAAAAAAACATGGCTGAACTACGATCTTGCCATTAGCCAACTAACCACGAAAAGCACAAATAAACATAACTGAACTACGGCTTTTATCCACATGACTGCAATGACAGCCGAGCTCCTTTGACGAGTTGGGTTACAAGGAGGTTTCAGCGAGACGTTTTCACTAACTATTCAGTATGAAATTGAAGTTACCTCTATCGCAACACTTCCATTTTTTTAAATCTTTTTATACCAAATATAAATGCTTCTCGTGTAGTATGACAGTTCTGATCTAAGTGATTAACAAACACAAAGAATTGCAGTATAAATGCATCAGCTATAGATGGGCGCTATAACCGTTGTTCTTAGTTATTCACGGTACTTTTTTTATAGTTGCTGATAACAGTGTGACGGTGTTGGTTTAAACAACCTACTGATACTGTTTTCGGCGGTAATGTATAGGATATACCTGTGAATCATGGCTATCGATCATTATAAAATTAATTTTACGTTTAGAATTGGTCATGCAGAAACAACGATCGTTAAATAGCAAACTTTTCGAATTTTTGAATTTGCCTTAGTTATGGGTGTTAACTGTATTAACAGTACATCGATAAAAATCATCATTTATTTCCATAAAAGATTTAAACCATATGCCATTATAACGCGGTATTTTTTAATAATGTAATGTGGTTTTACCTTTAGTTTTAGGACTTAAAATGATAATTAGACAAACAACAACTGTTCAACCGTTACGGCGGATAAACTGACAGAAAAAATCTGTCTGGGCTTCGTGGAATCGGCCGAAGTTTAATACGCTATGGCCAACTTTGTATCTAGGCGCGGTAGGCCACTTGCAATCTGTCCAAAACAAACAATCAAAACTGTTCTTTTATTCAATAAGTTTTATGATATAGGAATGCTAATCAATATAATTAGCCGTATTCTTTGAAACAAAATGATTTTAGCTATTTTACCGTGTACAAAGGAAAAGGCATAACTGAATGAAAAGTGAAAAAAGAGAAGAAAGGAACTAGGAAATGATTAAAATAATTATCAAATATAATGGGAATATATAATATAGATAATTCATTGCTAGGGGAGCAGACAGACATTTGTATTTCCGTCTGTATCAACCCGGGTTAATGGTTCCCGGCACACATTCCGGGTGTTCCCGGGTTATTACACCCAATATGGCGGCGTCACAATGTCAGTGACAGTCGAACAAAATGAGAAAGTTTGTGTTGAATGTGGGAAAGAGTCTGGAGAAATTTTTAAAGAATTCAAAGGACGAAGCTTTAAACTCTGCATTTGTGTATGTAATTTATTGTATTACTTAAACACTTAAAACGTTCTTAAAACTTTCTTAATAAACACTTGACAATTTACTCTGGATACTGAATTCTCCCCAATGACAGCAGAGTGATTTGCAAAGTACGATTTTCCATCACAGATTTCAGATTTCACATTTAAATGATGGAATGTAAATCAAAATACCATCAAAATCTCGAAAGTTTGACGTCGAATAACGCAATCAAAAATATGTGTTGTTTGTATCAATAATTGAATAGATGCACTTTGAAATGCTTTTGCATTATATACTTTGAGAAAATCGCAAAGATTAATTACATGATTTTCTCTATAATGAAATAATGCGTTCAACATTCTTGCTTTATAAAAATACTGCAATGGCTCATGGGCCATCTAACACAAACCAATCAGTGTCATGTTGTCAAAGTTAATCTTTCTTACCAAGATTGTTTCAAAGAGTAAAAACATGGTGCAAAAAATTATACGAAAATCTCAGGCTTATAATTTTAAATGCTTTGCTTTGTTAGCTTGAGGAAACAATTTCTCCCCTACTATATTGAAAATGGGAATAATGCTGCTCCTCTTATGAACAATTAGACTTGGGGAGTGTAAACTACTTTGGGACTAGTAAATATCAGTTATATGGAATTGTATGAATATATGAATTTATGGCCCCTCACCTCCTCCCTCATCAGCTAGTATTATTGAAGCTAGCTAAGGCACTGTCAATATTTGCAAGAATTACAACCTGCATATAAATCTATTTCAACATGGGTTGGGTTAACAATCTTGTGTATTTGCATGCTTTCAAATCATTTAAATATCCATTTTATTTGTAGAAATATTGCAATAGCAGAGTTGACAAATATGTTGAATTTGACACAGTTCTTGTGTTTCTGGATATAATTCTACATAAAGTTGCAGCATATCGACATGTTGTGTTCAATATAACTCCAAAGGTAAGTAACATTGTATATCAACTGTTCTATTGAAGCAAATTTGCTAAAGCATCAATGAATGATTATTGATTGACTTTATTGTGGAAATTAGTTATGCAGGGTTGAATTAGAAGTTGGCAACTGATGATTTTTACTACATACTTTTAATATCACTACCAGTTTCTTTGTGTAAATACAAAAATTGTAGTATAATCAAGATTTCAAGAAATGCATTAAAGGTCTTTTATTTTTGTGAAAAGTATTTTATTTTTTATTTTGCTAAACCTAACTTTATTTTATAAATTTCCATATATTTTATGTAACAATCTGGAAGGTCATTGAATAAATCAATGTGAATATCAAACCCAAATTCAAACCATTCAAAAAGTAAACATAGATTCTTAATTCATAACTTGTCACCAATCGCCCTTTTGCTGGTAATTGTTGCATTCAACCAAACACCAATCGTCCTCTCTTCTCATTGTTACATTCAACCACCAATCATCCTCTGTGCTCATTGTTACATTCAACCACCATTCGTCCTGTCTGCTCATTGTTACATTCAACCACCAATCAACCTGTCTGCTCATTGCTACATTCAACCACCAATCGTCCTCTCTGCTCATTGATACTTTCAACCACCAATCGTCCTGTCTGCTCATTGCTACATTCAACCACCAATTGCCCTGTCTGCTCATTTAATCACTAATCACATTTCCTGCTTGTTGTTATACTTTCAAAAACATGAGTGATGACACCATCAAACGTCTTGTTGATATTGATGAAGAAACACGTGAATTTAGGTATTTTTATTTCTTTTTTTTAGATACACTGGCAACTTGGAATCATCTATCTTCTCTGCGATACTTGTATCCTGTTTAAATTTTGTGCTTTGAGTCAAATGACATGATTTTATAACTGTTGCCATAAATTCCATACTATAACATACTTATAATTAGGAGTCTTAGATGTTTCTTTACAAGTTTATGAAAAAACTGGTGGCATTGTCTTTGTAGTTTCTTATACATCATAAATTTTCTCTAAAAGGCGCATATATATAACTTCAGTGGCGGTTCTGTTTTGTGGTCAAGCTCATCATCATAGAAATTAGAAAACTAGAAAGAGTGCATATTTTGTAATTGTGATTTTTACTATTGGAGATTTTTCCTCAAACAGACAGGAAAGCCAGAGTTATCCTTACATTTATCATCTCTCTTCTGAAAATCGAGCAAGCGAGGTTCATAAAGCATTTATGGCATGGCATTCATTTATACTTAAGCTGTTTGCTTTAGGAAGTTTCGAGTTTGTTTACTTTCTGTTTTGATGAGAAAGTATTTGACCGACAATGGGCAAAAATGATTATTAACCAATCAATTCGCGGCTAACTTAATGTGTGATATAATTTTCATCTTATCAAGTTTCAAGACATCAAATGGTACAACATAAAGCATAAAAAATCACGTGACTTTGGCACAATCACCGATTTCTCTGTCCTTGAAATGCAGTTTTACTTCATGTTTATTTTGTCATGTTCTGGTAAGTATATATTAATTCAATTTGTTGCAAGTTGTGTGACTATTGGTGGTCTTTAAGCGATTATACCAGAAACGATCAAAAGAAATCACTCAGGCAGTGCTTAATGTCTGAATATTCATAAAACCCCTTCCTTCAAGTAGGGGGTGAAGGACTGATCCGAAAATAGACTGGATAACGCACTCCGCTATTCCTGTGAAACGCCATATTGGAAGGTCTTACTTGATAGGAAAAAGTATTGATATTAATAATAATCATGTTGCCACAAAATCTGCTATGTTTATAAGTGGCGTTAAGTTCCAAAAATAACAGAAATACGTGGTCATTAAAGCTCTGTCGTATATTATAAAGTTGCATTACATATATATAGTGATGTTGAAAAAAGTCTCGAAAACTACAGATTCATCCCGACAAGCATGTTTCGTGATTGCTCACTCTTCACGATTAAATCCCCTGGATTAAATTTATATATATATATATATAGTGTGAAAATTGGTAATCCAGGCATTTGATACATAAAAAATGAAAGTTTCTCCGGATTGTTTAAAAATTATTTTACACAGCAACATCGTTGCATTTTACTGCTCGGTGCCTTATTATTTAATTAGGTGGAATTTAGCGCTAAAACTATCGCACTTCACACAAATATGAACTTCACATATGTGTCAGAAGAATAAAAAAATACAACATAACCGAAGTCATGCTTTGCGCGCATGGTTAAGCATTTTAAGGTATCCCGAAAATGGCGGCGATGAAATGTTTGATTTGCCTACATTAGTACAGCATAAAAATACGGCGTGAATATCGTAGCAACAGTCAAATTAGCAATCTTAAATGCTTCCTATAAATAAATATGATCACATAAATCAATAAACGAAACAAAACCTGTACTGAATACGCTTCGGATTGCTTATACTACGAAACTGCACGAAAGTTCCTGTATATGACAACATAAACATTAAGCGCGCAAAACATAACCCTGATACTCATTCTTTAACGTTTATTTACTCAATCTTTGAGCAAGTTGTAGCTATTCGTCAAAAAAACGAACTGCTTAGCCTTTGATAAGCACTTCTCGAAATGAACTTCAGTTTAGAATTTTTTGAAACGCCAAGGTTCGATACTAAGCTTTCTTATTTTATTTGTCATGATTAGGAACATTTTTTCTAAGAAACTTTGCACTATTCTTGGATCCCTAGTTAATTTTTGTAACGAAAATTGCGAAAAACTGCAAAACGTTCTGCCAAGAAGTAAGTATTTCAAAGAATGGCAAATTTACTGTAATATAGCAAGTTTTCATAGCAGTTTTTATATTGACATAAAGTGCTTCGCAACATGCTAAAAATACATGTAGTTTGTTTAGAGACTGATAAGAATTGGAATTTTGCATCATCTTTATAACACTTATGGGTAAATTAGTAAAAACACATGTAGTTTGTTTGGAGACTGATAAGAATTGGAATTTTGCATCATCTTTATAACACTTTGGGTGAATTAGAAAACAAAAACACTATTTCCTGTAGAAAAATTACTGAGGTTTATGGTTTTTTTTCATTTTTTAAGTTCATGTTTCAAGAATTTTCTATTTTTGCCGCCTGTTATAGGAGCACCTAAGAATTTGTAAAACGCTTTCACGCTGTACTCTTATTAAAATGTGGGACTTATTTTTCCTTTTGTAGAGGCAATTGTATTTTTGTCAGCGATTTTTGCTGAATTGTGGATATACGCCGCGCTAAAAGAAACATCAGGACCAAGGTAGGGTATGATAACGGTAATGTCAGACTAGTAGAAACATCAGGACCAAGTTACGGTATATAGAGTGTGATGTCAGACTAGTAGAAACATCAGGACCAAGTTACGGTATATAGAGTGTGATGTCAGACTAGTAGAAACATCAAGATCAAGGTAGGGTATATAGAGTGTGATGTCACACTAGTAAAAACATCAGGACAAAGGTACGGTATATAGAGTGTGATGTCAGACTAGTAGAAACATCAAGATCAAGGTACGGTATATAGAGTGTGATGTCAGACTAGTAGAAACATCAGGTCAAAGGTACGGTATATCGAGTGTGATGTCAGACTAGTAGAAACATCAGGACAAAGCTACGGTATACAGAGTGTGATGTCAGACTAGTAGAAACATCAGGACAAAAGTACGGTATATAAAGTTTGATGTCAGATTAGTAGAAACATCAAGACAAAGGTACGGTATATCGAGTGTGATGTCAGACTAGTAAAAACATCAGGACAAAGCTACGGTATACAGAGTGTGATGTCAGACTAGTAGAAACATCAGGTCAAAAGTACGGTATATAAAGTTTGATGTCAGATTAGTAGAAACATCAGGACAAAGGTACGGTATATAGACTTTGGTGTCAGACTAGTAGAAACATCAGGACCAAGGTACGGTATATAGACTTTGGTGTCAGACTAGTAGAAACATCAGGACCAAGGTACGGTATATAGAGTTTGATGTCAGACTAGTAGAAACATCAGGACCAAGGTACGGTATATAGAGTTTGGTGTCAGACTAGTAGAAACATCGGGACCAAGGTACGGTATATAGAGTTTGATGTCAGACTAGTAGAAACATCAGGTCAAAGGTACGGTATATAGAGTTTGATGTCAGACTAGTAGAAACATCAGGACCAAGGTACGGTATATAGAGTTTGATGTCAGACTAGTAGAAACATCAGGTCAAAGGTACGGTATATAGAGTTTGATGTCAGACTAGTAGAAACATCAGGACCAAGGTACGGTATATAGAGTTTGATGTCAGACTAGTAGAAACATCAGGTCAAAGGTACGGTATATAGAGTTTGATGTCAGACTAGTAGAAACATCAGGACCAAGGTACGGTATATAGAGTTTGATGTCAGACTAGTAGAAACATCAGGACCAAGGTACGGTAAATAGAGTTTGGTGTCAGACTAGTAGAAACGTCAAGATCAAGGTACGGTATATAGAAGGTGACGGTAGCCATCGTGAAAATGTTATTGAGTAGGATATGCATCCAAAACATACAGTGCTTCTTTATCCCCTCGTGAAACTACTCAATTTTACATGTTCAGAGAGATGCACATTTATTACGATGCTGATCTGCTTTTACAGTTTGCTATTTTCGCCTTCCAAAACGTATTTTCTCGCGACCAATTTCATCTTTCTGTGGTCCTTTTATTGATGCTAATGTTTATGACAAACTTGAAATTATAAACATGCCTTAAATCGGTCTGAAATTCTGAATACTATTAAGTTTTTGCCTAAATAGCTAGCTTTCCGTGTCATCACTAGGCAACCTTAAAAACATGTTTTGCTATATATATATATTGCAACGTGCTTCGTGTGCTGTTTTTGTCAAGTTTTGACCGAAATTTTTTCCGTGTCATCACTAGGCAACACTTACAACAACATGTTTCTCAGTAGATTTCGTGACGTACTTCGTGTGCTGTTGTTGTCAAGTTTTGGTAAATTGCTGGCGTTTCCTGCCGTAGTGTGGAGTCAAACTCACAATGCCATATATCTTAGCGTCGCCAGACTTTTTATAGTAACGTCAAATATCGTCGCCTTGAATGGTATGACTATGTTTTATGTAATATTTGATCGATTGACAATGATAAAATTACAACAATAAAAACCCGTGCGCTGATTGATCTTTAGGTGATTTGGCATTAGCCTGTACAAACCGATCTGAGCACAACTATTACGAAATAAAAGATGTTTAGAAGAGAAACCGAGGAGACCTTTGGGAGAGCTCGAGAGCAAATCAATGCAAGCCGAAGACCGAAGGTCGAGAATTCTCACAAACGTCTCCGAGGTTTGCATAAGCCTGTGCAAACACAAAAAACATCTTTTATTTCTATTATCAAATAATAACAATGCTAAGCAGACAAGTTTAAAACAAAGTTTCAATTTTTTTCAAAGCAAATTGATGATTGATTTGCGAATTCTCATTGATTGATTGATTGATTGATTTGATTGGTTCTGATCAGATCGATTTGCTCAGGCTAATTCAAACCCAGCCATCGACCAATCAGCGGACGGGTTTTTTTGTTTTGATTATAAGACAATCTATCAAAAAGATTTGCCAATCACAATTATAATACATGTCAGAGAAAAATTAAAAAAAATTTTTTTTAAATTTATCTCTTTCGCATCATGGTTATTTTGTAAAAGAACTTAAAGATAAATGAGAAAACACACTCCAAAAAACACCATCGGACTGAGGACCCATTTGTTTGAAGTCCTGATACTTCGAGTATTTTCAAAAAAATATGCAGCATTATCTACCCATGATAATGACACTTTTCCCTTCATTCTGAAGATGACTACCGCTAAGGTCTATACCAACACCAACAGTCCTAAGGACTGCACTAACCTGGACAATCAACATCTACTATCATGTAATTTTTCGTTTCAGTTATTTTGAAAGAAATGTTGGCAGCTGTAATTATTGTTTTGGTCGGTAATGCCGTATTGTACTCTTTCATATCTCTTTATGAAACATTTCATATTCACGAGTATCTAATATGAATTGTATATTTATGAAATGACCAAATGACTCGTACTAAAATAACAATGTAGTTATGCCCGAATAGCATTAAAGGAATTTTCTTCTTTTCAAACCATTTTTTTCATTAAATCACGTTGTTGGTAATCATTGAATATTTGTTTGTTAACTTTCGAATTTGTATAAATAATAGAAAAAAAAATGATTTCGGACAATAAGTTGAATGATGTGAGTAAAGTCAATATTGTAATGAGGTGACATTGTAACTAAGGTTAATATAGGAGGAAGCAGTGGCGGCCTGGGACCGAGTAAGATAAGAAGGTAAAAAAACAACAACAACACTTGGGCTAGTTTGCTAAATCTTACACCTACTTCACAGTATTATGAATATACAGAAGAGCCACTTCATTGAATCTTATTACGCATGTGATTACCATAGTGACAGCAAGTCAATTGCTTTTTTTTCTTACTAATAGGAATGATAAAATTAAGAACGGCAGCCAGTAATCTAATTAAATGTGTAGCAGGTAATTGCAAAAGAAGAGGACCTACTGTGTACTCCCTGTAATGTGCAAACATAAGTATCTGCTAGCGACAGATTAAGGATAAAAGATATGCAAGAAACAAATTCTTTTTTCAAGATGATCTGATTTTAGAATACAAGTTAAATCGTTTCTTAATAGTCTATACGTGAAAATTGTTTACTTCTATCACCTCTTCAATGTTTGTGTTCAATTTTAATGAGACTCGGCAGGTTTGTTCTTGTCGTCATCATGATGTTCGCGTTTTTCTTCTTCCTTTAAGTTGGCCAATGGTACCTGAGGAGCTGCGGGTTCATGTTTCTCATCCTTCACAGGGACTTCTTCGTGAGTTTCATCCTGATTTGGATGATGCTGGAAGAAGCATTGTAACATTTATGAACAGTAATCATGTGAAGGGACGGTGTTTTCAAGCGACGGCAAATTTGAGATTTAGTATAACGTCACCATCTCACCATAAATACCAACTGATTTGTAGTTTGTACAGTACTGTGCGATAGACAAATTACGTCGACTGAAGAGGGTGACGACATGTAAAGCACATTTGTCATGTGAGTATTTTTGCCATAAAGTGTTCCAAGTAAATTTTTGTCCATCAATACACGGGCACAACCTCCGACCCCCCCCCCCCTTACAATTAAACCAACCTTTGAGGATAACTTAGACCGCGAGTGGCTATGTGTTTAGAACTCGCACTTAACAAAATCTGTTTAAGGATACGTATAATTCATGCAGGCAGAGAGGGAATGCTGGGATAAAATTCATGCAGGGAAGGAAAGGAGGCTAGAACGTACTTCAGACAGTGGTTATGTCATGACATTGACAGATTATCAACATTACGTAAATTGAACTTCATTGATCACATCACATATTTTACAGCATTTAACTAAGTAAACATACCACTTCGTCCTCTTCATCGTCGTCATCATCATCGTCCATGAACTGTTTTTCATAATCTGCAAATTCTTCATCGGTAAATTCATTTTCATCATCAATTGGTTTCCAGGATTCTTTCTTGGGCTTTTCATACTCTGCATTTTGTGTAGCGCCGACAAATTCATCGTACGAAACAAATCCGTCATTGTTCTTGTCAATCTGAAATATAATGGACCCTTACATCATTCTAGTTTATAATCATAAATTTTATTCAGTAAAACATTTGGTAAAAGTATCCCAAGAAGCTGGAGATACTGTTCTGAAATTTGTTCTACAGCAACGCTTGGGCAACCCAAAAGCGCTTTGTAAAAGTCAAAAATCCCCTCCACCATAATTTTCTTCATTGCCACGTACTTGTGACGTACGTGTGTGTTATTTTGAAGCCGTACTACTTGCCACTATCGTAAATCCATCATATATAGCTGTATGGGGAACATGTGATACGAAATTTATACTGCCTTTTGTTTTGATAAAAAGATCTCATAAAAACTCAAAATTGGACGATTGTGTCTTTCACTCCATTTTCATGTACCTTTTTCTCATTTAAGACTGAATACGTGCATGAGTGATTGTTCGAAAGTAACTAACAATAAATTTGATTAAACAACAAGTTTGGCGAGAATGGAGAAACGGAAAAACGTCAATTAACACACAATGCGCGTTTAACTAAAATTGAGGCTTTTAAAAACTGCTCTCCCGGTTTTCGAGATTATTTTTTTGATTTTTTTTTAGACAAACTAGACGATGCCAAAATACACAGACGTTGACACATTTTTCTATTTTCTGCTGTAATCAGTGCCGCGCGTAGCCAGTCTGCAAGTTTGGTCCTGCTATGTATATTTTTTCGTGTTCACTCACTGTGAAAACAATAGATTTCTAAAGAAATGAATAATGATAGCTAATGATCTGAAATTTACGTAGCAAGAACAAATTTGCGGGCTGACTACGCCACTGGCTAAAATGATAGTTTTCTGGACATTTTTTAAGTGTGTATTTTTTTGATACTCCTTGTAGTCATTTGAAGAATGAAGTGAAAGTTTATACAACACCTCTTTAACAACATGTTCTCTCATTCTCTGAACTTCTTCATCCAAAGCACGCCGATCAAAATCGGGATCAGAGGCGTTGTGAATTTTACTCGCCTAAACGTAAAAAACAAAAGAGAAATTCCAGCTAGAAATTCTATGGTCGAAAGACCTTTGCAAGTTAAGATGAGTTACCAAGAAAAGTTTGATTTCAACGTTTTAATGACGTTTGCATGATAGAAATAAGATACGTTTTCCTAGTAATAATCTTCCATTCGTTGTACGTATTCCGGTATTCATTTACTCGATTATTTTATATTCATCGCAATACATCAAATAAAGTTTCACTTCACAGTAATCACGCCATTAAAGTGATTAAACATGTAAGCCTACTGCGTGACGTCACACAATTGTTGCTGAGAGCATTACAGCTTCGTAGAAATATAAGACGTTGCTACAGTGTGACCAAACATATGGTAATTTTTTACTAGATTCAGGTCGGATGAGCAAAACACCCCCTGATCTAAAATTTGGAAATATATAAAGCAGGAGGATGAGTCTAAGCTCGTCACACCAAATCTATTTAAAAAATATGCATACGTATAAGGCAACACTGCGCGATAACTCAACTTCTTATACCTCTCCATAGAAAAGACTTTCTAATTCGTATGGATCCAAATGTCCATCACCATCATTATCTGCAAACAAATTTGAAACATTATCGTACAAAATTATCCAATTCGGGAAGGAGTAAGGAAGGATTGGTTTATTTGTTTTCGGCGAAATTGTTTATTTGTTCATTTACAGATATTAAGATTATCGCTCAAAAACATGCAGAGCTAGTATTACACTTCATTTAAAGACAATTACTGCAAACTGAACGCGACGCAAAATTCATTTTAACATGTTATCGCTGCGGAAGTGTGCATACGGTAATTTTTTTACGATAAAATAGACATGTGATTGTAAAAGATAGTCACTGCAAGTTTGTATATTGCAGTTCTTCAGCTTTCAAATAGTTTCATTGCAAGTAGCAAGACAGCTTGTCGCGTCCGAACTAAACCTTCCAGATAACGTCATACACACATTGTACAATTGTTAGAATAGTTTTATTGGAATAGACCTGACCTCTTGTCGCATAAGGAATACATACGTATATTGTATACGGTAGTACAACTCCAAATTGGGGTTACGTACTCACTACTTACTAATGATTGTCCTCATTAGTTCCATTGGAAGTAGCCACAGAACTTGTCGCCTCTGAACTACACTTTCCAGCTAGCGTCATGCACTCATTGTACGTTTGGTAGAATAGTTTTATTGCAATAGACCTGATCTCTTGTCACGTAGGGAATACATATATTGCACACGGTAGTATAACTCCAAACTGGAGCTACGTACTGACTAATGATTGTCCTCATACGTCTACTTATTTAGCGTAAGTTTGGCATTTGACAATTGTCCGTCTCGAAAGTACTTCTCTTCAGTTTGGAGCTACTTAAAAGGTTCACTAACTTCACTCACTTAACTACCGTATACGTAGTAGTGCAAGTTTAACTTTACGAAATGTAAACTTCATTCGCGTTCGACTTTCACGTGTTGTTCATCTTTAATCATCATTGGTCATATAAAACGGTCTCATTTTTCAGCCATTAGCTTGATATTTTGGTCATTGAACATCGTATTAAGACGATTGGAAAACTTACCATGAAGGCTAAAGAAAGTCTTCGGATTAAATTGATCTTTGTCCATTCCATCTTCTTCTTCCCAAACTTCCTCCAACTGAGGCTTACTTCCCTTGATAAAATCATAATAGAGAGTTTATAAAATAGTTATTTGTATAGATCTCGCAAACTCAAATAAGTAATGTATCTAGGTCGTGTAATGAATAACTACGCTGTATGAATGATATGCATAATTGTATGGAACAAGGCAACGTCCCCAGAATGTGTTTATTAATTGAGAATGTCATGCTTAAGGCGAAACATTTCAAAAGAAGCCATCTTGTATTATCAAATACAAGTTTTTCAGCCATATTTAAAAGAAGGAAAAAAGCAGAACCACAAATGAACAGAAAAAGTAAAGCAGAATCATAGTCGCAAGAGTATTGGGAAAATAACTTCAACAAAGCTGAAAGAGGAACAAAACAGTGTCATATTTTTATGTCAGGGTTAAATGGAAATATCTTTCAAGCCTATTTTACTTGTGTGAAATAATTGTTTTCTTAGTGAACTTTGGTGAATTTATGTGTTTGATGGTGATGGTGATATGCTGAAGTATAAAGTGATCTTTAATAGTGATGCTATCACTCGTGCACATTGAATGGCAAAACAATGTCTTTAAAGTTGCATTATGCATCATATACGCAACACAAATTTCACAAAATCTACATTGCCAATTAAGCTTTCAACTTTCTACTCAAGATATCATATACTATAGGCAGACCAGTACAAACACACACAGACATATTCATACCAGTAATTGTAGTAAAGAAAAAGCAACCAATTTTTAACTAAAAATCGTCTTTATGAAATATACGAAAAAGTAGATTATTATATCAAGGAAAAATTTCTTGTACTAACTGGATGGTTTACTCTTCTTGCATCTTCTAAATGCTTCTGTCTCAGTCTTTCTCTCTCTTCCTCAGCTCTCGCTTTTGTTTTTCATCAAATCCTTTTTCCTGAATCTTTCGTTTATGCTTCTTGTCCATCTCATGTTCCCGAAATTCATCTTTTCTTCTTTTGTCAATCTCTTCCATCTGCTCATGGTGCTAAAAACATATGCAATCTTAATGATTCAGTGGCGCTCAGGTTTAGACTGCTGTAAAACATCACCATATACCATACAGATATGTATCTTCATTTGTGTATGATGACAAAAATTTTGTAGTATTGCTCAAAAGTATATTTGCCTCAAAGTTGTTGGTGAAGTTGCCTTACTTCAAGGACAAAGTTTTCGTATTATATCACTTAGAGATGTGGCAGTTTTCATGCGGTTTTATTTAGTTGACAGGAGTATTTTAGGGGGGAGTGGGTGACAGAAGAAACTTTGTGACAGAAAAAAGAACATCTAGTTTGATTGTACATGGTATGTTTAGGTTATCACATGTACATATACCAGAATTTGAGGCATGCAAATATTTTCATAAGAGTTTAAAAAAGATATGAAAAATGTAGTCATCAATGACAATATTTATCTTCAAACATCCAACTTCAAAATGTAAAATATGTAAAGTCTATGCAAGAAAGATCAACTTGCATAAATGATCATCCAGAATGTAAGAACAACAAATACACTTGTTATTGATTACATCATACATGACTTAATTGACGTTAGTTGCAACTTTCACTACTCTTTCGGTTATTCGAACGAATTCAGGTAAAAATTTATCATAATTAGAAGCGAAGTTATTCTAATATTTAAGTATAATGACAAAATACAGGTATAATATAACATGATTTTCATATTCAATGATTGATCAATGATCACTAACCTTAGCAAGTAACCTCTTTAAATCTCCAACTTCAAATGTGTGTGGATTTTCGCGGTCGTTAAGAGGATTCCAATATTCTCTATGGATACCACGACTAGCATCCATTTGCTGTCTCAATAACTGTCTCTGTGATTCAATCTCTTTGCGTTTCAATTCGTCAAGTTTTGTCCGAACACTATGACTAGCAAAGTCTATTTCTTCCGCAATTTTCCCAGTACGTATATCTTCCTCGGTGACATTTTCAAGTCTCTTGGAGAAATTTTCGTCCTCTTCGAGAATTTCAATAACTTGTTTCAGATACTTAACATAGGCTGGATCCTCTTCCTTTCGCCATTCGTCTTTCTTCTCCTCGGCTTTGTCCTTAGGCTTTTGTACAGGTTTACTATTAACGTTGAATATCAAACTAACGAGGAAGATAGAAATGATCTCCTTTCCTACAAGCATCATGCTTGGCAAAGCAAACGGTTGCCTTCGATAAAGGCTCAGAAAAACAACAATTTACTCGAATACGATTTTACCAAACTTGTAAACAAATGCTCGAACACAAGATCAGATGGTGGAAAACTGACTGCTTCAGGCTCCTGTAGAAACGTGGCATAACCACGTTGGCTCGGATCATTCCGATGAAAGACAGAGGTCAAGGTCAAGGTGAAATTCTTCTTTTCGCGGATGGAAACTGAAAAGGTACTGATTATTCTTCCCAAACAGCCATATATGGAGTATATAAATCCCAAAGTGGTCTTTTTGTTATTTTGTTTGAGTCTTCTCACTAGACCAGTTCAGTTATTCAGTAGGTCTTTAAAAGTATTTGAAGTGTTTTACGTGGTTTTGGCAAACATTTTGAAAACATATTCTTGTTCGAGATTAGTGTGAAGGAATGATCATGGTGAATTTTGTAAAAAGGACGATGATGCTGTCGTTGTCACTAAATCACCCAACACCAACTTTGCTAAGAGACAACTGGAAAAACATGGCTGGACTGAAGGTTTTTGTTACACTTAATGTTTATTGAATAGTTTTGATACATTAATATTGTTACATTTAAGTGAATCGATAAAATTGGCCGGTAAGTGTTACATTTTAACTTAGGTAGATCAGTGTAACATATGGTATGGGCTTCAGGTGAGGCACAAGACAGAAATGTGTGATTTGTCATATCTGGGAACCTGAAAATTTTGGTCTTGCTACATAAATTTCAGAGCATTTTTAGCATTCATTTCTTTAGAAATCTATTGTTTTTACTTAAGAGTTATCTTTTACAAATATTTTTTAGGGAAAGGTCTTGGAAGAGATGAAAATGGAAGAGCCAATGCAATCAAAGTTTCAAAGAAGAATAATACTTTAGGAGTAAATGTTCATTAATACTACATTATATATGGCAGTTCCAGGACCCAAGCAGGAGGGGGATTACCCTCCCTTTTTTCATGACAGTTTACAATCGAGAACTATATGTTATGCTTCTTAGCACATCTTACATCACTCCCCCCCTTTTCTTAAATCCTATCTATGCCCTATGTTTTAGTGTTATATTATACTTTAGCATCTATCATGATGTCTCAATAATCAAACAGCTTTTAATTTTATTTTCATATTTCAATGTTTCTTACCACAATATGCTTTATAGCTTCATTTTGAAAAATCCCCATGGAAGATTTGATACCAAAGAATAAATTTTGAAGGACAATTTGTTGCTCCCAAGCTTTGCTGCATGTTTCTATAACCCTACAGAAATGCAAAAATAATGTTTCCAATTTCTTCTATAAAATAATGTTTCCAGTTTCTTTGATAAAATAATGTTTCCAATTTCTTCTATAAAATAACGTTTCCAATTTCCTCTATAAAATAGTGTTTCCAATTTCTTCTATAAAATAATGTTTCAAATTTCCTCTATAAAATAATGTTTCCAGTTTCTTCAATAAAATAATGTTTCCAATTTCTTCTATAAAATAACGTTTCCAATTTCCTCTGTAAAATAGTGTTTCCAATTTCTTCTATAAAATAACGTTTCCAATTTCTTCTATAAAATAATGTTTCCAGTTTCATTGATAAAATAATGTTTCCAATTTCTTCTATAAAATAATTTTTCCATTTTCAATTTCTCAAATGATGCTTACACATATCATTTTTTTATTATGAAGATTGGTTATGATGTTGGTGCAGAATTCACAAATAATTGGTGGGATCATCTTTTTAACAAAGCAGCCAGTAAGATTGTTGTTGAGGAATCTCAGGTAGCCTGTGTTTTGTAGTAAAGTAATAGTAAAAGTTGTATTTTTGAACCACTTCTTGGGGCTACATAAAATATCTTATTTTCTGTGACCAGAAGACCTGCATTAATATTTGCTGCCAAAAAAACGCCTGGTGGAAATTTTCTCACAACCAATATAAATAAAATCATTTGCATCTCCGTCATTTCTGTTAAATGCAGTAGATGAAGTAATGACATGTAAGAACTGCAAAAGTGATTTTTCGTACAATCTTCTGACTTTCTCAATGCCCAGACTGCTGCTAGGCAGGCAGTTTACCTGTTATATCTAAAGCTTATTCTTTCTTTCTATTTTCCCTTTCTATGTCAATCCAGTTTTTTCTCTGAGAATTCAAACTATTTGTAGCCAATTTTTTTTGCGGATGTCAAAAGTTTTTTGAGTTCAATGGTCCTGCTGTCCACGCAGCCTTTCCACTTTTTTTCTCAGCAGAAGTAGTTCAAAGAATTTGTTGCAGTTTCTTCATTATTTGTGCATTTGATATCTAGAATGCATTCATTGCACGTGTGAAACTTAAAACTTAACACGTAGAATGGATTCATTGCACGTGTGAAACTTAAAACTTAACACGTAGAATGCATTCATTGCACGTGTGAAACTTAAAACTTAACACGTAGAATGCATTCATTGCACGTGTGAAACTTAAAACTTAACACGTAGAATGCATTCATTGCACGTGTGAAACTTAAAACTTAACACGTAGAATGCATTCATTGCACGTGTGAAACTTAAAACTTAACACATTAAATTAGTCGTATTTTAAAGTTTGATTGTTGTCACGCAAAAAGCGTTGTGTGCAGCAGTTTTAGCTATATAGCCTTTGATTAACAACTAGAGTGACTAGAGTGGTAGGAAAGACCAATGTGTACAATGGGATTGCATAATCCAATTACATTGTATTTATTGATGATTTAGGACGGTATACATGTTTCCAAGAAGGAAGTTAAAAATGAGCGTCGGAATAACTTTTGGAAAGTAAAGGGAAAAGACATGTACTATGGCCGATTTGTTAAGGTTAAACAAAAAGTGTTACCAATTACATATTCGTTTATTTATTTGAAATTTGAATGAATTACGGACAATCACCAGGCCTGTCATGAAGAAATCACTCCAGTGGAAGGGAGGTCAGAAGCATCAACAGTCACAAAAAAGTAAGTGAAAATTCTTGAACGGCTTTTGGAAGACGGAGTGTTTTGATATTTACAATTGAAACAAAGCGATGATCTGTTAGGTACTATCTGTTAGGGAATGACAGGGATGGATTTATGGCGGGGGGGGGGTGTATAGAGGTGAGGACACTGTCTAGCCTTAGCTACCGAAATAAAATACGAATTACTCGGAATTAGACCACTCCCCTATCATCCATGACATAACTATCATATGTGCAAACACTAGCAAATTTGCATGGCAAAATTCTTATTTGGGCTTTAGGCGATTTTCTACAAGTTATCTGTAGTGCAAACTGGAACGCTAACTTGGCCGCCATCTTAAAAGTCGAAATTAAAGTCAGTAAAAGTCGTTCGAAGTACAACATAAAATGCAATAATACAAATTGCCACGATAAGTTTTGCCACAAAGCTGTGGTAATTAAAGAATGGGTGGCAACCAAGATGCATTTCGCGCTTTTGTTTATGGTTATATCGTTGTTTTTTAACTTGTGGCAGACTAGGTTCGATTTTGTCGCTGCGTCGTCTAATTTATCTGAAAAGTTAGCAAAAAGACATTGACTAAAATCTCTATTTTACATTAATCATTATCGATTGTCTAAATTGCTCGGAATACAATAACAAAATCCATTATTTTCCGTCTCACAAAATGGCCGTCACGCTGTGATGAACGCGCAAGGCATTTTGGTTTTAACCCATAAAATTCCTTTAGCGGGCTTCAAAATGACTTATAGTACTGGTATTGTAGTTAGCGTTCTTATTTATATTATTGGTCAATGGTTCGCTTAGAATCATCCGTGGAAGATGTTTCCACATCTTCAGACCATATCCCAACTTTTTTGACGCTTACCGCTAGACCTTGCGTCACATGGAGCGTATTATTGTGGTCCAATGTGGTCGCTGATATTGAAAATATATGATTGATATCATCAATGCACGGTTTTTGACAATTTTTAGATTCACTGATGAAGAACTGTTCAACGCCTGTGGTGGAAGGACAGGTCACAAGTAAGGACAATAACTCGTCAATTTTGATATCCAGTTACACGATAGCGTTCAGGAGGCTTTGGGACAATAACTGTCCCAGTACTTTTCACACCTTGTATGGACTCAGCCCTAGTTATGCCCATTCAGTTTAATCCCATTATAACATCTTTGGATATTATTGGTTATTATTATGAATGCATTGATAAACTTGATAATACTTGTCTGGAAATAAGATCTCATAATTTATTTTGTAATTCAAAGCGACGAAAAAAGCCATTGGCTTTATATATTCTAATCTTATATCAATGTACGTAATTAATTGTATTACATGAAGTCTCGTGGGTCTATACCAATAATAACCTCGTTATATTCTTTTCGTAGATCCGCTCGACATGGCCACAAATTGAGTGGAAAATTGAAAAGAATTGCTGAGCAAGATCTCGAGTAAGTATCAGTTACATGAGTAACTACGTATCCTGCATGTCTAGATATCAATTTCCAAAGACAATTCGCAGCAAGTTCAATTAGTTTTGACCTTGCAACTTTTTGTTTAGCTTGGTCTTAGTTCACGCTAGCGCCAATAACTAAACCCAGTGGCTTAACCAGCTGTGTTGATTGGTTTGGCGTGATCACTCTTCCTTATTTACATATCCCTTATTAAAATCTGCGAAGTACGTAGACGTTTCTTTTACATTTTAAAATTGTGTTGTTTAGCGACGCGCTCGGTCATGATTCTTTTAGGAAAATTGCTAACAATGTTTAAAATGATCTGAATTTGATTATGTCATAGACACTTTGTATGAAAGTTTCTTGCAACTGTTTTAGCTGCCTTAAAGGTGTTTTATTCAACATTTGTTTGAGTGATTTGTGCTCAACCGTGCCAAAATTCTTTTAACGTTACCTACGCAACTTACATATTTTTTATTCCATTATATATTTTTAGATGTATCGAAGATGGACCTTTGAAGAAGAAAACAAAGAAAGACAAGAAAAAGAAGAAAAGAATGAAGACGCAACTGGAAAGTTTCATAGACAAACAAGACACTGGTAGTAGTAAGCAAAAGAACGAACAATATGGCGTTTTTAATGAAACTGCCAAAATAGTTGACTCATCAAATGAAAGTATTTTCACTGAAAAAATACGATGTGGATCTGAACGCGCTATCGAAAAACGTTCTAAGAAGAAAAAACTAAAGAAAAAAAAGACTGACGACGTATAATAGAACGCCATTCATATTTCATATTTACGTACATGATGGTATTTTATAAAGAAAAAATATCTACTCTTATTTTTGTTTATATACGTCTTATATGAAGTACGTAAACAAGAAGTCGTTTTGTTGTTTTGTCGCTCTTGCTGAACTTGTAGTTTAGCCATGCAGTGTCGTCGTTAGCCCGCAATTTTTGTCCTGATTTGTGAATTTCAATGTTTTACCATTGGAAATCCAATGTTCCTGCAGCTACTGAATTTAACGACGGCAAAACGCTGTGCGAAAATGCTGTTAAAACATGTTTGTTTAGTTTTATAATTTGTTTTATTTAACAATTAGGTAATGAATTTCTATGAGGTAGCTAAGAGTTGATAAGGTGGAAGACCAAAACAAAGTATGCCATCATGGAAATCGAGAGCGAGTAATCTAATTATTTTAGCAGAATCTGGTGGCTAGAATCCGCTGGCTATCTACGTACTTTTTTAGTAGATCAGGTGCCGATTGCACGAAGCCTGGATAGCGTTATCTATTGGATAGTAAAAGTTTTCAAACTTGTAAAAAAGGTGTTTATGTTTTTCTTACGACAAAGAAATTTCGTAACCTTCGAAACAATATTTTATTTCAATTATTGCTCTGTTCAAATCTTATATTTTTCTTTTAAAAGGTTTTATAAAAGATTAAAAAAGTCCCTATCCAATGGATAAAGCTATCAGGCTTCGTGCAACTGACCCAGGCTGCGTCCGTATCAACTATCACCTTCTAGAAATCTTGAGTGTATAATCTGATTGTTTTAGTAGAATCATACTTGTATTGTATTTCAAATCCTTTCATTTGACTGGCTACTCCACTGGCTATCTATTTTCGATAGATCAGGCTGCGCCCGCATCAACTATTACTTCATAGAAATCTTGAGAGTGTAATCTAATTGTAAAAATTGTTTTCAAGATAGCATGCGCCATGGTGGCCATCAATCGCAGTTGTCATCTTAAAAAATATTAAAAAAAGTTTGATTTCCAACACGACTAGGTCTATTTTATTAATCTAATTGTTTTAATAGAATCATACTAAAAGCTGATCATAAAGAAAAGGGTTGTTATAGTTTTTGTTATTTTTTTTTGCTTTGTTGTTTTTAATATTGTTGTTTTGCGTTCATATTAAAAAGCAAACGACTCGTCCTCAATGCATCTTTAGATATTTCAATCTAGTTTTTTTCACTATTAAATATTTTAACGTATTTATATCAACAAATTAGTGAAAACTACATCAATCCTTTTATGAATATCAGTAAGATTCTACCAAAACAATTACAGTTGCGTAGTTATATTTTGCCTTCATTAATTATCGCTTCATGAAAGTCACGATCACGAGCTCGTTATCAAATTGTTAATTAAATATATTAGGTCATAAATTATTATATGATTTCCTATGATATTTATATTTAATTATGAATCCCCTAACAATTGAGCAATCTCAAACCAGGGCTATGGGAAGAAAAAAAGTCTTCTAGTTTTTACATTTCTGTGTGAAAACATGTATTTCTGTGTACTTATACATAGGTATTGAGCACTCTATTAAAAAACACCCAGTCATGATCAAAACTTATCCTAAACACTCTACTTAAGAATAGATTAAGCTGATATTTAACATACATTTCTGCATACTTATACGTAGGTATTGAGCACTCTATTAAAAAACACCCAGCCATGATCATAAACTTATCCTCAACACTCTACTTAAGGATAGATTAAGCTGATACATAACATCTACAGACTTCATCAACATGACAACACCCAGGAAATGCCATACATGGAAACCAGTATGAGAGGAAACCATAAAATCCAAAATTTATCATTGTGTTTCTATCGTCGTAATTCATTATTATTCGCGTGATGGAAGAATTCATGGCGCCATGTGATATAGCTACGCGTGATTCTGACGCAGTGACGCTTGTATTCTAAAAACTCACTCACACGTATACTAACTGTGTGTGACACAGAAATAGCGCTCCCACTAATGAATGGCAAAACCCAACATTCTACACGGAATGGCGTTTATACACGGATATATTTCATTAGTTGTGAGTTGATTTATTAAGTGCCACTCAGTGAGTGAGTGAGTGTGGTTGAGCTTTTAGAATAAAGGCTTGAGAGTTGTATCAAAGGAACAAAAGAGACTTCTTGATGGAGAACAGAGGAAAAAACGATAAACAAAAACTAACGACAAAACGCGAAGCACTATGTGTACAATTGATAGTTTTTAAGTGTTCAACTAATTCAATAGTAACAAGTTTATACTGTACCTAAGTTACATTTTGACAAGACATCATTAGAACATACAGCTCATCGTTCATATTAAAACACAAATTTAAGGCAATGAAGCATTTGATATGAACTTGTGATTCGCCTTTTCATGAAAACCAACTTGTTTTATATCAATATACGTTTATAGATTGGCGATGGTATCGGATTGTTTTACATATGATTCTTAATTAAGATTGAAATATTTTAATTTATTGAATATTGTATAGGATACTCACAGATTGACTTGCTTTGTAATTTGTGTTGTATGTTTGCTGTTGGCATTTTTATGAATCAAAATGAAATCAATTTTAACCAATTTTCTTGCTCAATGAGGAATTGTTTCAACACAAACGTGCACTATTTTGCATTGTTTTTGTTGTTTGACTTACGTATAAAATATTAATGTGTACATATTGTGCTTTTATACGTGCTGTCTTTCAAACATAACTCTCTCAAAACATCGGGTCTAGCAGTTGCTGGCTTATGTATTTTTGAAACCAAGAACGTCAGCGCTGGCAGTTTCAATTAAATATTGAAAATAAGTAAGTTGTTTTTCCATGCAATTTTATCACTCTTCTCAGATGCTCATTTGTATACAATGAGAATAAATAGGTCTTCATACGATGCATTTTTTGTTGGTTACAATTGATATTCGAAAGATTCCTAAAAGTTTCATAAATCGACAGAAAAATAACTACAGTATAAGTCAAAGATAATTAAAACTGCAGTATACATTTTACACGTTAAGTGTTCTTTTATAATACAGCAACGTGTTAACTCGCCCTTTAAGCTAAATTTATCTACTAGAAGCCTATGTTGGCGGTACAACCATTTTGAAACTAAACTTTCATCATTTGATAAATACATTCTGTTTATAGCAAAATAGTTGAAATGATTTGGAAATGGTGTGGTTACTTTCGTCGGCACAAACTTTTTAAAGTCATCTTTTAAAAATATGATGAAACAAACTGTTTCCGTAGCAATTAAATATTAAGTGTCAAATATGCTGTATTCTCTTTATTGTTTTAAGTATACAATCAAAGGTCAATATTACTTATTATTTAAAATTGTTCTGGATAATAGTCTTGCCTCACGCATTTCTCAAAGATTGCATTTGTGCAAGATTTTGATATGATTTGATGCATTGGAAAATATTTTCAATGTTATACTAGCTCCCAATAATATCAACTTTTATCAAAAGTTTTTCAACGTAATGAAACTATTTTCATTATTATCTATTCCATTGCCAGTCATTGCTGTTTTTACCTGTCATTGAATAGCAACAAGCCGAGTCAGCCGACAATGCGAGACAAATGTACTTTAGGAAACTCTATCTGACATATTTCGCTATATATATACTCCTATTACAGTTTATAGTCCTCTTTTACCAAACCTGAAATGCTTCTGACGTTCTTTCATGGAGAACACGAGAAAATAAATTTTGTCCTTAGATTATTATAAGTCCATTTATTATGATTACGATAATTAACGGCGCCATAATACGAATTGAAATTATGGAGGTTGAATAAATTTTGATTTACCATGATAGCCTGACGATATTTTTATCAAATTAAGTTGTTATGAATAGAATTTTTTTTAGTTGAATTCTTATATGTTTTAATAAAATACTCAGTGGTTTCCGAAAAGATTTATAGAACGATAACACAAGGAAAACTTTTTCAAGCCCTCATATATAGCTAATTTTAACTGGGTGTTTTGATTTTTGAGATTGCACATAAAATCATTAAATTTTTCTAATATCTGCTGCACAAATTCTGTATGTTGTTAGAACATGCAAACAACTATAATGGCCTCACTGATCAAATGAATGTACGATGTATTATCAATGCAGTACATATACATGATGTATATGTTCTGCATTGATTATTAGCGAATGAGGTATAAATATTAAATAATTTAATCTTCATGTTTCGTTATGCTCTAAGCACTCAGTAAAATGTGATAGGAATTTTAAAAGTTACATTGTCAAGAAAAGTAAAGCCCATACTTACGAAATTAATCAAATTATGATATTATTTTTGGTAGAATATACACTGCCAAGATTGGACATTTTTTTAGAAATTGTTCAATATAGAAACTATAGCTTGAAAGTCACGGAAATAAATGAAGTTAAGTCAGGAAGACTTGTTTTCGTTTTATCTGGCAAAAAAATAATGTTTAGATGATGTTTATGCGAAGGGTAGCCGTGATTGCTGCATGTCGCCGACTGAATACTCGTACTTCATACATATTTCCGAGTGTAGAACAGAGAACTCAGATGAAAAAGATTTTTTAGCACATGTGGTAAACATGTTTGTTTTGTTCTCCATATATGTTGTCGAAGAATTATATTCAAAAAAATTTCAAACAAAAATTAGCTACTCAATTAAGTTTACAATTGAGTGTGTTCAAAACTAAATTTATTTATTTTACTTTGAGCTATACTTTGGCAGCACTCCAAGAGATAGTAATTTTCGTCTTTGCTATAATCAAAATTGTTAGTTGAAAACTTACTGTACATTTATGCTGTACTCTAAAGCTCAATTAAATGTGCTTTAACTACAAGTGCACGCGACAATTAACAAATCGCTTTAATTTTTCCCTCTAATTAAGGACATATTATAAAGATATAATTATTTCCGAAGACATAGATTCAGTTGTAAAGAGTTTTGTTACAAGCTGGCCAAACAATTGGTAAAGAAATTACAGAAATTTTTCAATTAAAACGATTTATTGGCTTCCTTTAATTGCTGTCCAAAGTATTTCATACAAAGAATCTCTTCTTGCTCAAAAGCGTGAGAAGATGTAATTTTTTAACAGGAATTCCCGTGTATTACCTTGAATGTGTTCACTGCATGTAATATTTGACATAGCATAAAACCGATGAATGACTACAGTTATCCCATTTTGTTTTGCTTTTTCTAAAATATATTCGGTGAAATTTTGTGTTGGAAATTTGAATGTAGCAAAACGCGCATTTATTTGGACAAATGCCACAAAAAACTTGGCTATGGCTCAAATATTCTCATGACAAATTGCTTGCAAAGAAGTATATACTTCAAAAAAGAAATTTAAAAGAAATCAACGCTTTTGGAAAAAGAGATTTTTACCATTGACGGCGAGGTGTTGAAATTTTATGTCAGGCAAACAAATTGCGTCGTCATCTGAAGATCAACCCCTAACAAGGGTGGAGTGCAAATCAACGCCCACTGTCGCATTTTTATGAAGTATCAAGTAGTGTGAAACGTCATGTTTAAAAAACTTCCTACACAAAACTCTTCACCTGATGATAAACCATCTTTCATCGAGAAGCGTCTAGCGTGATTTCTGGACGTTTTCGTAGCATTTTTTATGACGTTTTAATCAACGTAGTGCATATTTTGACGATGGCTTTTGATTACTAGGAGTCTAGGAAGCCCGCTGTGGTAGCAGGATACAACAATAGGAAATTTAGTTTATTCGGCATGTGCGATTGTTCTACATAAACGCGTGTGTCTGTACGAATGCCAAGCATACCCTTAATTGCATTTTAAGTGTGTTTTCCGTTATATTTTACCCCTTCACAAGTGCCTCACGCCATTTTAGCAACTCCTAATGACGTAGGTAAGCTCTGCGTGTTTCTTATATAAAGAAGGGTTAGTCTCTTATTTCTGTGTCTCACATCCGTGAACAGTTTATGCTATACGATACTGCTTAAGATTGATAACGCGTCGAAAAGAATTATTCTATTGAACTATATACAGTTACACTGCATCAAGGTGAGTTGGTTATTTCAACAATTCTGTTTAGCGTAGAAAACGTCTGGCTTTGATATCGGATGTACAATTATATATTATATTTATCATCTCTTTGAGTGTGTGTTGGTCTTTTCGTACTGGCGTTTCAATTTCGAGCATTTCTAACCAGCATTGGGACATGTATCATTTTGTTGCTTAAAGCTTTTATTTTAAGTGTACCATAAAGAATCTACGTACATTCAATTAAAACATTGAAAAATATCCAAGTATTTGTGTCGGTTGTATGAAGAAAGCGTTAATGAAAGATTTTTGCAAAAGAGATAAATAATGAAATTGTTGTACTCTCCAGTCAGAACACGTTATAATGTAAACTTTAATTTATGTCTTACCAAAATGACAGTGAAATGTATATCTTGTTTTTACGCGTTGCCATTAAAACGTGCAGCTGTGCGGATGCGCTTAAAGATATGATATCCGGCAAAACAATTCACTTATCTCGAATTACTAAGCTCAATGTTGTATTTCTAAGCAATATGCATAGCTCTAATAATATCTCTATATATAGTTTAATATAAACAAGGAGCATCTCTCGATTAATATACTTTCGGAATTCGGAATGTCCCATACATATTTTTCTTTGACGTGTGCGCCATCTAGTGTCTTCGTTATTCACCAGGAACTTGATAGGAAGTTCCTGCGAGAACAAACGTAGCAATATTGTGAATCGCATAAAGTCAGGAGGGATTGAGCATAGGAGTGGCAATTATGTATAATGATAGTTAATTGAGGATCCATATTATTCGTAGTTTGATCCTGTCATTAAATGGTTCAAAAATTATGTTGCTATCATTGTTGCTGTATTTTATTCTTACCTGGATTATAATTTTTAACTACTAAAGGCAATATCATGTTCTTGATACAAACTGTGCGTTAAGTATAAACTACCCCATTCTTTATAAGGGAATTGCGCATTTTTGCTCTTCTAAAGAAGTTTGATAATTTGCCTTTAAAGTTTATGTCAGCGTGAAAATCAATTTGAGTGTTGAATTTAAGAGGCTGATTACATGAGCCCGGGTAGCCGGGTTTCAGCCAAGCGTTAAATGATTTTGGTAAATGGAAAAGATTTAATACTTATCATCAAATATATCTTCTTCAGCAATTTCACAATATTCTGATTTAATAACTATACGCATAACATTCAAAATTAAATAACAAATTTGGCCTAATTTGAGAATTACAACAGGATTTATTTGTGGCGCTTAACAAACAGTTGTAATTTATAAGCTATTGTATCATGTTTCTCAAAACAGTTGTTTTCGTCTTTGGTATCGTTAAAGTGTTTTCTTCGATGACTTTCATCTTTTCTAATATACTTTGCTTGAACATAACATATATCTAACTTTTTATATCTACCAATGAATGAAATACATTTTAAAAACGTTTGGGTATTGAAACACAGAACAAGTTTAATTGTTAATTTTTCTTATGCCCTCTTACTACCAAGTACTTTGATGGTGTATTGAACACATTCAAAAATAAATGCTTGCAGATGTATGATATAACACGCCTACAAGACAAAAACCATTATAAATAATTACTTCTTCAATTCTGATCAAAATTCGAAGCACCGACTTGAAAGCTCGATAAAAATATTAATCACAAAACTAGCTATAAATTATCCCAGAATTGTATTTATTTCGCAGTTATTTTTTAGCAAAATATACAAATGTATCGTTCTTTTGAAAAAAACAACTTAAAGATCGATAACTTGGACAAATACAATTGACGAATACGTTAATTTATGGTAAATTATTCTGAATTGTTCAAAAAAATGCCTTGGTCCAGCATGTGAATTTTTTTCACTGGTTTAAAAACCTTCCTAATTTGTTGTTGATTAAACATGGCTCTGTTGCTAAGGAGAACATTCTTTTTATTTTTTTCTGAATAAAGTGAGGTTTCCTCATATTTAGCCTGAATTAACTTTAAGTTTTTTCCGCAACTCCTCGGCTGTTTTTTTTTTGTTGTGTATCTAATATGAGTGGGCTAAGAGACCCTAGCACCAAGCATTGTAGCTATCAACATATATAGCTACCTATTAAGGTTTTTTAATGCTCAATAGGAACGAAACCTAAACACACTCTTTGTTTTTTGTTGGTGAGCGACTATTTAAGACAAGATTCTTTACGAATTACATGTGCATAGAATTTCCATACAATGATACTACCAAACCCCGCAATTTTAGTAGTTTGGGTGTTCTCATAAGGAGATCCGTCAATTTAGCTTCTTACTTGAACGTTTGTGATAGGTGTACCAAATTTTCAAATTATTGAACAGGCACCAAGAACTAGGAAATTATAAATAGTTTGAAAATTGAGGAAATGTGCGAGTCATTTAATTGTATTTAATGTAACACAATATCGGGATTTTGCGAAATTTTTCTAGTGTTTGCTCGAAAAAAACTGATTGAGAATGACTAATATGAAACAATTTCATTATTATTCTAAGTTCTTTACGTTATATGACATGGCGAATATGGAACACCCACAACTTTTGAATGCTTTAAAGCCTCTGGATGATACACGATAGCATTGTCGTAGTTACTTTATTGAATCATGAGCAACAGTCATGCGACTGAAAAAATACATTTTGACTTTCAACTGTTCGACTGCAAAAATTTTAAATTAGATATTTAAATTATGAACATACTTTTATTTTTTACTTATTTTCTATGCTTGTCTTTAGATTTTTAAATGTTTTATTGTAGTTGAATTGTAGTTTTAGTTTTGTATAAAAACAGGTCCTTATACCAGCAATTTATATCGCTAAAACTAGTTTAACGTGTACAAACATAAAATTGCTATATGTATGACCTGTATTAAACATAAAATTTCAGATTTCTCATTCAACATGGCTGCATTTCAAGTGATTTTTATTATTGCCTTGCTGTTTGTCTTTGACATAATGAGCGTTCCACTTCAGTTAAAAGATAACGGGTAAGTTTTTAGCAAATCTTCAGTCTACCATATACCGACAATAAACCATATTTTAGTAAGTAAATTTTATTTGAATCCAGGTTGTATTCGTATTATTCTAAACTTTTTGTAGTTTTTTATTTTTTAATGCATATAACCTAAAAAAAATCACCCCAACAGCTAACTTAATTCATCTTCAACGAATCTGGGATTATCGAGCATTGCCCATATAACTCTTTTGTTGATTCTGTACAAGACTGAAACTTGCACAAGAATTGTCATGGGGCAACTTCAGGCAATTTAGCAAACATTGCGAAATTTGGGCAGATTTGATAGGTCAAATTAAGTTCCACTCACTCTCCCCTTCCTGTTTCTTTTACTTTGTGTTTATGAGTATAGCCTTTTGCCATAGTAAAATATTGTACAATCTTCTACAGTTCCACTAATAGACCGGTTCTTTTAAGTCTCATATTATTTGTATGTTTTTCTTTAGACCAAGTAATAAAATCCGTGTACGACGAAGCTCAGTTACGGTTCCACCTGAATGTAAAAATGGCGCAAAGTTTTATTTTCAAACAAGAATGCATTGTCATATCAAGAATTCAAATTACAACGAGGAGTTACAGTTGTGCTTGGTTGATATTTGCCCTGGTAGGTTGTTTTTAAGCACGTAGCTGGCTGAACACAGTGTGGTAGCCAACTAGATTTTTTGGTAAGGAAGGGGAGGGGAATACTCATGGTCCGCCGGCCTTCAATACATTCTTTATATGAGTATAGATCCATAAACTAATTTATGGGCCAATGATATGAAACGAGTGTGGAAAGAGCACTAGATGAATAAAATGATACAATTTTGTAAATGCCCACTGGCACAACGCACCTCTCCACGAGATTTAAAATACCGCTGTTGAATAATGATTGATATCAACGGCTCATATACGATACGATGTTAATATTCTTTTTGAATTACATGAAAAGTAAACCAAATAGCCAGTCATGAAGTTTAAACTGTACTCATCTCTATTAATTGCCAAAATTGATTGCATTTTTTTAATTACAGAAAAATTATTTTGCCCTAAGTCTCTCGTACGCCGCCATGTTGTTTTTCATGTAAATGTTTTTCAAGTGGTGGAGTGTAATGCGCATGAACCAACTCAAGTGCACTTTGCTTTAAAAAGACAATAGATATCAAATATTTTAAATGAACAAAACTTATTTAAAAGAGAACATGTTTTGGCCTGCAATACAGAGAAATGAGAGAATAATTCTTTTTACAGATTACAGATTAAACTGATTATCTTATCGTCAAATTCTATTTTCAACAAGGATAGCCGACACTTTTTGTTTCCATTCGATCAAGTGTTTCCTTAGCTACAACTTTCACTCATTGCTAGTTCTTCTTCTTCTTTTCTAGTTCCTGGTATGCCAGATGGAAAAAAAGGTTTTATCTATATTGCACATAAACAATTCCTTTATCAGTTCTACTCCGCCACCACCAGCAGGGATATCGTTGTATGCCCGACTGTTATAACTCAGGCGACAACCATGCGACAACCAACTACCTCAAATAGCACAACCCCTACACCAACCCCTACACCAACCACTGGACCAACCCCTGTGTCAACAAAAGGAAGCTAAAAATGACTGGAAAAAAGGATCATGCTCTTCGAAATATTATTCAAATAAATATATATATATATATATATACATACTAATATAAAGCAGGAAAAGAATTGAAAGGCATTTATAGAACGTGTCTTGAAAACTTTACTTTGATCTTTGAAAATAGATCGCAGTATTTACAGAACAATTCATTGACCTTCTTTTACTGTTAAAAAGGACGTACAAAACTGAAATGGAAATGATAAACTTGACAGCGAGAGTAGAACTTCATGTAAAGAGTGATGTAGGCAACCTGCTTATTTAATCTTGCTATAAATTTTTTACTGTACAAATACTCAATGTAAATATAATAGATTTTTATACTGAAATGAAGAATAATGTTGCTCAGAAATTTTTTATAGCGAGATAAAAATATGCGGGTTGGTAACGTTGCTGGCTTCTCCCTAGGAAGTTAATATAATTTTATAATGTAATAATTTTATGACTAAAGTATAATGTATCAAGTCAGACAGAGCATCTGTGAGTATATATTTTTATATATTACTCATCTCATCAACATCCTATGACATTGCAATAATCAGGGACCCGTGTGCAGGAAAGGAACTAATTCAATGGAAGGAACAAGCAAATAATTTTGCTTCCTTTCTTAATTTTGAATTTCACCCAACGAACAGGATTCTCTTTATCGACCCAGCTTCAGCAGTCAATACTCGATAGTCGATACCCTCTCCCCTACGCTCAACACACAATAAAAAATTTGCTTTGCAATCCCTAATATCATCTATCGTTTAATTAAGTCAATAATGGTGCTTAAATCAAAGTTTTAAAATCAAACAATGTAAAATAGCAATATAAAACATTGAAATAACATTCAATAAAACACATCAACTCAAACTGTTCATGAAGTATTGATCAATACTTTTATACCAAGCAGAAAAGCTTTCGTATGTAGTGCAGCTGACAAATTTGCACCTCTAGATTTAACAATGAAATGATGAAATCAAAAAATTGGCTAATATCAAAGGTCTTTTTCTGATACATTGATGTACGCAATGTATATTTTCAATGCTAGATCCGCCATTGAGTATCCCCACAATAAAAGTGACAGTCAATCTTATTAAAGCTTACAATCAGTACTGTAGAACTAAATTTATCAGATGAGGTGCTCTCTTGACGTTTTCGTCAATAGTGCCCTTTAAAACTACCCATTTCAAAGTTAGAATGGGGGCTCCTCCCCAAGCGCCCTCCCCACTTCTACAGCACTGCTTACAATATATCATTTAATGTCAGTCATAAGTCATGATATTATTTCTATTCATTATCACAAGACCTGTCAGGTGTAATGCATTTGACGTATGCGCGTACTTCTCACGTTTTACTAAAGCCGAACCTGGCTATTATGCAAATGATGTTCTAAAAACATTTTATGTGCAAGAAAAAAGACCTATAGAATTTTTCCATATCAAATGAAAAGTCGAGCTAAGTTTACGCCACTCAAATGTCAATATGTTTTTACAACCTTGACAGGTCTGCACAACGTGTCTACATCACAGAAATCATTTTGTTCTGCATAATATTATCAATTTATCACTCATGACTCATGAGAAGTGTCATGCCAGCACGCGATAAACACCCCTCAATAAAAGCAAAGAAATATCATGGAAAACAGTTGGACTTTAGTCATTGAAATATATATGGATTTATTTATAGTTGGACTCTACCCGAGTTGAACCGAGTTGAGCTCGACGAATTTGAAATATTCGTCACATTGATTTGTCAATAGTTTTTGGCCACATTACAAATGGTTCTACACAGTCTCCAGCGCGGTTGTCCTTTTAATGAATGGAAATGAGGGAATATAATATTCACTTCATTCTTCAATTATGGTGTTGTGATCCAATTTATGATATTCTTGATGCAGTACTCATGACTACTGTCTTCATGTCAAAATCTAGGTTGTCTTGATGTTCAGTTTATGCGATCTTGCCGCCATAAAATGAGGATTTCGTGCCATTTTTTGGTAATATTCAAGATAAGTCATATTCAAGATAAAATCGTACGTATATTGAAGATAAATCGTCAAGATCAACGTGTTTAATAAAGACTTACTACGGGTTAATCGGCTAGCTTTGCTGAGGAGATTTTCTACAAAATAAATCGTGTTCAAAGTGCAACTCAAAGCTAAAGCACAAGATGGGTGAGTAAAACACATTTTCTTCATTAGTGCCATTCAAAATATCCAATTCCTGCGTTTGGTAATGTTTGTTAAAAAATGTTTTGTGTTAATTGTCATTTGTCAATAGTTCAATACTTAATAATGAATGTTCTTTTAACTTGAAATTTATATGCTATCTTGCTTTGTTTGTGGTCAAATATGAAACACTGCTTTTGTCTTTGTGCCAAGGTGGCTTCATATGAGAAATGTTTGTGTGATTAGTTTACAATGGCTGCCTTATTTTGTATTCTATTTTTGAAGAGGCGAAGTTGACGGTTTGTCAACAAATAGCAAAATTTGTACTGGAACTTTCCACAAAAAATTTTTGTTCATTTTACTGATATTGTAGTGTTTGTAGTTTGTACAGCAAAATTTATAACAACCTGACAAGTTACATGTTCGTAAATGATGATCATCCAGGTTAAAAAAGTCCTGAGAAGGACTGTTTTTGTTGTTGTTGACTGACGTTTCAACAACCTTAGCGGTAGTCATCTTCAGAGTCATTTTGACAACAAAAACAGTCCTTCTCAGGACTTTATTAACCTGGACGATCATCATTTACAAACATGTAACGATACTCCGGTTCAAACCATTTACTTTAACCTGACAAGTACTGTTGATTTGTTATAATATGTTATGCAAATCATTTTCAAAAAATCTAAGCACACAGAATAGTTATTTCTTCATTAAAAGCCCCATTAGCTATTTATTGCTCATATTGAGAGTGTGGAAGCTAAGTTCCGTTTCAACGACTAAGGCATTTCATTTTGAAAAAGTTTGAGTAACATGATCATAGACATAGAGGCTAACCAAATTATTCCTAAAGTTTGCTATGCTACTAATAAACTTGTAAATTACAGCTTGATATGTAGCTTGTCCTTTAAACTCTGAATAAACAACAATGAGATTTAAGTCATGGGGCGTTGCTTTATAAAGCTACTTTATAATTTTGTTGAACATCAATCCTTATTGAATAATGATACTTTCTGTTAAAGTTTCTTAAGACAAACATTGTATTTCATTGCTCTAAATTGAGAGACGATGTGGTTTCTCTCCATGTGGTCTCCAATGTGATTTACAGCAAGTTCAAAGAATACCATTTCTTTTTGTCATTTGCTGTTGTGAGATGACAATGACTGGTAAAATGAGGAATAACCAAAAGCAAATAAAGGCCATCAATGGACTTTAGTGGCTGCGAAAATGGGGAAAAATGAATTCTAAGTTTTGATTCTGTTTTGTGAACAAATGGATTTTGTCTGTTCATCTTTATAGCAAGTTGCCAAAGAGTTTCTAAGTTCAGCCTTACTGGCACCACAAAAACTTTTTTGAATTGCAATGTCTGAAAAATTTGTCGAAAATATTTCGTAGAATTAACTAATAAACCATTCTAACAAATCGAAAACGCAGCCCTTTCCAGGGTTGTTGACTGTTTTACTTATTGATATAATTTATAATTGGAGCGTTCATTGTAGTCCTATAGCCATGTTTCGTTTAAATTTTTATGAACTGTCTCTGTTACAAATGGCACAATCATCCAGAGCATAATCGCAGTATTAGAAATTTAAATCACAGATTTAATATAATATAGATTTTATACAGCACGTTTTTGGCAGTGTTGCGTAATATTATATAGCTCCTACACTGTTTAACGTTCATAGCTAAATGTTTCCTTTGATTTATTATACAGTGGCGGATCTAGGGCACGTAAGTCAAAATAAAATACTGCTACACATTTTGGCATATATTTTCATTTCTAAGAACCTTAAGAAGCAAGCTCGATACTATCCATACCAGGGTGATGGCCGATATCGATACCAAGTATCCGTTACTATCCATACCAAGGCGATATTTCTGCGCCTGCGATATTTTTCTATTTTGGTCAGCGAAATCATGAAAATAATCAAAATATGACTTACATAAGATTCGTGAATTTCAAAATTTTCTTATATCTAAATAAAACTGGCTAGTTGCCTAATTGAAAGGCTAAAAAGTACGTTAGAAGTTAAATTTATTTATGTTTTAGTGTTATTAAACATTGAAAATTGGCATTGTTAAGTATATAACTAAAGTATAATCGTATTGTTTACCGTTGTTGCCTCTACTAATCATTACAAAATATTTTTTTGTTATGGTTGTATAAGTTGGGAAAATATCAATATCGATAAAAACGAGCAAAAGTCGATAAAATATCGTATCAAATGAAAAAGCCGGTTTGGCCTTTCCTAGTCCTCAGCAGAATATTTTTACACATGCTCGCTATTTTGTTTTTGTATTTTGCTTTTGTGCGCATGCGTTGTTACTATTTCAATCATTGGTTTGCACTGACGCCGGTTTCAAAGTGGGATCGGTCCAGCAGCAGAAAGTACGACTTTAGGCCTCTCTGAGTTAAGTTCTTCTCTGTTAAGCATCTACTATACATTATACTATATCCGACACGAGCTGGTACCAGTTTTACTTCGTATCGGAATCGTGTAATCGGAGCCTGACAAAATCTTATGCGCATGCGCGTCACAAGATACATATGAAAATACTTAACGAGCCGCTTGCCGGACACAGCATGACTCTTACTAGTTTCAAATGTTGCTATTAGAAGAGAACTACTTCGAACGATACAAACATTTTATCATGATCATATGGAATGAATAATTGTACGTAAAATGGCGAATGGACTACCACGTTTCTCTCTTCCTTTGTCATTCAAAAATAGTGTATCTAGGAGAAGACAGTCATTATATGTTCATGGTACGCTTTGTGAGCATTTATGTATTTGAACAAGACACATGTTTGTTTTTGTTGTTTTATTAATGAAAGACGCCATTTACGTACGCTATGTTGCATTTTATTCTCGTAATTCTATGTAATTGTATGTAACAATTAAGTTGTATATAACAATTAAGTAATTTATATTTTGGTAAGATCGCCGTGTTTAGTTAAAGCTAGTAATACAGTAAAACGCCTGCTTTAAATACGTCAGATGAAATTGCGAAAGTATTTCTTATTCAAATATCATCAGCTGCCGGAATGATGTAGCTAACAACTGTAATTGTACTTAGCAAAATTTCCTCGATTCTTATTTTTACGGTGTACGTTTTCATGATTTCCCATAGTTCCCGTTATAATACCGTTCCCCTTTTGCTAAAGTAGTGTGGTAAATGTGGTTTAAGTGTTTATGCATCTGGTTGATTGATTATATAAACATCACACACGCATGCATTACTTTTGTAGTTTATGTGCTTTTCCACTGACATGTAATCGTTACTATTGCTATGTAAGAAATGTTACGAGACATTACGAGAGTTCAATTCCAATTTAAGGAAGGAAAACATTTAAAATTTACTGGAAAGGAATTCTGTGAATGATTGGGAAGTAGTGCAAAGCACTTATCAACTGACTAAAATATTGGGGTAGGCTATGCGCAGCACAATATTCGCAAAGACAAAAACATGTTCTATGTTCTGTGCTATGGTCGTAATTGAATGATACTATTTCATGTCGTTGTGTTACAATTCCATCCATATCTTTCAGCTTTATCTGATTCGTCGAAATATGAAGAGGATATAAGTGATTTGACCAACACCCCATCAACACCTTCGACACCAGGTTAGTTTTCGTAAGAAGCCGTAACACGACGTGAGCCATATATTGCCGAGGGTCTGGAAATACCCTTCCCCGCGGTCAGTGAAGTTTAAAAAACTACAATTTCGTAAATCCTATTTTATGCATTTGCAGAGAAATTTAATAACAACGTAAAAGATGTGTTATGAAACAAACGAGATGTATATCATCCGCAATAGAATATTTAAAATAGCACCTATTGAAAACGCCAAAAGGGCCCAAGAAGTCGGGGGAGGGGCGGGATTTTTTGTTTGAGTTTGGTGCCAACAGCATGGCCTGGGAGGCCAAATTACCCCCACCCAAGTAAATATGTTAATATATGCCTTGATCATTCCTTCCATTAAATATGCCCACTATCCTCCTCAACACATGACCATCATCCCTCTCCATGAAGTATGTCCACTATCCCTCCTCAACACATGACCATCATCCCTCCCCATAAATTATGCCCACTATGTCTCCTCAACATATGATCATCATCCCTCCCCATAAAGTATGTCCACTATCCCTCCTCAACACATGATCATCATCCCTCCCCATGAATTATGCCCACTATCCCTCCTCAACACATGACCATTATCCCTCCCCATGAATTATGCCCACTATCCTTCCTCAACACACGACGATCATCCCTTCACAAAACATGGCCATCATCTCTTCCCAACAATGACCATTTTTCTTTCACCTTGAACAATTTACCTGGCTTTTAAATCAATTTTAAGAAATAAATTTTCTTTCGCAAACTTTTGGGCCACGGTAAAGATATCGTAAAAAGCCTCCCACTGCTGCAGCCAATCAGATTTCAAGAAAACATAAAAATAACACCGGGCACGTAAGAAATGTGTAGTTTTACTAACTTGGATTCATGCATATTTAAATTCCGCCTTTAGAATATAATACTGCATTATAGTTGGTTAAATATATTTTGTTCATTTTCTTGCGATTTTTATTCAACGTCAACTTTATGAAAAATAATAATTTAATCACGTTTTTACAACGCAAGCTGTGAATTTACAATTTTCACAAAATAATGACACTCTGTTTTGTATACACGTAGCTAAATTAAAATCCAGGAGAGGAGAAACTTTATGCTTATGATAAATAAGTTTCTTTTCAATCATTATATAAGTTTGTGATTGAATTTTTTGGCTTAGTATTTTTTTATAAATATTTGCCATGGATTCATTGTTGGCTGTTTAAAAACACGAGCTGTTTGTTTTGATAAGCATTCGCATTTAAAGATGCTAAATGCGGTCAAGAAGATTTGAGACGCTATACTTTCATTTGTTTGCTTTCTGTTGTAATTTGTTAATAAATCATTTCGCGTTAACCGCTGACAGCTGTGTGTCACATTTCCATTTGCAGAAAAGCTCATTTTCACGGTAGTATTTTGTTCTTTGAACTCTAAATATGCGCGAACCTTGCACACGGTTTTCTCGGCAAAAAGTGAATGAATTGTATCCTCACGTTTCAATGATTTCACTTCTGTTGCGATGAAATTGAACAGCAATTTAAAAGCACTTTAAGGTAACAAGTGACAAGTGTTTCTACGTCGTTATGTTTTGTATGAGTTTTAATCAATCGCCTTCGTTGTTTCTTTTGCCGTGCAGTGTCAGTTGATAAATAGAATGAAGAGATTGTATCGTCATTTTTCGTCTATGTGAACAACATAACTCGTTACAAATATTTTGTTGTTGTTTGCTTGCTATCAATCGTATTAGAAGACAATATATTTAGCTATACGTCTCTCTCATGTAGCTTTGTTGAATCAACTAACTTCAAAGCTGTCTGGAGAAAATTAAGGGGAGGGGGGTTAGTTAGATGGCTTAAAATCTTAAAATCCATATGTATGTTTAGTTTTTACGAGAATCGAGAAAGTGAACATGTAAAATTTTTCCAAATTTATTCAGTAAATTTTTTTTGGATTGGGGTCTGCAGCTGCTACACCGAACTACAATTTAATCCAACAGAAATTCTCTGAACCGTTTTTTTGTAGTGACTTTGAATTTAAGACCCGATGTTCTCGCACAAATGATGCAACTTTCATTTTGTGTGTTCTTTACTCCTTCCACTTTTTATAATCTCGAGATTTTATTTATTGCACCTGTTATGACAATGGAAAACTATAAAACTTTCTATGTAACTCACGGACACAATTAACAATTTTCTTTTGCCTTCTCTCTTTATTTATTGGATCTCTTATGCAGTGCCTTATGGCAGGCAATTTCTCCCTCTCTCTGAACGTCCCTGTATGAAAGAACGTGTTTTTTTGTTGATATGTTTGCAACCTATTTTCAGGTGACGAAAACATGGAGAAAAAACATCCTTTAAACGATTCGTTGTTGAAAGGAAAAAGAGCATTGCAAATGGTGAGTGTATGTAGAATATCATTCGGCGTATCTTGATTATTATATAGAGAAATGATTTATTTGAGTTCAGCTAAAGATATGCGATCTTGTCTTGCTCTGCAAAAGGTTGCTCTAATCCCAAAATAAAAACAGAATAAATGTTTCTATAGCAAATTTCTCTTATTGAAATGCTCATTTTTTACAAATTTGTTTGATTGCTTTGGATAGAACATATAAAACGACTTTATAACTTCTTCAGTAAAATTGCCTTACTGTACTTTTTTCTAGCAATATTTAATTTATTTTCTTTATGCAAACGACAAAAACTAGTTTTTTCTAATGCTAACTGTGCAAAATGATGCCATAACGATGTCATTTGCATATCGAAGAAAAATTACATATCTCAAAAGTAAATAAAATAACACAATCCTGATAAAGAAGTTATTAAGTCATTTTATTATATGGCAAGCGTCACTTCCAGCTAAATGGCGCGCTTTGATAAGCTCAGAAACATTTTTGTCGGTCGATTATTTTCCCGTAATCGACCACGGTCCAAAACGCGTAATTTTACAGTCAAATGTAAACAGCAAAACTAAAGAAAAACGAAACAAAAATCATTTACGAATGTGATTCGAAGGAAAAACACTTGGAAAACAGTTTAACTATCCAGACGATACAATTTGAAACGATTTAATTTTTACTGACGAAAGCTATAAAAGTGAACGCTAACCCGTACAAAACAGCAAAGACGAGAAAGAAAGCAAGCTTCGTTTCAGGTCGAATAATGCCATATAATAAACCTTTTAATAACCTCGCTTTCTCGGTCTTTACTGAGAAATATCGGACCTCTGTCTTTTTGTACAAACCTCGCCCTACTGGCTCAGTCTGTACAAAAAAACCTCGGTCCGTTATTTCTCCGTAAAGACCGAGAAAGCTCGGTTATTAAGGGCTTATTAAATTGCCGTTACAATGAAACAAAAAACACTGGTAAAATTTGGTGTCACAAACACTTAAATAGTTATTACGTTCAGCTTTCCTTGTTTAGTCGTTACTACCTAAGTTCTTGTCTTGTGTTTATGTGTATAAGACCGTGTAAGCCTATTGTGATGTTTTTCATTAAATAGTTATTACGTTCAGCTTTCCTTGTTTAGTCGTTACTACCTAAGTTCTTGTCTTGTGTTTATGTGTATAAGACCGTGTAAGCCTATTGTGATGTTTTCATTAAATAGTTATTACGTTCAGCTTTCCTTGTTTAGTCGTTACTACTTACGTAAGTACTTGTCGTGTGTATATGTGAGACCACGTAAGCCTATTGGGATGTTTTCCATAAATACTTGTCCAACACGTGTTTTCTAGACAGAAAACAATTCCTTAGAACTTCTTATACTTTTCAGACATTTCGGTATTTTTGGAAATTTTCTAAATTCTAAATGCTCTATGTGTGATTCTTGCTCTACGTGTAACTTTTTCTCTAAAAATAAATCTTGCTACGTAAATGTGTCATTCTTGCTCTATGTGTAATTCTTGCTCATGTGTAATTCTTACTTTACGTGTAATTCTTGCTCCACGTGTAATTCTTGCTCTATGTGCAATTCTTGCTTTATGTGTAATTCTTGCTGTATTTATGATTTTGAAATTTTTATGTTGTCCCTTTTCAATAGCCCGATCGATCTCCTAAATCAGAGCGAAAGATTTCATTAAAGGTAAGTTAAAATCAGATTATTTCGATCTATAGTGCTCTTTCCCTCACATTTTGACGTATATGATTTAGTGGCGGATCTAAGGTAAGTCAAAATAAATTACTGCAGCACATTTTGTCAAAAATTTACATTTTTTATATACCTTAGAGGCAAATCGATTGGTAAAATTATAATATTTAAAATTCCAAACCAGTAGCGTTTTTCTGAAAGTAGTTTGAACTTAAAATTGAGCAGCTATAATTTATTTTGGCGAACGCTGGATCCGCTACTGTATGTTACAGAAATGTTCGTATTTGACGATAATGCATGAATCATCCGAGGTCAAGCATTTTTTATCTGCACCATTTTAAGTACTAACTATGAATACTGCGTAGCCAACCCGCAAATTTGTTTTCTGCAATGCAAATATTTTGGTTTACTCGCTGCAATGCAATAAATTTGCAAAGACACAAATAATGATGACGAAGAGCATGAAATTGCTTTGAACTTTAAACGGCAGGACAAAAACTTGCGTGTTGGCTATGCCACAGTATAGAGAACATACAGTAGGGTCACTCCATTGAATTTTTCGTGCACGCATATCTTATTACGCATGTGATTACAATATTGGCAGCCAGTAAATTGCATTTTGTGACCAATTGGATTGACGATATGGCAAACGGCAGCCAGTAAACTAATTAAATATACAGCAGCCAGTTGAACAGCAAAGTGGCCCTACTGTATATTCCTATATTGTGGCTATGCCATTGCCTAATAAACGTGTATTATATAAAATTTTAAGCGCCCGTTCACACGATCCGATTTGTCGGATCCGATTGTTTCGGTTCCGACTTTTGGATGCTTGTTCTGACGGTCCGATAGTTTTGTCGATATTTATATTCGTTTGGTGAGATATTTAAAGTCGTGGAAGCAGACATTTGTGTTATTCAGTACATTTATCCATATATTTTCATCGTATTTTTGTTCTTGTTTCCAAGTCTTTTTCGCATCTAATGTTTTGCGCCAATTGAAACTTGGAAAGTATGTAGAGTGAGAGGTCTGGGACTAGTCGACTTTCTTTGATCTTGTTGGATGAAAATAGAGCATGTTCCATTTCCATCCGATTTGTGAGACTGACGGTCCGACTGTCGGAAGCTCACTTTATACGTGCTCTCACGATCCGTTTTTTAAGATCCGTCAAAATCGGATCTGACAAGATTTATTTTCATTGTTATGTTTTAGGAAATGAAGAGAAGTTACAGACATGAAAAACGACGAATGACGGAAAAAGTGACGAGCACTTTGTTAGATCCTGCCGTGGTTATTTTATCGTCTTGGTTGAAGGTAGGATGACGTAATGAAGTAAAAATATTAAGCAATTATCGGATGAGGTTGAGTATGATATCAAGAATCATTCATACCACCAACGTCAATGTTATCTACCGAAGCGAAGCTGATGTGGATGACATTGACCGATGTCTAAATAATTCTTGATATCATGTGAAAATGTTTTTCTTCGAACACCGCATTAATCAATAAAGTTTTTTTCAAAATAAAATTTTGATATTTTCATGACATGCTTACGTAACTTTTTCTGATAAGAGGAACCCTAAAATTTTGATGTTTTCATGACATGCTTACGTAACTTTTTCAGAAATGAGGAACCCTAAAAATTTTGATGTTTTCATGACATGCTTACGTAACTTTTTCAGATAAGAGGAACCCTAAAATTTTGATATTTTCATGACATGCTGACGTAACTTTTTCAGATAAGAGGAACCCTAAAAAACTGGGCACGATTTTGGTGTGTCGTCAAACCTGGTGCTTTGGTTATTTACAAGAACAATAAGGTAATGATATGATCGACATCATGGTGGAAATTTGAAAGGATACAAAAGGAGTATAAGATTTTCTTAAACGTAAGACGTGCAAGCTAGAAAACCTCGAACCAGGTTAATCAGAATAATTTACATGTGAAACATGGCATTATTGCTCTTTAGAAATAATTGCTCAATCAATGCTGTGTGCCTAACAAAAAACTACCAAGTGTCTGCTTTTTCACACCATAATCCTCAGTTTTTGCACTATAAAGGCAAAGTGGACCTTCCACAGTGCACCTTCCCACGATTTACAATATCGCTATTGAGCGATGACTTTATCAACAGCTCATATACCATCGTTGTCGTTAATAAAAAGGTTTTAAATTACACGAGGTGTAAATCAAACAGTTAATCATGAACTTCAAACTGTTTTCATCTTTTTACTAGCCAAAATTGGTTGTATTTGCTAAATACTCGAAATTTACATTGCCCAATGTCTTCAGAACACCGCCATGTTGTTTTTTAAAACTTGATTTCCGTCATAAGTTTCTTAAGTGTAATACGTATGGTGAACTTTAAGTACACTTCTAATGCGCATGTCGAACTTTAAGTACACTTTTAATGCGCATGTCGAACCATGGAACTAAAATACATGGAACGCCACCTGTAATAGAAAAGCCTAGAAATTTTTTGAAGCTAAATCATTTACCCAGACACGCGTGTGCAGTTCAATCAATTATCACTCCACGAGAGAATCTCGAAACACTACGCACGCGTGTATGGGTGTAAGATTTGGCTTTAATTATTTGCTTCAGGTGGCGTTCCATGTATTTTTGTTCAATGACGAACTTTAAGTACACTTTAATAAGCATGTCGAACTTTAAGTACACTTTAATGCGCATGCCATACTTCAAGTACACTTTTCATGCGCATGTCAAACTTTAGGTGTACTTTTAATGCGCATGTCGAACTTACGCCTTGCCTTTAAGATTTTCATCTGTTTTGTTTTTTTTATTTTATGGAAGGAAGAACAGTGGGTCGGTACAGTTATTCTAAATGGTTGTGAGTTTATCGAGAGGCCATCAAAGAAAGAGGGATTTTGTTTCAAGATATATCATCCTTTACAAAATTACATTTGGTCGACAAAAGTTAGTAATTTCCTAAAGGATTTGATTGTATTGAGTTTATTGAGCGTGGGAAGCTCCAATATTTTATATCGTCACGTCGAACTAACTTTTGTGCCTAAGTCATTTTGGGCGGGTAAGAGAATACGAGAAAAGTATTAATATAATTTTCAAAAACAGTCAAACTTTTTATTCAACATCCTGAATTTAGCAATAAATAAAGAACACAACAGTGGCAAAATAGCAGTTTTAGACAAAAATCAAAAAAATGAAAAAGATTGACTTCTAAGTGCAAAAAGTTAGTAACGCGACGACATAAATATAAAATGCAAGAATCTCCACCTAACTGAAATTATGATCACGTGACATAGGGACCACGTGGTGAGATTGCCGGTGCGTTAGTTGGTATTCCTTTACCAAAGGATCATTTGATATTACGATCTGCCTCGGAAACTGATGGTAAGTCTTAGATCGTGAATATTTAAGCTTATAAAATAAACACAATGAAACGCGTGCGCTGATTGGTCTAGAGCTGTGTTTGCATTAGCCTGTGCAAAGCACATCAGAGCTCAACCAATCAAATCAATTAAAACGATCAATCAGTCAAAGAGAATTTGCAAATCGATCATGAATACATTTTAGAGGAAAAATTAAAATGTTTGTCTTTTTTGCATTACTTTTATTTCATAAAAGAAATAAAAGATGTTTTTCGTGTTTCCACTGGCTTGTGCCAACCTCGGACACGTTTGTGAGAACTCTCGAGCATGTGCAATCTTCGAGTTCTGTCCCGGGCTTACACTGATCTACTCTCGAGTTCTCCCAAAGGTTGACTCGGTTTGCATTAGCCTGTGCAAACACAGTAAACATCTTTTATTTCTTAAATACTATTTTTTGTCAAAAGTCGAGGATTCCTCACATGTTTTGATAAACGTTTCATGTCGATTTTCTCAAGCATTGCAATATGATAAAATTAAACGTCGAACATGAAATAATATGGGAAAATGGATCTTTTGATTCTGCTCAAGTCCATTGAGGATTTCTTGCATTTTCTCAGCTCATTGATCTTGATTTTTCCATTTATGACATGGAAAGAAAGTTTTGTACGTATATCCATGATATGCTTGTAGTAATAGCTTGTGATTTGACAAAAGATTTGTAGCTACTTAAATCCTTTACATATTGGTAGTTGGGCACGTGATTTAATCCACGATATGTACTTTTAATCCTTACAATAGGTAGATGCTTGTGGTTATGTAAATGATTTGACGAAAGTCTTGTATTTATATCCATAGGTAGGTGCTGGCTAGATGCATTGGAAGTTTCTCACAAACAAGCTTACAACATGCATCGAGACAATAAAGGAATGTGAGTTCAAATTGTTATGTACATGCTATGTATGTGAAATGTGATTGGTTCATTCCTAGTCACATGACTTCAAATAAATGGAATGCTTCCCTGGCGGGCAAACAAGGAAGCACTTGTTGTTCGCTTATTTTCATAACAAGCAAAACAGAAATGAAGCCAAAAACTAAAAACAACGCTACTCGAAGTTATGATTTAACACATATAAAAAAGAGAACACTCGTAAGTTGGCAAAAAATGCTGTGATTTATAGCAGTTTTGCAACGAAATTGTTTACCTTGAAAAGCAGTTAAATGTTTACGATCTCTTTGCTAGATAACAAAACAAAAAACTGTAACAAAAACATTTTTCTCGTGAAAAAACTTGTTAAAATTCCAACTTATTGTATCCAATCTGATTTCAAACGAAACCTGTGTACAGGAACACCCGCAATTGAGTTTGACATATGTATTTTCATTTGCACAAGAGGCGACCATCTGATGATGGAATAATTTTTCGATGCGCAATTAGTCACCCATTAGAGAGAGGGAATTATTTCCACAAGAAAAAGTTTTTTTTGTTTATAACGGTACCTTCTTCGTTCAAGGGTTAGCGATCTTTATGGTAAGCCCACTTCAACGGAAGATCGAGAAGAAGAGACTGCACAAGGTAACGCTGGATATCATGGTGAACATGGGGTGTAAAGGGGGTATCATTTCAACTTTTTATCTTTAACCTTTAAGAACTATTCTCTTTGAATTTTTTATGGCATTTGCTATCAATCTTTTTATTAAATTTTATAAAAACAAGAACATATGGTTTTTTTGGATCTCATATATACTTAGGAGAACTTGTGCTATTTAAGGAGATTTCGAAATATTGTAGAAAAAACGTTCATAGCAACAGTTTTGTTTTGCCATTGTCTGAAGTCGTGTGAAAACTGTTTTATAAAAACATTTCAAAATACACTAGAACAAAAGAGTCAATGCTCGTTCCTTAAACTTTGGTACATAACATGTGATGTTTTTGATCACTACCAGTTCTTTTAAACTTTGGTACATAACATTTGATGTTTTTGATCACTACCAGTTCTTAAACTTTGACTTTGTACATAACATTTGATGTTTTTGATCACTACCAGTTCTTTTAAACTTTGGTACATAACATTTGATGTTTTTGATCACTACCAGTTCTTTTAAACTTTGGTACATAACATTTGATGTTTTTGATCACTACCAGTTCTTAGTTTTTGTGCAAAGATGTCATAATGGTTTGTTTTCATGTACTGGTAAAATATAAGCTAATATAAGTCATTGTATTGTGGGTATATTTCTATATAGCTACTTATTAATCAATTTTTCTACAGCTATGGGTCACTTAAGCGCAGCTGGCGGAGTGGAGATCGATGAAGTGAGCACAGATGCCATGGTAGCTATACTGTGTGATTGCTTTGCAATTAACGGCTCATTGTTTTTGCTATAAGTTTTAAGGAACAAGTGGAAATGTCAGAATAAAAGATTTGGAAAATGCATCAGACAAGGGGTGCGTGCGTGAGAGGGAAGATTGATAATTTAGGAGAGCCATATTCATATATTAATTAGTTTCTATGGACTCCAATTATTATTACGGAGTATATGCAATATGAACATATTATTATTGCCCCCCCCCTACGTCTTTCTTGCCCATTATTTTTCAATGTTCCGCCCCCCTTGGCATTTTTTACTCCTTTGTATTTTCTTTTAAATTATTGCATGAGTTTTGAACCGAAAATTTGACTCGGGATACATTATAAAAAGCAAAACATAAATTCTGTTGTTGTGTTATTAGATAATTATCTAATAAATTCCTAAGTAAAAATATCAAACTCTTTCAGAAGCTCATTAGTTTCGCCTTTATTTTTTTCATTTTCATTTGACCTAAAGTTTCTTCAAGTTTAATTTACTCAATGCATGCTTGTTTTTTGCAGGATAAATCTGATTCGGAGGATGAGAATGCAGATAATGGAATTATAGGTACATCATAAGTTTACTGAAATGTTTTTCCTACAGTAACAATGATTAATCTTCTATTTTTTCGCTTTATTTTAAATGTAGAGTAAAACTGTGTGAATACATTCATTAGAATGCAAAACATTCATTTAGTTCAACGTATTACAATTGTGGATTTCTAATTTAGATTGCTCTTTAACATAAATGACTAGCTATATATATGATTGCCTCTTTTTCAACACTATATTTTAATGTTACATTACTTATACGTAGCTGAATAGAATTGACTGACCAAAAATATCTTTAATTTTATGACACCAGCGTAGATTATATATATTGTAAAGTTAAAATCGAAGATTTTTGCCTTTGAAGACTTGTTATTTTCATAAAATACGAGTAGAATGTTTTTGTGATCCTTCTTTAGACTATGCAGACAGTGGTTCGATCGTTGAAACAACGTACACTGAAGAAAAGGAACCTGAATATCTTGGAGAGGTATACATTTGTGTTTTTCTCATTTCGTAGTTGGATGCATATTTTAGAAACGGAAAAGATTTTTGGTGTTTCTATTGAGTTATATGTAGAAACACACGGGAAAAGTTTGTTTCTATAACTCAATAGAAAATAAATGTATTTTCTGCTTTGATATTAAAGGTATCTTTTTAAAAACAGTATTTAAGAATATAAATATTTTTCATATGAATGACTTATTGTTTATATTTTTGCATTAAAAATTTCCCGTGCAATTACGGGTTTTCGAACATTCCACCAATCAGCGTTTAAAAAGGCTATTTTATAAAATATTTTAGATATTAAGTAGGATGGAGGGTCAAGTTACCACATAAAATCAACGGGTTTTCTTTGCTTTAATTGAAGTGATAATTTGATTTCATTCAGTGCGGAGAAGCTAGGGAAGATATGGAGGATGAAGGAAAAAGTATATTATGGAGCTTGATGAAACAGGTAAGTTCAGTATTGCGATGTTTGTGTGTTTCTTGTTTCTCTAAGAAAATGGAGCATCATTGTTTAACTGGGGATTCAAAAAGCCAATACTGTTTACACTGTTCATTATAAATCACCTGCATAAGCCTCTCAGTTTTCCTTAACGAGCTTAAGAACACGTGACGCGCCCTCGCGACGACGCTGATAGGAAGTGCATTCTCTCGATTTCGATAACTGCGCATGCGTCTGTTGGAAAATCTGCGCGTTTTGTCACGACGACGCTTCGACTTTTATCAAATTCACGGCGTCGTCAACGTTGTTTAGTTTTTTTCTGTACACTGAAATATGGCTCAAGAAACTGTTTACATCCCACAATAACAACATCTCTTTAATGTTTGCATCATATGCAACAGCAAGTAGTTCCCTAGTTTTTCTACAGCTAGTCATCGCTTTACAAACACATATGGCGTTGGTGATCAATTTTCTTAATCAGGTCTGTTGCTACGACAACGCCGTTGTTTTTAGCTTCGGCGAAGTCGTCGTGCTAAAGGTGCATCCTGGGATATTATGCTCATTATAAATCTGTAATAAGGCCAAACATTCATCCTGCTACAATTTACCTGTACGCTATTTGAAATATAAACTCAACAGATCGTCAATATTGTCAAATGTCGATTAGATGTTTCCTTGGAAATATTTATATCAATATTCGCTGCCGTTTTCATAACTCCGATGGTCTCGTCATGCGCTAATTTGACTGTTGAGAATTTCTCATGCACATATGCCGAGACGATTTCAAGATTTAAAATAAATATATATATGCATATATATAAAAAATGAAAGTTTCTCCGGATTGTTTTAAAACTTATTTTATTGAGCTTTCGACTCGTTGCTTCGAGCCTTCATCAGAATGAGGAAGTTATCTATTTACACGTGCTTTTAGCTTGTAGACGCTTAGAGCGTCGAATTGGATTAGCGGGTGGATTGATGTTATTGGATGGGGTGAAATGCGTGTTTTGAAAACAATCCGGAGAAACTTTCATTTTTTATGTATTAAATGCCTGGATTACCAATTTTCAAACTTATATGCATTTACATATACATATAGTATGAAAATGTCACTGCAGAGAATTTCCGCGTCTTTAATAAAAATCTTTGACTGACGATTATATTGATGGTGTTAAGTTTTTGGGTGCGTCGCCCGAAATTTTTCCCATTCAAAAAGCATAGTTTGCGATTCCAGTAAATACGACAAAAACAAAAAGCATAGTAAGAGAACTCCTTTACTGTTTTGCGACAGGTGAAACCCGGCATGGATCTATCAAAAGTAGTTCTACCAACTTTTATTCTGGAGCCAAGGTCGTTTCTCGATAAATTATCCGATTTCTACTTTCACGCCGACATTATTTCCAAGTAAGTTATCATATAACAAATTTGTTTGCCGAAAATTGATTACTTGCATTTAAATGCTTAACATTTGTTATCCACATCTAAAAGAAACTTAATTTCATTCACATCTATAGCTGGTTTAGCCCTTGTTAATTCCTTATCTTCTCCTTTCGGCTTCTTCCTTTACCGGAATTGCCACAGTGCGTTTTTTTCTCAATATACTCTTTCCATCTCATCCTCTTATCTCTCTGTACACGTATATGCCCTTTGTACCTCAATGCCTTATGTACCTATGTACCCTTTTTACCCAAGTATCCTTTGTACCCATGTACCCTCTGTACCTATGTACCCTTTGTATCTATATACCCTTTGTATCTACACACCTTTGCATTTATATATCCTTTGTATCTACTCACCCTTTGTACCTCAATGCCTTATGTACCTGTGTACCCTTTTTACCCATGTATCCTTTGTACCCATGTAACCTTTGTACCTATGTACCCTTTTTATCTCTATACCTTTTGTACTTGTATATCCTATCTTTACCGGTATTCTTGTATCACCTGTTCCACACCCATAGCTATTTTCAACTAAAAAGATTTTTAAGAAAATGTGGCCTGAATATTGGGTACAAAAACCTGAACACCTCCACTTTCCATTATACTCTATCGTGTGATTTATATTTGAAATGAAAATGTCGTATATAGGGCTGTGAAACACGAGAGTCCGTACGACAGAATGAAAAATGTTGTTAAGTGGTACCTATCTGGATTTTACAAGAAACCGAAGGTAAAAATAATATATTTCATTGAAAAGTTGTCATGGTAGCGATATGTTGATGTCACTGCTTCTTTGACGTTTATTGGTTTGACGATGTCATGTGACAGTAAAGACAAAATATCCTCTACTTTGTCTCTAAACTTTTGTTTATCTTGCATATCAATGGAAACATTTTTTGACAAAACTATGGAAAATATAGCAACACATGGTCAAATTATGCTTTAAGATAACGCCGAAGATAAAAAACAACCTTTATGGCGATATTAAAGCGAGTCAGAAAGAATAATCGCATATAAAACAAAACGCACACAGGTTTCACTCCGAATCACTCGTAAAAAAAGCTTGTAATTTTAAAGGATTGATCAGTTTACGATCGTATATGAGATCATTTAATGAGTTTGTACTTCTGAACTACGATTCCAACATCTCTAGGTATTTCCATGCAGTTGTGTACAATTTTCCACAGTTTTTCCATACCACAGTAGAGTTACCGATGACAAAAATCGCTGCATTTTGATCATATTTCATCATATTTCATTGTATTTTTTGCTTATCTATAAACTGATTTATCTCTTAGTTATTCTCGTATAAATTCACAATATATTTGCTCCTTATTTTCGACAGTAATAGCGGCGCTCCTTATTTTTGTTTTCAACTTTTGTACTAGATGCTTGACCCAGTCTTATTTCGAGATCAGTGATATTATATCATAGGTAGCTAGTATGTTACGTGCAATTGATGGTCAAATGTCAAAGAATGTTGTATCATTGCTATTGTGGGCACGAGCCGTTGTTGGTTCGCCACGTTTTTTGATAATTCCCTGGAAGCTAGCTGCAATCCAGTTGTCGAAACTTAAAAAATTCCATATCGAAATATATTTCGTCTTTAAAAACTCGATTTTTGCGTCAATGCTTACAAGTTACATACAAACTAACTATAATCACGGTTCTCATTCAATTTGCAAAAATGTTTCAAATTACGGCGGAACAATTCTTCACGTGATGCTCCATGATAGTAATCTGCATTGCCTTGAACCATTGTGACCATATGTGCAAAATTCTTTACCAGATCTGATCGGGTGAGATTAAAAAACGCCCCCCTCCTTCTTTTTCTGTAAACTGTTACTATACAACGTAGGTGGGAGAGTGTACATTCTCACCAAGCCAGATTCAGTAAAAAATTTTCGTGTTTGACCCATCGAAGTGAATATAACTGGAAGGCTCCTTCCCGCCAAATTTGATGCCATTAATTCAACCAGTCCCAATCTTTCCATGCACGCACGTCCCAACGAAAGTTTATTCACGACTATAGGCTAGAATGCGGGATTTTACCCCCAGACACGCGTGTCTTGGGCGAAAATTTGTCATCATGCTAGTACAGACTACAGACATGTTTATAAAAAATGGAGCATTCCACTTATATATTTAGTTCAATCGTCTGGTCACATTGTTTTAACACTCTTTTACTCCTGTATCTTTAGTCCTGTATCTTTTGTCCTGTATTTTTAGTTCTGTATCTTTTGTAGCTATCTTTAGTCCTGTATCTTTTGTCCTGTATTTTTAGTTCTGTATCTTTTGTAGCTATCTTTAGTCCTGTATCTTTTGTCCTGTATTTTTAGTTCTGTATCTTTTGTAGCTATCTTTAGTCCTGTATCTTTTCCTGTATTTTTAGTTCTGTATCTTTTGTAGCTATCTTTAGTCCTGTATCTTTTGTCCTGTATTTTTAGTTCTGTATCTTTTGTAGCTATCTTTAGTCCTGTATCTTTTCCTGTATTTTTAGTTCTGTATCTTTTGTAGCTATCTTTAGTCCTGTATCTTTTCCTGTATTTTTACTTCTGTATCTTTTGTAGCTATCTTTAGTCCTGTATCTTTTTTTGTATTTTTAGTTCTGTATCTTTAGTCATCTACTTTTGCATGCAAGCGTGCATTCAGTCTACCGTAGCGTGTTATATCGACTCGTGAATAGTCGACTTTCTTTACATGTTATAAAGCAATTTTATTGAAAAAGCATTAGGAAAGTCTTGTAAAAAATGTAAAAACCACGTTTAATGCAATAAACATAGTCTTATCTGAGCAAAAACATCGAAACTAACAAAGCACATTTATTTTCAATAACGATGTCAAAATACACGTTTTGTTTAGTCTCGTGTAGTATAAAAAAAGTTATATGTTTGGCCAAGTCGAATTTGCTCGATTTTATCATGAAAACATGCACTAATAAACTTAAAGTAATATTTGTGATACAAACTAAACTAGGATTGTTAACTGTAGGGTTTAAAAAAGCCGTATAATCCAATCATCGGAGAAAGATTCCGATGTTATTGGAAGCACGAGGAAACTGGTTCCCGGACGTTTTTTGTTGCTGAACAAATATCCCATCATCCTCCTATATCCGGTTTCTATGTTGCAAACCGACAAGATGGATTTGTTGTAAATGGTTGCATCTTAGCGAAATCGAAGTTTTATGGTAAAGAATGAACATTTTTCTATTGTTAATGTTAATATGCAGTAACCAAAGATGGGAAAAGATACTCTTCACTCTACAAATAGAGCGTCAATCTTATAGTTGTCGCAGGGTGAAATTTTGTTTGGTAAAAAGTTTTTTTAAATCATCACGGTATAGTGATGAGTGGTGACCCTTGTCTTAGTTTTATTAACGATATTTCTCCCTAATATCGATTCTTCGAAGTTTATTGGACTTCAATTGACCTGGAAGCCATTTATTTTATAAGATTTGTCTACCTGAGAATTACCGTGATGATCCACAATCGTTTATTAGACTAAACAGTTAAAGCAATTAAATGGTATGAACTTGGGAGTATCGTTATATGTTTGTACATGTAGATCGTTAAGGTTAGTAGAGTCCTGAGAAGGACAGTTTGTGTTGATATTGACTGACGTTTCAGACTCTGAAGATGACTACCACTAAGGTTGTCGAAACGTCAATCAACATCAACACTAACAGTCATTCTTGGGGCTCTACTAACCTGGACGATGTACATCTACAAACGTGTAACTAGACTATTAAGTCCGAAAAGTTTTGTATAAGTTATATTTATGACATATATCATATAGCAATTTCCTTTCCATGTCTTTTCAAGGTAACTCGACCTCAGCCATAATGGATGGTTTAGCGACATTGACATTGTTACCTCATGGTGAAGACTATGTAATATCTATGCCGTACGCACATTGCAAAGGTATAGAAATGATCACTGTACGTATGGTGTAGACTGACCGCTTATTTAATTTACTTTGCTCACTTGATGAACACAATAGATTTCTTTCCTTGGGTGTTCAAAAGAAAAAGGGGACCCGTATAAATTAATTATGACTTAAGTGAAATGATTATGCACTTATACTATCACCAGCATTCAAAACAATTTGATGAACTTGACTTTTCTGCACCTCTGGGATTCCTTAGGGTTAGTTAAGTATTTAAAGCAAAACAAGTTAAAAGTACTTTATACTCTGATTTTCATATCAAATTTCTTACGCAAAAGTTGGATTTTCATATCAAATTGGCTGAGTTCTAAAGGCCACAAAAACGTAATCATATTTTCCATAAGTTGAAACGAAAATGGACAAACTTGTAACTAAATTAACCAAGCTGAAGAAACAGCTTTTGCTGACTAAATTATCTTATGCAGATTTCATTTAATGCATTCATAATTATTTGTGCGTGTTCCTTTTTTGGGGAGGATCCTGTTGAAGTAAAAAATGATAATATTGCTGAAATTTACAATACTGAGGCTGGTTGCAGGAAGAGCGAATAGCGTTCTATTAATTATCTCTCTGTTAACAATCTCTCTGTTAATTATCAACTACAGGATTGCTTATTGGAACTCTTACGATGGAGTATGGTGGTGCGGTCAAAATTGAATGCGAAAAGACTGGGTACCACACCGAGATTGAATTTAAACTGAAAGTAAGTGCACTTTCAATGTACATATCTTGTAATCTTTGATTTGATTTTATTGAATAAGAGTTGATCTTATTCTAATATTTCATATTACATTTTGATTTTATAAATATTTTTGTGTTGCGTTTTAGCCGTTTTGGAAAAAGATCGGTGAAAGTAACCGTATTTCAGGAAAAATTAAAATGGGAAAACAAACTCTTTGTAAACTGGAGGGAAAATGGGTAATTAATCGCATTAAAGTGCCCCTTTCAGCAAAGTTTTTTATTTGAGATATTGAATTTAGGTATGATTTCCAACGTATCAGTTAAAAAAACAAAAGTTTGTCGAATCTTTCCATTTTTATGGTTGTTTAAAGTTGGCAAAAATGCTCCTGTTAATGGACCTTGTCCGTCGTTCGAAAAGTTTGGAACAACTTACTTTTTGACGTCATATTATGGACTCCTCAATACAAAACATATATACCAACTACCTTGGATGACGTCAGAATTTAGCTAGACCCAGACTCCATGTCACGACGGACAAGGTCCATTGAAAAGTAACTTTAAACCGCCATAACAAGAAGACGATTTTACCAAATTGAGAAATTTTTTCACCGATACATTAGACATTACACCTAGTTTTGATACTTTGCCAATAAAAGTTTTTGCTGATTGGGCACTTTAACTATTTTATCATGATTATGAAAAACCAACCAGCTTTATGAAGATTTTAAGAAAATCTCTCACTGGACATTCTTTAATTTCTTGTTTACGGTATATGACATACATATGTTCATGGTATTTAAAACTGACAGTGTAGGACCATTGGACTACAATATAACACGAAATTATTATTCATAAGTGAATTTCTGCTATTATGTTTTGAGTCATGTAATTTGTGTATGGGTGTAATAAATTAGCTGGGAATTATTTATCATTGCAAATGATATTTCTTTCAGTATAAAATGACCAGAAAATAGTTTTTTTCATATGCTCGATTTGCCAAAAACAGCGTTAAAATTCATTAGGTTTCACCTTTGTTTTTCTCAAACATACAATAGCTCGGAAATGGCAAGACGATTCGGTCCAAATTTCCCATTTTTTATTTTTACAGACAATGTTACTAGTTATTATCGCAGATTTTTACTGCAACAAATGCTGAAATTTCAAACGAGTCATCAAATGTGTAAACTTTCCCGAGGGTTAAATGCTATTTCCGTTTGTTGTCATTTAATGTATCAATGTATCAACTGTCCAGAATTCGCCTCCGCTTTTAGATCGTAGTCCTCGACAACTTTACAGATATATGTTTGTTCATATTGTTGCCACTGAAGTGCCAGGCGGGAAACGGATTCTCAAAATAAATATTAGAGCCCGACAAATAATTTTGAACATAGTCATATACAATTTGGTTATATGAAATTTATTAAAATAGTGACGTTTCGTCTTGACTCAAGACATCTTCAGACTAATAAGGAAGTTGACAAGAACTATAGAACGTTTCGACAGCCTTAGCGGTAGTCATCAATCTAGTCAACAACAACAAAAACAGTCCTTCTCAGGACTATACCAACCTGGACGATCTACATTTACAAACACGTTACGATACTCCCGGGTTCAAACCATTTTCTTTATTGCAATCATCTGGACGACAGAGCGAACAACTTGCTAACAAGCTGTATTTGATAACATAAACGTTTATAACCTTTACAACATAAACATGATGATGACGATGTACTTATAAAGATTTGGACTAATTACAAATTTAAAAGATGTTTGAGGCTAGCTGAAATTGCAAGTCGAAAAAACTGTTGTTTAAAAGTTTGCATTATTCATGGAGCCTGCCGAGTTATAGTTTCTGGTCATTTTAGGATTGAACTCTCGCAGTTGTTTGTTTTGTATTGTAAAGCTTTTTTATTCTATTCCTAGGATGGCGAGGTGTTGATGACTGATCTTCGTAATGTGGGAAAATCACGTGTGAGTATTTGTTCTTGTGTAAAATTGAGTTGGTTTATTTTTGTCACCAATGTAATTTTACGTGCTTGTAAATGTAGATCGTCCAGGTTGGTATAGTCCTGAGAAGGACTGTTTTTATTGTTGTTGACTGACGTTTCGACAACCTTAGCGGTAGTCATCTTCAGAGTCAAATGAGGAGTAAACGTCTGGTTAGCCGTATTTGTTCCTCATTTGACACTGAAGATGACTACCGCTAAGGTTGTCGAAACGTCAGTCAACAACAACAAAAACAGTCCTTCTCAGGACTATATCAAGCTGGACGATCTACATTTGCAAACATGTAACGATACTCCCGGGTTCAAACCATTTACTTTAATGTAATTTTGAATGAATTATTTTTCTCTGCAAGAAGTGCATCCTCTTGTGTTCTACAACGTCTAATAAACAAATTTTGCTTACAGACAGAGGAAGATGTGCTGCCAGACTTATTTTGGGAGCCTAGTTTGAGCATACGCAATGCTAGGTTGAAACGTCATGTTGTTGACATTGATGACCAGGAAGAGTTTGAATCACAAAAGTAAGTTGTATTCTTAAAAACTTGACGATGCTGCAATGGAATTATCGCTTTTGAATTTTTATGCAAACGAATCTTCATCGTTTTGCCCATGAAAGAAACTGATTTCAAGCACAATAATTTTAAATTGTTAATGTTGTATGTATAGTTTGAGCTCATGAAATATGTGTTACATTTTTTGCAAGCATCAGATTGGCAGAAAACGTACAATAATTATCAAATGTTTGCTAAAAAATACAGATTGTTTACAGTCTATTGGTCTTATACATTTTTTAACGTTGAGCTTAAACTGCTCCATGTAAATTGCTTTATGTGAACAGCCTCGTGTGAAATACTTCATGTAATCAGCCTTATGTGCATTACTCCATGTAAACCACTCGTGTACACTACTCTATATAAACTACTCCATGTAAACAGCCTTATGGAAACTGCTCCCTGTAACCAGGCTTGTGTATGCTACTCGTTCACAAAAACTTTATTTTGATGTGTTTTCACATTTTGTATCAATTTTTGGTTTTTCCATTTAGGTTGTGGCGTTATGTAAGTGATGCAATCCGTGCCAGCGACCAGGTGATCATACATTTTTATTGAAAAGGGTTTCTCAAAGGTCTTTCATTAGAATAGTGTATAGATGTAGTTTTGAACTTGGGTCAATTTAAGTTTTAATGATGAGGAAAATCAATAGCTGTTGATTTTTCAGGTTTTCTACGAAATATGACCTTAACTAATGTTTTAAGCGACTAAAAACCTAACATATGCTCACATATACCTGAAATATTCTTTATCTATAAGTTATGGCCGTCACTGTGCATTCATTGAGTATTTTTATAAAGATGTTTTTTTCATTGACCAGGTGAAGGCGACTGAAGAGAAATTTAAACTCGAAGAAGAACAACGCAGAGGACATCGCGAACGGAAAGAACAGGGGGTGGACTGGGTTCCAACGTTCTTTGAAAGGGATCCTTATCATCCGGGGGCCCTTAACAGATACATTTATAAATATAAAAAGTAAGTCGATGTCTTTGTAATTTTATTTACGTCTCACATCTTCGACGTGTTAGGATGAAGCCACTAAATTTATGCATTCAAACACTGATGTCTTGTTGGCAATATTACTTGGAATGGAAAGTTCAGTTGGCGCGCAACACAAAAAATGGCCGCAAAATCATATTTAAACTAAAACACAAACTTGGCCCAACCTAGCTATATAAGAATTGTCTTTCTTTTACAGTTCATAGAATTGGAAGAGAATTTGTGAACATGTTGTCATTGTTTGTAGTTTTCTGTCTTTTAATTTACATACCTGCCCACAGTCTTTGGGGTTCCCGCAACATGGCTACAGGTGTCTGCTAAACGTCACTGTGACATTAGTGCTTTTGAAGACTTCAGATGAAAATAAGGAATTCTCTACTATAAGTATCAAGTATGATGATTGTTTTTTTTTCCAAACATTTTTGTCCATCTTACAGCGTCCGTCCTTGGGATCCGATCACTGATGTAAGGGAATATGAAAACGAATTCAAGATAAAAACACAAACTCGCATTCGGGCACCCATGGTAAAGCAACAAAGTCTTGTTGCGATAAAAGTCAGCTCGACATCTGGCGACGATGATAATTCACATTTTTTTCATGAGCGTGCCTCGTCTTTCAGGCAGCACGAACGTTTAAGCAGTTTGGAAGACGATGATGTTGCGTCATTTGCTCAAACTCTAAAACCTTTGCTCGAAGCCCAAACAGAACTTAAGGAACAGATTCGATCAATCCGTAGCGATATGAGGCGTTATCATACGGCTAATAGTGATCAATTTACTCAACTACAGACTAAAGATTGGATATTGTTTTGTTTATTAACCTTAGCGTTCATATGGCAATGGTATTTTTCACGAATGAAGATCAACTAGGCTGTAGATGGAATTATTTTACCCTTCTAACAAAAAATTGCATATATACATATATAGTAGGTATAAGACATAAATTTTTTCGCACATGGCTAACGGGTTTCTTGGATGATTTTTTGTGCATTAAAGTGCCGATTATAACTAATTGTCATATGATTTCTTTTGAATTACAACTACAATTTGACCTTTGAATATGTTCTCAAAACTTTGCACTGGTAATTTTTTCGGTGCATGTGCACCTTTTCAGAGAAATATTTGGTCCACACCCTGCGTTTCCTAGAATCTTGTCAAAGCAAACTTTAGTACCCATTCCTTTTCGTCTACCAGCGATAGATTTCTGTGTTTTACCATGCATACTTTGACATCACACGATACAACAAGTCCTACTAAATTTCGTCTTTTCCTTTTTAGCAAATACCACAGCTTCGTGCTCATATGGCTTGATTCTTTCGAGTCTATGTCTCCTGCACGTTTTCCAGGGTAGTATTCTAATCCCTAGGTCATATGTTATTGATAGATTTGATAAAATACGCCCGGGTTAAGTGTATGTGACAAGCTTTCTCCATAGCAAGGTTTGATCAAAGGATTTTGATCATTTATAGTAAAAGAAATCAAGAGAAAAGATGAATTGCCCTCGCCGATAAGCGTTCACATATAAATTTCTTAAGTCGGCGACTGTTGTAATAGTTGGACAAGTTCAACTTCTACAACATCTCCCGATTTGTCTGCGATTAAATTACAACAACTACAACGCGCGTTCCCATATAGTTGTAATTGCTGTAAACCTTTATCGCCGATAGAATTACAACAATTACAACTATATGTGAACAAGGCTTAATAAAGCCAATGGTCAATACTCAATAGTCAACAGTCCATAGTCCACAGATAACAAGTCTAAGACCACATGATTCACATCCATAGTCCACAGCTCAGTCAAGGTTTTAGAACATGCCTCTCATACGGAGCTTTGACCATTGAACTGAAATACATGGAACGCCAGCTGAAGCAAATAATTGAAGCCAAATCTTACACCCAAACACGCGAGGGAAAAGTTTCGAGATTCTCTCGCGGAGTGACAATTGATTTAACTACCCACGCTTGTCTGGGTGTAATCTCGCGTCTCTGGGTGTGAAATTTGACTTAAAAATTTTTTTAGGCTTTTCTTTTACAGGTAGCGTTCCATGTATTTTAGTTCAATGGCTTAGACAAAACTGCTACTTATTAGCTTGTACGAAACAGTTGTATTATTAAGAAAGGATTTATTTCAAATTTGTGTTTCACCATTTGTGAGATAATGTAGCAAGAGAATACTTCTAGCATCACGTTGAAGTATTTTTTAGGGTTTATTACTACAATGCGCTAAAAATTCATTGCCATCGTGGTTCTTTACTATAGATTATTCTTATGAGTGGTACTGTTAAATATGGCGGCGCATCTAATTATAGTTGTCTACTTCCGGCTTCAAATTTTGGCAAACACTATATTGGTAATGCACAACCATGTAATATACATATCAATGCACGGACCGGCACGCTATCACTAAAAATCCTCAAACGTGTAATGCCTCCTTTGCAGGCAGTTTTACACTTGCCAGCTATTTTGTTTTTGTATTTTGCTTTTGTGCGCATGCGTTGATGCCATTTCAAACCGATCTGAACGTTGATTTGAGTTTACATTCATGCCGGTTTCAATTCAGACCGCTCTTCACTCAGTCGGATCGGTTCAGCAAACAGCACGACTTCACAGATCGCTCTGAGTTATTTACTTACCAGTTTCATGTTAACATCTTCTATAAGTAATACTGTAACTGACACGAGCTGGTACCGGTTTGACTTCGTTCAGGTCTACTGTAAGCAGGGCTTACGATTTACGATTTCGTTTATTTACGTTGTTGTCAGTTTTCTCTGCGAAAATTGGTCAACAAGAAAAACTTGTTTTCTGAAATACCGTGAAACAATGTGTTTCCCTCGATCTTGTTTTGGGTGGTGTTTCCCTCGATCTCAAACAATACGTGCATAATTGTACTTTGAAACTTCCGTTCTGCTGAACACATTGAATACGAGTTCGACGTTTCTGAGACATGTGGCAAAGAAATAGAATTGTATCGTGTACTTATGGTTTTTTCTCACTTGGTGGACGATTATTTTCAAGTCTACCAACTAAAAGTATCAATGTGAAACCGCGCCGTGAGATACCGGGCTCCAGCATGCTCAGAAATATGATTAAATACAGTGGTCGTCAAAGTTTGGATAAATTTCAGGAAGATATTCAACAGCTATTTGACAAATATGGTCCTATATTCCAATTCAATATGCCTGGTCTGAAAATGGTTTTTGTTTCGCATCCCGAGGACATCGAACATGTGTTCAGAAATGAAGATCAATTTCCATTGCGTGGTGTTCATAGTTCTTTCGCAACATATTTTAAATCAAAGGGATTGAAGGAGGGTATATCTGGAGATGATGATAGTTGGAAACATCATCGATCATGTACAGCTCCTAATATGATGCTACCACGTCAAAATCAAGGATACATGTCAGGTATTTATAAAGTATTTTGTTCAAAAGAAGTTTTTTCAAATTATTTTGCAATTCAGCAGCTGCCAGCTGTTGTAGTCTTTACTTACACTAAGCAATCAAAAAGTAAGGGTTAGGATTAGGGTTAGGATTTGGGTTACGGTTAAGGTTACGGTTAGGATCATGGTTCGAAAGAAATGTTAAAGATTGAAAACTTGGCCAAACTTTAAACCGTTCTTACTGAAATGGAGCGGAACTTTCATTGTGAGTTTGTGAAAATTATTTTATTGAGCTTTCGACTAGGTGCTTCGCATAGGATAAACATATGATTCTCCCAATCATCGATCGTCGATTCCTACGGCCTTTGTGTCTTTGTTACTCATGTATTGATAACTTTTACCGCTAAAAATATATATTTTGGATACAACAGTAGCGTGCTTGCATGCTATTTGCTATGGTGAATTATTCGGTTATTAATAATGATTTTAAATCACTCACTTGTTATAAAGCAAATTAAATAATTAAAGGTTGAATTGATTACATAATGGCTTACTTTTACTAAAGCAACGTGACATCACTCTTGTGTGTACTCAGTACTGCTTCGCGATACAGTTTTCAGAACTCTGATATTTTTTGAAATGGCTTGCAACAGTTACATTTGCAATATGATGAAAATATTGTTATATGTAGTCCAATAAAAGCTGTAAGACATTTGGAAATAACTAAATGTTATCAGAAAAATATCGCCAACATTACATAATTGTTATGTAGTATTACAAAAATAACTATCCCTTACTATCCCAATTGTATCCCTGATCCTTCATATTAACTACTTGTTTCTTCTTTCATACATATGATTAGATGAAAATGTACAATGGGGTACAATATGTTTGTGGAAATTTTTCACAGGTCTCAACGAAATTGCTGTTGACAGTGTTTCCACTTTAAATGAAGGAAGAAATACAAATTTACTGCCATTGTTACAGCTTTGGGCTGCAGAAAGTGTGTTGTATGTGATGTTTGGTCATCGAACATATATCAATCTTGAAAACTGTGATGAAGATGCTTTGGCGCTTAGTAAAGCAGCGTTTAACGCATTTGAAAGCGAATCAAAACTGATCTTCAGTTTCCCATGGTACAAATACTTTAAAACTCCTGAACTTCAAAGATTTTTCAAAGCTTGCGACACTCTCTCGATCTTTACGCGGAATTTCATGAGCAAAGTAAGAAACAAACCAACCGCTTTGCCAGATGGATTCGAGAGCGTGTTTCAGAAAATTTGCAAAGAAAAGAAATTATCTGATGAAGAGATTATTCAAGTCACAGCAACATTACTTACAGGTGGTGTTGATACAACTTCTACGATGGTGCTTTCAACTTTGCACATGTTATCAAAGCATCAAAATTGCCAGGAGAAGTTATACGCAGAGATAAGGAACAGTCTGCAAAACGACGAAGTTCCCACGTACGAGCACTTTACCAAAATGCCATACCTCAAAGCCACGATACATGAAGTATTTCGTACAAACTTGTTAGTATTGGGAACAAGTCGCAAGTTATCTAAATCGATTGTTCTAAGTGGGTACGAAGTTCCTCCGGGTACGATAATTACTTTGTCGTCGGCGAAACCTAAACAACTTCATCAGAAGTTATATGGTGATGATGAAAAATTTAAACCTGAAAGGTGGTTACGAGAAAACAAAGATTTTCATCCATTTTCACTGCTTCCGTTCGGTTTTGGTCGCCGGATGTGCGTTGGTCGACGTATTGCAATCATGGAAATTTCTTTGTTTCTAATTTGCTTTTTACAAAAATATAAAATAGAAGAAAATTTAAAACCAGGTGATCAGTTGGATTGGAATTATGGCATCGTTCTACGTCCAGATAAACCATTCAATGTATATTTAACTAAAAGATGCCAGTGACCTATAGTCGGGCTGTTTATATAGATCAGCTTTGGTAATTTTCTGTCGGCATTTGTCTATAAAAACATCCTATTTCTAATGAAATGCGAAATTATAGTGTTCTTAAATTATAAAGAATGTCTGTCAACCAAGCTCATGGCGGATTTTGCAATTGTTTTGAAGTTGTAAAAGTTCTCTCAGCGTTCTTGACTGACGTTTCGACAACCTTAGCGGTAGTCATCTTCAGAGTCAAAAGGCGTAAGAGCCAAATAACAAATACGGCTAACCCGGCGTTTACTCCTCATTTGACTCTGAAGATGACTATCGCTAAGGTTGTCGAAACATCACTCAACAACAACAAAGACAGTCCTTCTCGGAACTATAACAACCTGGACGATATACATCTACAAATAGTTAGCTATATCATAAAAACGACATTAACATATTTCATAACGTTGGATTTAGACTTTTCCTTATATTGCGCTTCAATAAAATTATTTTACGTAAGTAAAAACAATACAACTATTTAAAGGCCAAGAAATAGCGTTATTTATATTTAGCTAACGACTTGTATGGTAAGATCATTCAATAAATTTGACAAAGATCTCAAAGCTTTTAAAGCAACGTTTACTTTCTGTACTTCGAATTAAGTTGCATAGGCGATTTGCATTTGGATCGTGACTAAAACACCACACGAGTACATACGAGTGACATACGAGTACATACGAGTGACATACGACTATATAGGGTTAGGGTTAGATATATATATATATATACTGGTCACAAGTATATATATATATATATCTAACCCTAACCCTAACCCTAACCCTAACCCTAACCCTATATAGTCGTATGTCAGTCGTATGTACTCGTATGTCAGTCGTATGTACTTGTATGTACTCGTATGTCAGTCGTATGTACTCGTATGTACTCGTATGTACTCGTGTCGTGTTTTAGTCACGATCATTTGCATGTTACATCAATTATTACGTGAAGGAAGCCATGTTGGTAGTCAAATACAAAAGAATATTTTATCAATGCTGTTGAAGGCACTAATATAATAATTTCGTGGAAGTTAAGTGGAATGAAAGTCCTGACTTTCTCGCCATGATACTCTTTGTGTAACTAATCTCTAATTATTTAATTTTTTCCTGATTATGACGTAAAACGTTGTCATTGCCGATAATATAAAGAAAATTTAACACTAACCGATGGCAATCTGGTATCGATGTTTTTCAACCATGTTGGAGGTCTTATACAAATGAGTATTTGGTGGGATCAATGAACTCTATGACAACTGGAAGGCTTACTCATTGAAGTAAAATGCATGGAATGCAATCTCAAGCAAATAATTGAAGCTTATCTTACGCCAGTCACGCGAGATTTACCCCAGACACGCGTGTTTAGTGTTTGAGATTCTCCGGCGGAGTAATAATCGATTGACTACACACGCGTGCCTGGTGTAAAATCTGGAGTGTCTGGGGTAAAATCATGACTTCAAAAAATTATTACTTAGCACTGTAGTAGGCATTGGAATTATCACAATTAGGCCCAGTTCAAACGTCGAACTTTACATGTCCCGAATGCATTTGAGAGAAAAAGTAATGAGGAATTTCATCTTATTATCTTCTGTCTATAATGCATTCGGCACATGTAAAGTTCGACGTTTGAACTGGGCCTTAGTCAATTATTGATACACCCTGTAAGCCTGGTTCACACGAGTAAAATAAGCACAAACGTCGAGACTTTAGTTTCTATTGTTCTAGAGGTTTATAAAGACAATGACATTATGATTTTCTTTAAATCCTCTTTTTTTCCTTTTTTTGTTCTTCTCTTAGCTTATGCTTGAATTTTTTCCTTATGCTTGCGCTTATGTCAAATCTTATGTTTACATGCTTCTTTGATTATCTTTGTTTTATCTTTTGTCTACGCTTGTCCTTGTCCTTACTTCACTCGTGTGAACCAGGCTGTAGTCTAAACAGGACGTCAATTGTTTCTGGTGTCACTACATGACGACAAATAAGAAAAGCAGTTAATTCTGTTTAAAAGCAAAGCATAGGTATAAACGGACCCAATATCGATAAAAGTAAATTCAATAGAATTTTTTTGTGCTTTGTTTCCTCTATACATCCGGAGAGACATTGTTTGTATCACAAGTAAACTTCAGACTTCCTTTTACATTTAAAATCATTTCCATGCGTGTTTTATTGCAACGTCAAACAATGTTAGCTTATCATAACAGCATTACAAGAGAGCAAACGCCATCTTGAATCATAAAGTTTAGTCATATGAAAGCTCAAGTTCATCCAGTCAAGAAAGAACTGCTGTATATTGAAAAAATGGAATTCGTATTTTCGCCATTTGATCGTAAAATTGACTGGCGTCTACTGGGTAAATAGTATTTTTCTTATTTTTAGAATCCATTGTCGCAAGCGAATGCTATTTATCGTATAAATTTACAGTACGTAAATGTACAATTTTTTGCTGTTGACAATGTGCTCGGCAGAATATTTCTTGTAAATGCAATGTTGTGAATTAAGCTCTGAAATCTTCCGTGTTGTATTTCAATTTAGCTTTCGTTGAGATTCAAAAAGTAATTGATGAAGTTGCTCTAAGTGTTTTGGAAGAGAATTTAGAGAATATCTGTTTCTGTGATATCGAAAAAGAAATGGTAAAAAACTTTATAATTTTTCTCTTTGCAGTACGAGTACAAAAGAACATACCAGGCTTAGCACATTAGAGTAGTCAACCTGATTATTTATAGTCTTGTTATGCAATTGCAATAACAATAGACTTCTAAAATAACCTTGCTCTGCATTACGAGTACAAAGCAAATACCATGCTTACCTTATTGACGTAATCAACCCGATTGTTTAGTCTTGTTATGCAAATTGCAAAAACAATAGATTTCTAAAATGACTTTGCTCTGCATTACGAGTACAAAGGACATAACATGCTTACCTCATTGACGTAGTCGACCCGATGGTTTGTAGTCTTGTTATGCAAATTGAAAAACAAAAGATTTCTAAAATAACAAACAAAAGACTTTTATGAGTATGAGGAGTTCACTAGTGCTACTCGAGAACATTGTTTGGTTATATTTGCGTATTGTGATATGGTTGGAAAATGTTACAACGAAATTCACGACAATATGATATCACATGTGGCAAATATGTATGTGTCATTATAAAGACACTCGCGTGTGAAACGATCCAAGAAAGATTTTGATTGGTTCGATTATTCGTGTTAATTACCGTGTTTTTTAGATTAAAAAGGAATGATAATAAGGGTCAGAAATCTACATAGTAAGACTGAACCAGGAAACTATAATATCAACTGGAACGCCAAATGCGTCGCCATCTTTGAAGCCAATACTGATGTTAGTTTTTCTGCGTTTTTAAAAGAAGCTCTATGATATTATTTTTACAAATTAACAACGATATGCATAAAATAAAGTATCACAAATGGCCATGATAAGTTTTACCTCCCGAGACTGGGTAATATGCCTAAAGATGCAGAAAAAACGTCATGATAGCTGGCTTCAAAATGGCTTCTAGCCCTAAATTGGAGCATATTGGAATTAGCGTTCCAGTTAATATTACAGTTAACTGGACTGGACTTGCTCGCTAGCTATATGCGTCTTTATATGCTTTATATATCTAAGTACAATTATATCACTTGTCCGTATTCACACTCATACGAGATGAGTCTAATTGAGTGCGACAAAAAAATTGTTCGCGTTCATTGACGTAATATTCTTTTTCATACGGTTTGCTAAATTTGATCTCTTTTTCATGTAGTGAATTGTCGGCCTTGCTCTTGAACAAAAGATTTATTCCAGTTTTTTGTATAATAATTTCATTGTATTAGGAAAATAAGTAGGAGACCACACAAATGTGCTATCAATCTTCTCCATTTAGCCACAGTTTTCATTTTAAGAGTGGTTTATATTATCCATAAATTTATTATGGTTTCGTCAGTAAAGTCAAATTTCGAGATTTTGCTGATGTAATTTTAAGTTAGTTTGAAGTGAACATTATGAATAAAGTATTTTATGCTTTGTTTCAAAACGTTTTAAAAAACCTTCATGAATACCATACATTGTCGTATTTCAGAGCTTCTTCAAGACTCATAAACATTTTATTGACCTATTCAAACTGGCTCAACTCATCATTCAGTACTTGTTGGTAGGTTTTTCTGGATTTCATCTGAACTTTGCTATTATTTTAGTACATTTTGCGCGACTCACTTAATCATTACTAATAATCTAGCAATTTTGCTCCATTCAATTAGTTTTTAAATATAAAATGTTGTGGTTTTAACAAGTTCTGAATAATTGAATGAATGGCTGAGATTCATTGATGGAACACTTATCAACAGCGAAATTTTCTTTTTGTTTGGTGTTTCTCTAACCAAATGTGGAACAGTTGTAAACTGTTTTATTTAAGCACAAGTTGCAAATTTTGCAAATATACATCAATAAATACAACTTTCAGCCTAGCTCTCATTGAGCAAGGGGCCGTCAATGGCCAATTTACAGAGGGCCCCCACTGGTTGTGTTACGGGGGTTACGCCCTTGTTTGAGAGCCTCGCCTATATAAACTATAGCTACAACAGGCTTCAATACGTATATACATATCTAAAATCTACTAATGGCGGATCTAGAGTACGTACAAATAAATTATAGCTCCTCTAAAAATTCAAATTACATTCAGAAAAACACAATTAGTCTTGAATTTCTAAAGAATATAATTTTACAAATGGATTTGCCTCTAAAGTTTTTAAAAATGTAAATAAATGCCAAAATGTGCTACATTAATTTATTTTGACTTCATCTAGATCCGCCAGCAGCTGTAATTTGACTTTTCTATATGAGTCAGTCGGTTAGAGACAATGTATGATAAATGTCAATAATAGTGCCTCGAATCAATTTTTTAACAGAATGCTCAAAAATATTTAGCAGCGTTTTTATAAATGGTATTGTTTTTAACAATAGCTTCTAAAATTTGAAGTTTTCATTTTAGTTCACGCAAAGTGTTTTGTCCTCTAGAATTAAAGATTTAAGAAATGTAAGTTGATGTTAATAGGGTTTTTGAACTTTGATATTTGTAATTTATCTAATACCGTCTTTTAATACCGTCATGCTCTGATAAACGCTGGAGGCGATCATTAGCTATCATTATTCTATTGCTTTTGCAGTGAGTGAACATAAAAAAATTTAAAAGTTACGACCAAACTTGCGGGCTGTTTACGCTATGTAAAAGTTTGAAACGCCTTATATGGCGTTTTGACTAAGTCTTTCCGACTGCTCTGCATATGAGATGAGTGTAAGATCAATCAAATCATTAAGATATCAGACTGGAAAAAAGAAAAAAAGGCTATTTAACAATACCAGTAAAAATAAACTTGTAAAAAACACATTAAATTTAGGAAAACGAAGACATAAAACGTATTTTGCGCAGAAAATCTATACTTGAAAAGTCTGTTCAAGCAAACACGGAAAGATGTATGCAAGAAAAGAGAATAGACAATTTAACAAGACCAACTAAATTCCAGATTGGACATGAAGAAAACTGTAAAAAACATCATACAACAAAAGAGGCAACAAAAGATACTTATGATGTACATTCAATAAACACAAGTACTCAGTACGAAATAGTTCCTCACCATGAAAAACAGAGAAACGGAAAATCACTATGTCAACAATCTACCTTTCGCCAACAAAGTGTTTTCGAGTCTGAAGCAATAAAGATTTTTCAGAAACATCAGAATAGCAAATTCATGCAGTCAAGCATTACTGTAAGTATTAAATGTTACTTGCGATAATGAACCATCGTCCCGTTGTAACCTCATGACACTGACCGCACAAGTATCTACGTGTTTATGTGAAAACCATTAAAGTTTGAATTAAGAAATAAAAAATGTTTACTGCGTTTGCACAGGCTTATGCAAACCAAGGAGACTTTGGGAGAACTCTAGAGCAGATCAGTGCAAGTCCGAGACCGAAGGTCGACGGTTGCACCTGCTTCAGAGTTCTCACAAACGTCTCCGAGGTTTGCATAAGACAGTGGAAACACGAAAAACATCTTTTATTTTTTTTATAAAATAACAATAATGCGAAAAAAAACAAACATTTTAATTTTTCCTCTAAATTGTATTCATGATCGATTTGCAAATTCTCTTTGACTGATTGATTGTTTAGATTGATTTGATTGGTTGAGCTCAGATGTGCTTTGCACTAGCTAATGCAAACTCAGCTCTTAACCTATCGGCACACGCGTTGCATTTTGTTTATTTTATAAAACTGCTTCAAGAACACTTCAATCCCTTAAAGAAAAACATTTAAATACGCTGCTAATTTCTTTTGCAAAGAAGAATGGAAAAAGTTTGCATTGCCAATCACATGTCAATCGCCACCCCTTGAAATGAAAAGATACATTATGCATATCACAGAGGATATTAAACCCGCTGATTTATGGTTCTGCTGTTGTAACATTGGATAACTCATGGGCGATTTAACTTTGCTTGTTTAAATAAATATGAAACTTGCAGTAGCTTTTAACGACAGTTTGTCCTTTCATATTTAAGCTTTTGAACCTTGTACATACATTAATAAACACATATATATTGAAAAATTTGTTGTAATTGTAGACTTATTAGTTAGTTTATAAATGAAATGCATGAATAAATCATTGTTGTGCATGTTGTTTAATTTATTTCATACCAGGTTGAAATGTTACAAGATGAAATTTCAAATTGTGTAAAACAAACTAAGGAGAAGATTTCTTTATTGGTCACGGTAAAATTACATTTACAGCAAAACGTTTTGATGAAATTTTATTTTCAATATAGTAACAAAAGATGTGTCAAATAGTTTCATTAAATTAAACTCACTCTTTATTATTCCAGGAGCTGGACGATCTTTCTTCAGTAGAAATAGACGAATCACAAAATGAGACTTTGGAATTGAAAAAGGAAAGTTTTGTCGACCAAGGAGAAACGAAGTTAACATCAGACACAAGTACCAGTCATGATTATATTAAGTACAATTTAAATTTAAGGGAAAAGAATTATAAAAATGCTAGTAGAGAGATGGAGCAAACTGTGTCAGTGACTTAAAAAACGTTGTATTAAATTGTGGCATGCACAATAAGCATGCTTTTTTATTATTTTAGGTAGTTTTACAACTTCAAGTATTTCCCTTTGTGGATCAACTGTAGAGAAGGAACTATCCGAAAGTTTAACAAACAGGAAAAACTTTACATTAAAATTCTAACTGAGATATGAAAGTGAAGAACAACGTCTTTCTTTGTTGTGCTCAGAAAGTGGTTGCCTGTATGCTGAATCATTGTTTCTGTCAAAAAATATACTGAGATAATTGAACTACTCGAGACACTTCCGGGATCCACTTAAAGCAAAGAAATGTTTCACATCAACTAAAATTTGTACCGATGCAATCTATTTGCTCTAAAGCAAAATAATGGATCTTATAAAGCAAAACTAATCGACTGTTATAGACTGCCCTTATATACATTGGCAATTGCTAAATTCACATCATCTATTTGCTTTCGTCGTTCAAATTACAGTCGATGTGGTTGACTACGTTCACTTAAAACTAATATATACAGCATTACAATAGCTATTTTTCGTTTTTTCTCTTAAATATATGTGTTTATTAAACTTACCTACCTGCCTGATAGCTGATATGTAAACCTTTCAAGTAAAACGAGTCATTTGAATTGGTCACTTGTGACATTTATACAAATAAAATAATAATCATTTGGCATACGAGCGAGCCACCAGCATTGATAAAAGCGATCATCTATATAGCGAAAGGAGTCGTATAGCGTTGTGAATGTTGCATTCATCGTGGGAAAGCCATATACAAGCTGAATAGAACATGAAACATAACGTAATATTTCTATTTAGCTTCATCAAAGAAATGTCGTAACGTTTAATTTGCACTCATTTCACAGCGTGATGTTAAATAACGCTGAAATATACATTCACAATTTTGCATAACGAAAGCATTGCGTAAATTTTTATTGAATGTCAATAAATGACAGCCATTTTAATGCAATTCATTTCATATTCCTTAACAGAGTTAACATTTTTACCATACTTCTATAATACAGTATTTGTAGGATAGACAAGCAAAATAACAGATTTTGAATAAAACAACGCTGTATTAGCTGAACTTTAAATCTAACTAAAGCTAAGTGCTTTGTTCGTTATATCTTTTGTAGTTTGAACAATTTAGAAAGCTTTAAATAATCTGCCAATGATTTAATGTTGGCAAAAAAACAAATACTTTCTTTTTAACAAAGTAGCTATTTTTCTGGTTAACGTCTTTCGCTCCATTCTAAATAGGCAAGAAAATCGAGTGTATCATTAAATTTAACTTCTTTCAGTGAAAATATAATGGAGTCAATCTTGCGTTTGAAAACAAACAAAAAACAACGAGTCATGAATGTTTTTCACGACAAAAGCTGTGGTTTGACGTTGATAGAAAATTCGAAAATACGTTGCAATGCTGAAAATAGCGGACAACTGCGGTTTTAAATATTTGAAATCTTTATGTACAAGGTAGCCAACGGCGTGAAAAAACCCTCTATAATATTTTCTTAGCTATAAGCACACAAGAATTTTTTGAACTGATCATCCTTTTGCTTTATTACTTCATATATCATTATGTAGGGAAAATTAAAGTTTTACATACGAAAGATGGAAATACACCAGGAAATAAAGAAGACAATTCAAATAAAACTTCCTCGTTTATATGAAGTGAATTTGAAGAATTTGATTAAAAAATAACAACATAGAGATTTGAAAGCATTAAATGAACTGCGTTGGACACAGATTAATACACTAGCTAGATTTTCTTCACTTAGAAAAATCTGATTGACTTATAACTATAAAGTGATTTATGTTTTAACTACTCAACTAGCTATTAAGTTATTGCTGACGTGCTTTTTATTATGTTAGTTTCCGTGTTTCTTTCCTTGTTTTATTACAATATGTCAGCTCAACGAATACTTTGATCTGTATGTAACTCATGTTCGTTTTAGCTTAGCGTCACAGCGTTGTAATCTGAAAAAAAATCCCTTATTAATAAACAGCTTGATACATAATTAGAACATAAAAGATAAAAGTTTCTCCGGATTTTAAATGATTTTTATAGAGCTTTCAACTCGTTGCTTCGAGCCTTCATTAACGAGTCGAAAAGCAACGAGTCGAAAGCTCAATAAAAATCATTTAAAATCCGGAGAAACTTTTATCTTTTATGTATTAAATGCCTGGATTACAAAGTTTCAAACTTATAATTAGAACAGTACAAAGAATATCCTGTGCTATTACCGCTATAAGCAAATTCAAATGCATGGGTGTTAATTATTGAAAAGTTCATGATTGATTATTTACTGTGGATTTATACATGCAATCATCGAAATCCTAAACGTTTCTTGTAAGTAAATCACAGATTTTGATGATGAGAGTTTCAATCGCGAAATAACTGTAAATTCACATTCGAGTGTACATAACGAAAATGATAATGTAAGATCTTTTGCGTTGGTGTCATCAAAACTCAATGCATAAGATTAACCCGGAAACTCTGTCCTCTAAATCTGCGTGAAAAGGTAATACGCGTGGGCATAAATCAGCTCCTTAAACAACGAGAAATTGTTTTGTTTTTGTTTATCATTTTTGACTAGATCAAAACAGAGAAGTTTCGAAGTTGATGATGTAATATAGGGCAATGTTGAATACTATAAAAGAGAGGTAAGCAGTGCAAGGAGGCAATAACATTCTACATCAAATAAACGATATCAACAAAGCCAACATTGTAAAAAGACAAAATATCAATGGTCATCAATGGATAAACATATTAGCTTGAGATTTCTTGTCTTGATCTTGATGAATGTTTTGGTTTACCAAGTGGAAAGTTGCTTAAGCAGGTGAGTTCAAATTTTTAACTTTAAATGATTTTTTTACGTTTTTGATGAATAGACGCGAGTTTATACTATACAAATAATCTTATAATTCCCTTCATTCATTCATTGTTCTTTTTCCAAAGAAAGCACAAAGTATGTAATTGTGTAGTTGCTGACACTATAAAAAGGGATGGACGATGTTTAAAAGAAATTCCTTGTTCAACTTATCGTAAGTATATATGAAGACTAAATTTGCGTTCAACTTATTATCGTAAATATACGACGGCCATATTTGCTCAAAATAATATAAGCCGAATTTTTGGTTCGACTTGCACTAAATGGACAATAATGCTTTTGAAACAAGCAAGACTTCAGCGCTGCGGTAGAGAAGCTATGAATGACACAGCTTAAAAGTAGCTTAAGTATTATCATGAACATTTAGTTGACTTGACTTTGATAGTCTAGTAGAGTTTTTTTACAAAGTTCTAACTAGAATAACTCGACTTGCACAATGACTGCTGCCGTGTTTATCTCAAGATGTTAATTCAAACTTTATATTAAATTTTTCAGAGACTTTTCCCAGTACTGTGAAAAATCAAAGACTTGGTTCAAGATATATTATTTATATGCAACAATTACGTCATGCCTATCCTGCTGCAAACACCCCATTACATCGTTGTGCGATTGTTGGAACTACATATGTAAAAGAATTCAACGTTTGCACCAAAAGATTAAGATGCGGAGAACCAGGTAGCTATATAAACTGTTTTTTCTTTTACATGTGCTCAAACCCGATGTTTTAATATATTTTACACACAATAACGATATATGCAAAGTCATACCTAATTTTTATACATGTACAAGGCAAGAAATCAAAAAATATTTATTTGAAGAACCATCCTGCGTATATTAATTTATTTACAACTTTTTGGTTCTTTTTATGGGAAGTCTTTACGCTATAGAGGTGGTGTGCAACCATTCCCCTGGGAGAGCGAGGGAACCGAAGAATGTTCGCCATGTTGAATGACATTTGCATTGTAAATAAGCAAAATCCTTTTATTTGAAATCATCCAACATGGCGGCTATGATGTAGCTTGCACACTAAGAATATAATTCAGTTGCAGTTAGATTTTTATTTACGCAATTTTTTCCTTTCTTTATAATGTTTATTTAAAGGAAGCTTCTTTTTTTTTTATTTAGTACTTGGAGTTGCTAATGGAGCAGTATCAAATCGTTATTATGTTTGGAACTCTAAATTATACAAATCTTACGCTCTACTTTGTTCAACAGTATGAATTAAAATTCCAATAATCAACTATTGTGCATTACAAATTACAACTTTACATGATGTTCATCTAAATCCATCCATGTATGTATACACGTAGTTTTACATAAACTTGACAATAGCTGTACGTGACGTTCATCAAACTCCATGTTTGTATACACGTACTTTTACATACACGTAACAATAGCTGTACGTGACGTTCTTTAAAATACAGAACATGCACGTACTTTCACAAATATATATTATAGAGAGAGACGAACTTATGTAAAGCTTTTTTTGTTATCTATTCATAGCTACATTATACAAAGGAAATAAAAAGATAGATTGTTTAAAGTTCAATGTGAATATTTTCTCGCTTATAAGGGATTGCAAATATAAATTTAAACTCGCGAATCATGACAATGTAGATGGCATACTTTCGCAAAAAATGAATCGACGAAGGAAACCTATGGTCACTGTCACGAGCACCACGCATGCAGATAATTTAATCGATTGAAAAGTTTGCATGGTTGCCAAAACTACAGTAGTGTTTTTAATGATGCTAATAAGTTATGGATTTTGTATTTGTTCACCTACCATCATATGTTCTTATATTAGCCCATATACCATTTGCTTAAGTAAAGGCAAATTTCATGCGAGTGTTTCTTTATTGGATACACTTTGCGGCCATTCTGTAGATTTGGTATCAATAAATTGCCAAAAGAGTTGACTTTTTGTATATGACACAGTTGTGGAGAAAATTCATATATGACACAATTATGACACAGTTGTTGATCAAATTTAATGGAACATTTAATTTGACTTTTAAAATCTTTCAGCTTAAGGTATGTGAATTTTAAAAGGTATATATATAATCCTTGACTTGTCCAATTATACAATATACCTGATAACCCTCCAACGTTCTTTCTCTTCCTCCAAAATGTCAAGTGTTTTTTTAAAAGGAACTTGATTAAACTCCAGAAAAAAACAACACGTAGAACTATTTATACATCACCTGCAGCAGTTACCTAAAAAGCTTCTATATTCGTCATATTAAAGGTATAGTTTCACAAATTTAAGGAGTTCTTTCTGTTGATAAACTGCAAAGCCGAAAGTTTATGGAACAAATATCACGCAGAATTTTATAACGGAGACATAAAATGAAAGGGAAAAACGATTATTTTGTGTGTCGTACTCGGAAAGAAATGCCGGCATGCTTTGTCATATAGCTTTTGTTATAAAATATGTTGAGATTCATGCATGCCCTACTCGAAATACTTTTGTGTTTTTAACATCAACTAAGATTATCACCAAACAGAATCCATCTACATCATAAACAAATGCAATTTCAACTAAACTATATAGTAATGGGGACTACTTCTTTATGTATTTGAGCAAGCATAGTCAAGAATGGTTTATTTTTCTTCGTCTTGTGCAATTAATGATGAGTAAAATGATTATTAAATGTTATAACACCCGTCTACTACAGAAACTGGTCATAACAACATCAAAAATCATATAAAGCATTAAGTACAAGAATGGGGTATACATATTATGAAAACTATAAAAAGTTTTTGACACAGCTATTTAACATCATAACATGAAGCTGGAGGACAAATTGTCGCCATGAGAATACCTTTGTATAATATCAAGTTTCCACCAAGCAGAAATATATTTGACTTTAAATACATTCCTATAAAAAAAATCATCAATATTTAAGACATTTACTCAATGCTGTAAATAAATAATTGGTATTTTGTGTTGGACTAACTATATACGCAATATGGCTCTTTTTAAACGGATCCGGTTTTTCAGTGCTGAGATGTAGCAACTGGGAGTATAGCAGCATGCCGCCTAACTCGAGAACACGAAAAAATGTTTGCTGCACTATTTAACAATGAACTGACGACTCACAAGGTTGACAATTTTCGTTGTGCAATTCATGGGCGTATCAAGCAGGGTGGACAGTTTATGTTTGGCAAAAAACGTTAGCGAGACAATCTCAGCTGGAATTTTGGTCGTATAGATTGTACTGATTGTTGCTCGTAAAAAAGATTAGCTGTGACACGACATTGCGCCGATGATAAGAAGGGAAGATAAGCAACTTTATATGTTTGTAGATGTAGATCGTCCAGGTAGGTAGGGATCTTCAGAGTCAAATGATGACTACCTCTAAGGTTGTCGAAACGTCAGTCAATAACAACAAAAACAGCCCTTCTCAGGACTCTACTAACCTGGACGATCTACATGTAAAAACATATAACGATACTCCCGGGTTCAAACCATTTATTTTAAGCAACTCTATATTATTTCATTGATACACATATAAATTTATTTATCGTACTAATATGTGTATAGATAAAGATATAATTTAATTCATGGAAAATGAGTATAAAACATACTATGTTTACGTAAACGCAAATTCTTCCGCACGCTCTTTAATCTTCGTACACATTTCGGCTCACCCAGAATTTTCGAATAGTATACATAACCAGGACGACGACAACAGTTGTCCTTTGTTATTCTGCATGAAAGTGAAAGTTATACACACATCAGTAAACGTTTAAAAAAACATCACACTGATCGTTCAACAAAAAGAGATCATTTTTTGTGAGAAATTTAGCTGTGGTTTACTCTTTTGCATTTTGAAGTATTCTTTAACTCGCTAATGAAGTCATTGCATAATTACTTCATATTTATTTCAAGAAAAAATTTGTTAGTTATATTAATTTATTCTAGGGAACACAGGTGTGCATGGGGAGGGGGAGAGGTTGATGTAAATGAGATGCAAAAGCGGAAATAGTGACTATTGCTATGTTATCTCGAACCAGAGGTTGACTAAAATATAACGACACAAGGAAATTTGCTAGTGGGCACCTTTTTTGCCAGAAAGGAATTAAATGGATACACAAGGAAATTTACTGAAGTAAAACAGAGAAGATAACATTGCTGCAACGACAAAATGCGAAGCAATTCTAAGGCGTCTAAGCTAATTAAAAATTAAAATTGTTTACAGTTCTCAAGCAATGAGATGAATCTAATTTGTCGTTTTGTTACTTATCTAGTTTATTTGATTTTTCACTGTAACTTGGTAGCCGTTAGTAATTTATGCTCTATAGAGCGGCACAAGCACAGCTATAGCTATTGCAACAAACAGCGCCCCCTTTTCCCTGTGAGTCATGAACGGAGGTCAGTCTGCACCTGCCGTAGAGGTTAGGTAGCTAGTCACAATGCTAGGCGTAGTGATGAAACAATTTCTTGCCTTTTTTCAATTATGTTATCTCCTTCATTTTTGAAATCGCTAAGTAAACCAGATAAAGGCATTTCTTCTTTTGAAGTCAAGGTTCTTGAATGGCAGAAAATGAAAACGTTTACCATGACAAAAAAGATTCGCCAATTCATTATGTGATTCATGGGCATAAAATTTCTTGCTATAAATTTCAACAAAAAGTAAAAGTTAAGCACTCTGTATTTAAGAAATTTGTTAAAAATTTTGTATCAGAAATTTTGTAAAAGTTCTGTATGAGAAATATGTGTCAGAAATGTGTTGGAAATTCTGTATTTAAGAACTATGTTAAAATCTTCGTGTGAGAAATCTGTTGAAATTTAAGTATCAGAAATGTGTTAAAGGAATAAAAACTCTGCAATGTGCAAACGAACGAGCCAACATTCAGGTTCAATTTTTGTATTTTATTTTATTGAATGTGACCCGATATCCAAGTATTACACATATCATTACTCCTACCTAATTTGACAGCTCAGCAACTCATCAAAGGTTTTATTCTAAAAGCTTTGTCCAAAAAATTCTCACAACTAGCAAAACGAATTAAGTTTGCCTTTCTTGCATGTATATAGGCATGCAAAGCAAGAGACAAAGACCTTTTAAAGCAAAGCGGAGATGACGTTAATATAACCCTGCGTGATTTGTGCTGCATAATATACTTTCTACTTTACATAAGCAAACTTGAATTCAAACAGTATTCCAAAGACAACAGCTAGTGTACGATGGACGCTTATAAGGATTGATTTTGTCTTTTAAGCTCACCATGTTTGATTTGTTTTAAATGGAGAAGCGCACGAAATTAGCTATTGTCAGGACAGACATTAACCTTCAAAACTCTAGTCTTCGTAGTAATTGGATGATTATCTTTTTTAATATTCTTATTTAATTATATACTTGAGTTGCTCTCCAATATATATTGAATTGTAGGAATATGATTTGTAGTTTTTAATAGGATATAAACTCAAACAATTGATCATTATTGACTAGTATTTGATCTAAATCACATATCTATCAATAAATCAATACTATACATGCAAGCAGTGTTAATAAAAGAGCATTTGGAGACAGTCTAGAAATCAAATAAGAAATGTTGCATGTTAATTTTCAGTAAAGTTGGAATCAATCCGCTTGCTCTTTGGAAGATTTTATAATTAGACGTTACAAAACGTCTATGATTCAATAAAAACGACTTTTAATTCGAAGCACTGCTATGACTTTCAAAGTTTTGATAAAATACTATAACTCCATATAATATATATACATATATATATTATTATACTTTAGCAAACAGATACTTACAATCGAGAAAAATGAAATGATAAGTCTTGACAAGTCCTTTGCGAAAAGTTACTTGCGTTAGCACCTGATGAAAATAAGCAAGGTAATCCAGTGGCTCACCCAATAAAACAAATAGGTTTAAGCTAGAAATGATTACAGAACAATAGAACAACAAGAAACACGAACTATAACAGGAATTGACTCGTTTGTTTGTCAATTGCTGCAGCCCTTTACCAAAATGCCATACCTCAAAGCCACGATACATGAAGTATTTCGTACAAACTTGTTAGTATTGGGAACAAGTCGCAAGTTATCTAAATCGATTGTTCTAAGTGGGTACGAAGTTCCTCCGGGTACGATAATTACTTTGTCGTCGGCGAAACCTAAACAACTTCATCAGAAGTTATATGGTGATGATGAAAAATTTAAACCTGAAAGGTGGTTACGAGAAAACAAAGATTTTCATCCATTTTCACTGCTTCCGTTCGGTTTTGGTCGCCGGATGTGCGTTGGTCGACGTATTGCAATCATGGAAATTTCTTTGTTTGTAATTTGCTTTTTACAAAAATATAAAATAGAAGAAAATTTAAAACCAGGTGATCAGTTGGATTGGAATTATGGCATCGTTCTACGTCCAGATAGACCATTCAATGTATATTTAACTAAAAGATGCCAATGACCAAAAGTCGGGCCGTTTATATAGATCAGCTTTGGTAATTTTCTGTCGGCATTTGTCTATAAAAACATCCTATTTCTAATGAAATGCGAAATTATAGTGTTCTTAAATTATAAAGAATGTCTGTCAACCAAGCTCATGGCGGATTTTGCAATTGTTTTGAAGTTGTAAAAGTTCTCTCAGCGTTCTTGACTGACGTTTCGACAACCTTAGCGGTAGTCATCTTCAGAGTCAAAAGGCGTAAGAGCCAAATAACAAATACGGCTAACCCGACGTTTACTCCTCATTTGACTCTGAAGATGACTATCGCTAAGGTTGTCGAAACATCAGTCAACAACAACAAAGACAGTCCTTCTCGGAACTATAACAACCTGAACGATATACATCTACAAATAGTTAGCTATATCATAAAAACCACATTAACATATTTCATAACGTTGGATTTACACTTTTCCTTATATTGCGCTTCAATAAAATTATTTTACGTAAGTAAAAACAATACAACTATTTAAAGGCCAAGAAATAGCGTTATTTATATTTAGCTAACGACTTGTATGGTAAGATCATTCAATAAATTTGACAAAGATCTCAAAGCTTTTAAAGCAACGTTTACTTTCTGTACTTCGAATTAAGTTGCATAGGCGATTTGCATTTGGATCGTGACTAAAACACCACACGAGTACATACGAGTGACATACGAGTACATACGAGTGACATACGACTATATAGGGTTAGGGTTAGATATATATATATATATACTGGTCACAAGTATATATATATGTATATCTAACCCTAACCCTAACCCTAACCCTAACCCTAACCCTATATAGTCGTATGTCAGTCGTATGTACTCGTATGTCAGTCGTATGTACTTGTATGTACTTGTATGTCAGTCGTATGTACTCGTATGTACTCGTGTCGTGTTTTAGTCACGATCATTTGCATGTTACATCAATTATTACGTGAAGGAAGCCATGTTGGTAGTCAAATACAAAAGAATATTTTATCAATGCTGTTGAAGGCACTAATATAATAATTTCGTGGAAGTTAAGTGGAATGAAAGTCCTGACTTTCTCGCCATGATACTCTTTGTGTAACTAATCTCTAATTATTTAATTTTTTGCTGATTATGACGTAAAACGTTGTCATTGCCGATAATATAAAGAAAATTTAACACTAACCGATGGCAATCTGGTATCGATGTTTTTCAACCATGTTGGAGGTCTTATACAAATGAGTATTTGGTGGGATCAATGAACTCTATAACAACTGGAAGGCTTACTCATTGAAGTAAAATGCATGGAATGCAACCTCAAGCAAATAATTGAAGCTTATCTTACGCCAGTCACGCGAGATTTACCCCAGACACGCGTGTTTAGTGTTTGAGATTCTCCGGCGGAGTAATAATCGATTGACTACACACGCGTGCCTGGTGTAAAATCTGGAGTGTCTGGGGTAAAATCATGACTTCAAAAAATTATTACTTAGCACTGTAGTAGGCATTGGAATTATCATTAATTAGGCCCAGTTCAAACGTCGAACTTTACATGTCCCGAATGCATTTGAGAGAAAAAGTAATGAGGAATTTCATCTTATTATCTTCTGTCTATAATGCATTCGGCACATGTAAAGTTCGACGTTTGAACTGGGCCTTAGTCAATTATTGATACACCCTGTAAGCCTGGTTCACACGAGTAAAATAAGCACAAACGTCGAGACTTTAGTTTCTATTGTTCTAGAGGTTTATAAAGACAATGACATTATGATTTTCTTTAAATCCTCTTTTTTTCCTTTTTTTGTTCTTCTCTTAGGGGCTCTTCACATGAGCCCAGCTAACCGGGATTCAGCGAGACGTGAAATGATTTTGACATATTGAAAGGAGTAAAAACTTTTAGCGCAAAACTTACAATCTTTCTTATAAGTCGTGAGTCATTTTAGTTGTATTTTTCAAATCTGGCCTAATTATTTGTTTTCATTTTAAAGGTTTTGTGAATTTGCAAATTCCGAACATAGAGAAATTGCTTAAATAAGTTTTTTGTTGTGAAGGAATTAATCTTTTCCATTAGCTAAAATGATTAAACGCTTCGCTGAATCCCGGCTACCCGGGCTCATATGAACAGGCCCTTAGCTTATGCTTGAATTTTTTCCTTATGCTTGCGCTTATGTCAAATCTTATGTTTACATGCTTCGTTGATTATCTTTGTTTTATCTTTTGTCTACGCTTGTCCTTGTCCTTACTTCACTCGTGTGAACCAGGCTGTAGTCTAAACAGGACGTCAATTGTTTCGGGTGTCACTACATGACGACAAATAAGAAAAGCAGTTAATTCTGTTTAAAAGCAAAGCATAGGTATAAACGGACCCAATATCGATAAAAGTAAATTCAATAGAATTTTTTTGTGCTTTGTTTCCTCTATACATCCGGAGAGACATTGTTTGTATCACAAGTAAACTTCAGACTTCCTTTTACATTTAAAATCATTTCCATGCGTGTTTTATTGCAACGTCAAACAATGCTAGCTTATCATAACAGCATTACAAGAGAACAAACGCCATCTTGAATCAAGTTTAGTCATATGAAAGCTCAAGTTCATCCAGTCAAGAAAGAACTGCTGTATATTGAAAAAATGGAGTTCGTATTTTCGCCATTTGATCGTAAAATTGACTGGCGTCTACTGGGTAAATAGTATTTTTCTAATTTTTAGAATCCACTGTCGCAAGCGAATGCTATTGATCGTATAAATTTACAGTACGTAAATGTACAATTTTTTGCTGTTGACAATGTGCTCGGCAGAATATTTCTTGTAAATGCAATGTTGTGAATTAAGCTCTGAAATCTTCCGTGTTGTATTTCAATTTAGCTTTCGTTGAGATTCAAAAAGTAATTGATGAAGTTGCTCTAAGTGTTTTGGAAGAGAATTTAGAGAATATCTGTTTCTGTGATATCGAAAAAGAAATGGTAAAAAGCTTTATAATTTTTCTCTTTGCAGTACGAGTACAAAAGAGCATACCAGGCTTAGCACATTAGAGTAGTCAACCTGATTATTTATAGTCTTGTTATGCATTTGCAATAACAATAGTTTCTAAAATAACCTTGCTCTGCATTGCGAGTACAAAGCAAATACCATGCTTACCTTATTGACGTAATCAACCCGATTGTTTAGTCTTGTTATGCAAATTGCAAAAACAATAGATTTCTAAAATGACTTTGCTTTGCATTACGAGTACAAAGGACATAACATGCTTACCTTATTGACGTAGTCGACCCGATAGTTTGTAGTCTTGTTATGCAAATTGAAAAACAATAGATTTCTAAAATAACAAACAAAAGACTTTTATGAGTATGAGGAGTTCACTCGTGCGACTCGAGAACATTGTTTGGTTATATTTGCGTATTGTGATATGGTTGGAAAATGTTACAACAAAATTCACGACAATATGATATCACATGTGGCAAATATGTATGTGTCATTATAAAGACACTCGCGTGTGAAACGATCCAAGAAAGATTTTGATTGGTTCGATTATTCGTGTTAATTACCGTGTTTTTTAGATTAAAAAGGAATGATAATAAGGGTCAGAAATCTACATAGTAAGACTGAACCAGGAAACTATAATATCAACTGGAACGCCAAATGCGTCGCCATCTTTGAAGCCAATACTGATGTTTGTTTTTTTGCGTTTTTAAAAGAAGTTCTATGATATTATTTTTAAAAATTAACAATGATATACATGAAATAAAGTATCAAAAATTGCCATGATGAGTTTTACCTCCCGAGATTGGGTAATATGCCTAAAGATGCAGAAAAAACGTCCTCATAGCTGGCTTCAAAATGGCTTCTAGCCCTAAATTAGAGCATATTGAAATTAGCGTTCCAGTTAATATTACAGTTCACTGGACTAGACTTGCTCGCTAGCTATATGCGTCTTTATATGCTTTGTATATCTAAGTACAATTATATCACTTGTCCGTATTCACACTCATACGAGATGAGTCTAACTGAGTGCGACAAAAAAGTTGTTCGCTTTCATTGACGTAATATTCTTTTTCATACGGTTTGCTAAATTTGATCTCTTTTTCATGTAGTGAATTGTCGGCCTTGCTCTTGAACAAAAGATTTATTCCAGTTTTTTGTATAATAATTTCATTGTATTAGGAAAATAAGTAGGAGACCACACAAATGTGCTATCAATCTTCTCCTTTTAGCCACAGTTTTCATTTTAAGAGTGGTTTATATTATCCATAAATTTATTATGGTTTCGTCAGTCAAATCAAATTTCGAGGTTTTGCTGATGTAATTTTAAGTTAGTTTGAAGTGAGCATTATAAATAAAGTATTTTATGCTTTGTTTCAAAACGTTTTAAAAATCCTTCATGAATACCATACATTGTCGTATTTCAGAGCTTCTTCAAGACTCATAAACATTTTATTGACCTATTCAAACTGGCTCAACTCATCATTCAGTACTTGTTGGTAGGTTTTTCTGGATTTCATCTGAACTTTGCTATTATTTTAGTACATTTTGCGCGACTCACTTAATCATTACTAATAATCTAGCAATTTTGCTCCATTCAATTAGTTTTGAAATATAAAATGTTGTGGTTTTAACAAGTTCTGAATAATTGAATGAATGGCTGAGATTCCAAATGTGGAACAGTTGTAAACTGTTTAATTTAAGCACAAGTTGCAAGTTTTGCAAATATACATCAATAAATACAACTTTCAGCCTAGCTCTCATTGAGCAAGGGGCCGTCAATGGCCAATTTACAGAGGGCCGCCACTGGTTGTGTTACGGGGGTTACGCCCTTGTTTGAGAGCCTCGCCTATAGAAACTATCGCTACAACAGGCTTCAATACGTATATACATATCTAAAATCTACTAATGGCGGATCTAGAGTACGTACAAATAAATTATAGCTCCTCTAAAAATTCAAATTACATTCAGAAAAACACAATTGGTCTTGAATTTCTAAAGAAAATAATTTTACAAATGGATTTGCCCTTAAGGTTTTAAAAAATTTAAATAAATGCCAAAATGTGCTACATTAATTTATTTTGACTTCATCTAGATCCGCCAGCAGCTGTAATTTGACTTTTCTATATGAGTCAGTCGGTTAGAGACTATGTATGATAAATGTCAATAATAGTGCCTCGAATCAATTTTTTAACAGAATGCTCAAAAATATTTAGCAGCGTTTTTATAAATAGTATTGTTTTTAACAATACCTTCTAAAATTTGAAGTTTTCATTTTAGTTCACGGAAAGTGTTTTGTCCTCTAGAATTAAAGATTTAAGAAATGTAAGTTGACGTTAATAGGGTTTTTGAACTTAGATATTTGTAATTTATCTAATACCGTCTTTTAATACCGTCATGCTCTGATAAACGCTGGAGGCGTTTATAAAATTTTAACAGGCTAGGGGGGTTGGCGTTAAATAGATACGAAAGACACGCGACTGCCTGATGTGTTCCAGTCTTAAATGTGAATAGAGAAAACAGTATTAATACCAACTATACGGTTTTGGGCACTCGATAACTCATGTTATGTTTTCTATAAGCATGCAGTTAGTGGTGTAGCCGGCCTACAAATTTGGTCGTGCTATGTAAATTTCAGATCATTACCTATCATTATTTTATTGCTTTTGCAGTGAGTGAACATAAAAAAATTTAGAAAGTTACGACCAAACTTGCGGGCTGTTTACGCTATGTAAAAGTTTGAAACGCCTTATATGGCGTTTTGACTATGTCTTTCCGACTGCTCTGCATATGAGATGAGTGTAAGATCAATAAAATCATCAAGATATCAGACTGGAAAAAAGAAAAAAAGGCTATTTAACAATAGCAGTAAAAATAAACTTGTAAAAAACACATTAAATTTAGGAAAACGAAGACATAAAACGTATTTTGCGCAGAAAATCTATACTTGAAAAGTCTGTTCAAGCAAACACGGAAAGATGTATGCAAGAAAAGAGAATAGACAATTTAACAAGACCAACTAAATTCCAGACTGGACATGAAGAAAACTGTAAAAAACATCATACAACAAAAGAGGCAGCAAAAGATACTTATGATCTACATTCAATAGACACAAGTACTCAGTACGAAATAGTTCCTCACCATGAAAAACAGAGAAACGGCAAATCATTATGTCAACAATCTACCTTACAACAACAAAGTGTTTTCGAGTCCGAAGCAATAAAGATTTTTCAGAAGCATCAGAATAGCAAATTCGTGCAGTCAAGCATTACTGTAAGTATTAAATGTTACTTGCGATAATGAACCATCGTCCTGTTGTAAACTCATGACACTGGCCGCACAAGTATCTACGTGTTTATGTGAAAACCATTAAAGTTTGATTTAAGAAATAAAAAATGTTTACTGCGTTTGCACAGGCTTATGCAAACCAAGGAGACTTTGGGAGAACTCTAGAGCAGATCAGTGCAAGCCCGAGACCGAAGGTCGACGGTTGCACCTGCTTCAGAGTTCTCACAAACGTCTCCGAGATTTGCATAAGACAGTGGAAACACGAAAAACATCTTTTATTTTTTTTATAAAATAACAATAATGCGAAAAAAAACAAACATTTTAATTTTTCCTCTAAATTGTATTCATGATCGATTTGCAAATTCTCTTTGACTGATTGATTGTTTAGATTGATTTGATTGGTTGAGCTCAGATGTGCTTTGCACTAGCTAATGCAAACTCAGCTCTTAACCAATCGGCACACGCGTTTCATTTTGTTTATTTTATAAAACTGCTTCAAGAACACTTCAATCCCTTAAAGAAAAACATTTAAATACGCTGCTAATTTCTTTTGCAAAGAAGAATGGAAAAAGTTTGCATTGCCAATCACATGTCAACCGCCACCCCTTGAAATGAAAAGATACATTATGCATATCATAGAGGATATTAAACCCGCTGATTTATGGTTTTGCTGTTGTAACATTGGACAACTCATGGGAGATTTAACTTTGCTTGTTTAAATGAATATGAAACCTGCAGTAGCTTTTAACGACAGTTTGTCCTTTCATATTTAAGCTTTTGAACCTTGTACATACATTGATAAACACATATATATTGAAAAATTTGTTGTAATTGTAGACTTATTAGTTAGTTTATAAATGAAATGCATGAATAAATCATTGTTGTGCATGTTTTTTAATTTATTTCATACCAGGTTGAAATGTTACAAGATGAAATTTCAAATTGTGTAAAACAAACTAAGGAGAAGATTTCTTTATTGGTCACGGTAAAATTACATTTACAGCAAAACGTTTTGATGAAATTTTGTTTTCAATATAGTAACAAAAGATGTGTCAAATAGTTTCATTAAATTAAACTCACTCTTTATTATTCCAGGAGCTGGACGATCTTTCTTCAGTAGAAATAGACGAATCACAAAATGAGACTTTCGAATTGAAAAAGGAAAGTTTTGTTGACCAAGGAGAAACGAAGTTAACATCAGGCACAAGTACCAGTCATGATTATATTAAGTACAATTTAAATTTAAGGGAAAAGAATTATAAAAATGCTAGTAGAGAGATAGAGCAAACTGTGTCAGTGACTTAAAAAACGTTGTATTAAATTGTGGCATGCACAATAAGCATGCTTTTTTATTATTTTAGGTAGTTTTACAACTTCAAGTATTTCCCTTTGTGGATCAACTGTAGAGAAGGAACTTTCCGAAAGTTTAACAAACAGGAAAAACTTTACATTAAAATTCTAACTGAGATATGAAAGTGAAGAACAACCTCTTTCTTTGTTGTGCTCAGAAAGTGGTTGCCTGTATGCTGAATCATTGTTTCTGTCAAAAAATATACTGAGATAATTGAACTACTTGAGACACTTCCGGGATCCACTTAAAGCAAAGAAATGTTTCACGTCAACTAAAATTTGTACCGATGCAATCTATTTGCTATAATGCAAAATAATGGATCTTATAAAGCAAAACTAATCGACTGTTATAGACTGCCCTTACATACATTGGCAATTGCTAAATTCACATCATCTATTTGCTTTCGTCGTTCAAATTACAGTCGATGTGGTTGACTACGTTCACTTAAAACTAATATATACAGCATTACAATAGCTATTTTTCGTTTTTTCTCTTAAATATATGTGTTTATTAAACTTACCTACCTGCCTGATAGCTGATATGTAAACCTTTCAAGTGAAACGAGTTATTTGAATTGGTCACTTGTGACATTTATACAAATGAAATAATAATCATTTGGCATACGAGCGAGCCACCACCATTGATAAAAGCGATCATCTATGTAGCGAAAGGAGTCGTATAGCGTTGTGAATGTTGCATTCATCATGAGAAAGCCATATACAAGCTGAATAGAACATGAAACATAACTTAATATTTCTATTTAGCTTCAGCAAAGAAATGTCGTAACGCTTAATTTGTGCTCATTTCACAGCGTGATGTTAAATAACGCTGAAATAAACATTCACAATTTTGCATAACAAAAGCATTGCGTAAATTTTTATTGAATGTCAATAAATGACAGCCATTTTAATGTAATTCATTTCATATTTCTTAACAGAGTTAGCATTTTTACTATACTTCTATAATAAAGTATTTGTAGGATAGACAAGCAAAATAACAGATTTTGAATAAAACAACGCTGTATTAGCTGAGCTTTAAATCTAACTAAAGCTAAGTGCTTTTGTTCGTTATATCTTTTGTAGTTTGAACAATTTAGAAAGCTTTAAATAATCTGCCAATGGTTTAATATTGGCAAAAAAAAACAAATACTTTCTTTTTAACAAAGTATTTTTCTGGTTGACGTCTTTCGCTCCATTCTATATAGGCAAGAAAATCGAGTGTATCATTAAATTTAACTTCTTTCAGTGAAGACATAATTGAGTCAATCTTGCGTTTGAAAACAAACAAAAAACAACGAGTTATGAATGTTTTTCACGACAAAAGCCGGGGTTTGACTTTGATAGAAAATTCGAAAATACAGAAACGTTGCAATCCTGAAAATAACGGACAACTGCGGTTTTAAATATTTGAAACCTTTATGCACAAGGTAGCTAACGGCGGGAAAAAACTGCTATAATATTTTCTTAGCTATGAGCACACAAGAATTTTTTGAACTGATCATCCTTTTGCTTTATTACTTCATATATCATTATGCAGGGAAATTAAAGTTTTACATGCGAAAGATGGAAATACACCAGGAAATAAAGAAGACAATTCAAATAAAACTTCCTCGTTTATATGAAGTGAATTTGAAGAATTTGATTAAAAAATAACAACATAGAGCTTTGAAAGCATTAAATGAACTGCGTTGGACACAGATTAATACACTAGCTAGATTTTCTTCACTTAGAAAAATCTGATTGACTTATAACTATAAAGTGATTTATGTTTTAACTACTCAACTAGCTATTAAGTTATTGCTGACGTGCTTTTTATTATGTTAGTTTCCGTGTTTCTTTCCATGTTTTATTACAATATGTCAGCTCAACGAATACTTTGATCTGTATGTAACTCATGTTCGTTTTAGCTTAGCGTCACAGCGTTGTAATCTGAAAAAAAATCCCTTATTAATAAACAGCTTGTTACATAATTAGAACATAAAAGATAAAAGTTTCTCCGGATTTTAAATGATTTTTATAGAGCTATCAACTCGTTGCTTCGAGCCTTCATTAACGAGTCGAAAAGCAACGAGTCGAAAGCTCAATAAAAATCATTTAAAATCCGGAGAAACTTTTATCTTTTATGTATTAAATGCCTGGATTACAAAGTTTCAAACTTATAATTAGAACAGTACAAAGAATATCCTGTGCTATTACCGCTATAAGCAAATTCAAATGCATGGGTGTTAATTATTGAAAAGTTCATGATTGATTATTTACTGTGGATTTATACATGCAATCATCGAAATCCTAAACGTTTCTTGTAAGTAAATCACAGATTTTGATGATGAGAGTTTCAATCGCGAAATAACTGTAAATTCACATTCGAGTGTACATAACGAAAATGATAATGTAAGATCTTTTGCGTTGGTGTCATCAAAATTCAATGCATAAGATTAACCCGGAAACTCTGTCCTCTAAATCTGCGTGAAAAGGTAATACGCGTGGGCATAAATCAGCTCCTTAAACAACGAGAAATTGTTTTGTTTTTGTTTATAATTTTTGACTAGATCAAAACAGAGAAGTTTCGAAGTTGATGATGTAATATAGGGCAATGTTGAATAGTATAAAAGAGAGGTAAGCAGTGCAAGGAGGCAATAACATTCTACATCAAATAAACGATATCAACAAAGCCAACATTGTAAAAAGACAAAATATCAGTAGTCATCAATGGATAAACATATTAGCTTGAGATTTCTTGTATTGATCTTGATGAATGTTTTGGTTTACCAAGTGGAAAGTTGCTTAAGCAGGTGAGTTCAAATTCTTAACTTTAAATGATTTTTTTACGTTTTTGATGAATAGACGCGAGTTTATACTATACAAATAATCTTATAATTCCCTTCATTCATTCATTGTTCTTTTTCCAAAGAAAGCACAAAGTATGTAATTGTGTAGTTGCTGACACTATAAAAAGGGATGGACGGTGTTTAAAAGAAATTCCTTGTTTAACTTATCGTAAGTATATATGAAGACTAAATTTGTGTTCAACTTATTATCGTAAATATACGACGGCCATATTTGCTCAAAATAATATAAGCCGGTTTCTTGGCTCGACTTGCACTAAATGGACAATAATGCTTTTGAAACAAGCAAGACTTCAGCGCTGCGGTAGAGAAGCTATGAATGACACAGCTTAAAAGTAGCTTAAGTATCATCATGAGCATTCAGTTGAATGGACTTTGATAGTCTAGTAGAGTTTTTTTTACAAAGTTCTAACTAGAATAACTCGACTTGCACTATAACTGCTGCAGTGTTTATCTCAAGATGTTAATTCAAACTTTATATTAAATTTTTCAGAGACTTTTCCCAGTACTGTGAAAAATCAAAGACTTGGTTCAAGATATATTATTTATATGCAACAATTACGTCATGCCTATCCTGCAGCAAACACTCCATTACATCGTTGTGCGATTGTTGGAACTACATATGTAAAAGAATTCAACGTTTGCACTAAAAGATTAAGATGCGGAGAACCAGGTAGCTATATAAACTGTTTTTTTTTACATGTGTTCAAACCCGATATTTTAATATATTATACACACAATAACGATACATGCAAAGTCATACCTAATTTTTATATATGTACAAGGCAAGAAATCAAGAAATTTTTATTTGAAGAACAATCCTGCGTACATTAATTTATTTACAACTTTTTGGTTCTTTTTATTGGAAGTCTTTACGCAATAGAGGTGGTGTGCAACCATTCCCCTGGGAGAGCGAGGGAACCGAAGAATGTTCGCCATGTTGAATGACATTTGCATTGTAAATAAGCAAAATCCTTTTATTTGAAATCATCCAACATGGCGGCTATGATGTAGCTTGCACACTAAGAATATAATTCAGTTGCAGTTAGATTTTTATTTACGCAAATTTCGCCTTTCTTTATAACGTTTATTTAAAGGAAGCTTTTTCCTTTTTTATTTAGTACTTGGAGTTGCTAATGGAGCAGTATCCAATCGTTATTATGTTTGGAACTCTAAATTATACAAATCTTACGCTCTACTTTGTTCAACAGTATGAATTAAAATACCAATAATCAACTATTGTGCATTACAAATTACAACTTTACGTGTTGTTCGTCTAAATCCATCCAAGTATGTATACATGTACTTTTACATACACTTAACATTAGCTGCACGTGACGTTCATCAAACTCCATGTATGTATACACGTACTTTTACATACACGTAACAATAGCTGTACGTGACGTTCTCTAAAATACAGAACATGCACGTACTTTTACAAATATATATTATAGAGAGAGACGAACTTATGTAAAGCTTTTTTTGTTATTTATTCATAGCTACATTATACAAAGGAAATAAAAAGATAGATTGTTTAAAGTTCAATGTGAATATTTTCTCGCTTATAAGGGATTGAAAATATAAATTTAAACTCGCGAATCATGACAATGTAGATGGCATACTTTCGCAAAAAATGAATCGACGAAGTAAACCTATGGTCACGGTCACGAGCACCAAGTTTGCGTGGTTGCCAAAACTACAGTAGTGTTTTTAATGATACTAATAAGTTATGGATATTGTATTTGTTCACCTACCATCATATGTTTTTATATTAGCCCATATACCATTTGCTTAAGTAAAGGCAAATTTCATGCGAGTGTTTCTTTATTGGATACACTTTGCGGCCATTCTGTAGATTTGATATCAATAAATTGCCAAAAGAGTTGACTTTTGTATATGACACAGTTGTGGAGAAAATTCATATATGACACAATTATGACACAGTTGTTGATCAAATTTAATGGAACATTTAATTTGACTTTTAAATCTTTCAGCTTAAGGTATGTGAATTTTAAAAGGTATATATATAATCCTTAACTTGTCCAATTATACAATATACCTGATAACCCTCCAACGTTCTTTCTCTTCCTCCAAAATGTCAAGTGTTTTTTTAAAAGGAACTTGATACAACTCCAGAAAAAAACAACACGTAGAACTATTTATACATCACCTGCAGCAGTTACCTAACAAGCTTCTATGTTCATCATATTAAAGGCATAGTTTCACAAATTTAAGGAGTTCTTTCTGTTGATAAACGGCAAAGCCGAAAGTTTATGGAACAAATATCACGAAGAAATTTATAACGGAGACATAAAATGAAAGGGAAAAACGATTATTTTGTGTGTCGTACTCGGAAAGAAATGCCGGCATGCTTTGTCATATAGCTTTTTTTATAAAATATGTTGAGATTCATGCATGCCCTACTCGAAATACTTTTGTGTTTTTAACATCAACTAAGATTATCACCAAACAGAATCCATCTACATCATAAACAAATGCAATTTCAACTAAACTATATAGTAATGGGGACTACTTCTTTATGTATTTGAGCAAGCATAGTCAAGAATGGTTTATTTTTCTTCGTCTTGTGCAATTAATGGTGAGTAAAATGATTATTAAATGTTATAACACCGTCTACTACAGAAACTGGTCATAACAACATTAAAAATCATATAAAGCATTAAGTACAAGAATGGGGTATACATATTATGAAAACTATAAAAAATTTTTTGACATAGCTATTTAACATCATAACATGAAGCTGGAGGACAAATTGTCGCCATGAGAATACCTTTATATAATATCAAGTTTCCACCAAGCAGAAATATATTTGACTTTAAATACATTCCTATAAAAAAAATCATCAATATTTAAGACATTTACTCAATGCTGTAAATAAATAATTGGTATTTTGTGTTGAACTAACTATATACGCAATATGGCTCTTTTTAAACGGACCCAGTTTTTCAGTGCTGAGATGTAGCTACTGGGAATATAGCAGCATGCCGCCTAGCTCGAGAACACGAAAAAATTAACTCGAGAACACGAAAAAATTAACTCGAGAACACGAAAAAATGTTTGCTGCACTATTTAACAATGAACTGACGACTCACAAGGTTGACAATTTTCGTTGTGCAATTCATGGGCGTATCAAGCAGGGTGGACAGTTTATGTTTGGCAAAAAAGGTTAGCGAGACAATCTCAGCTGGAATTTTGGTCGTATAGATTGTACTGATTGTTGCTCGTAAAAAGGATTAGCTGTGACACGCACATTGCGCCGATGATAAGAAGGGAAGATAAGCAACTTTATATGTTTGTAGATGTAGATCGTCCAGGTAGGTAGGGATCTTCAGAGTCAAATGATGACTACCGCTAAGGTTGTCGAAACGTCAGTCAATAACAACAAAAACAGCCCTTCTCAGGACTCTACTAACCTGGACGATCTACATCTAAAAACATATAACGATACTCCCGGGTCAAACCATTTATTTTAAGCAACTCTATATTATTTCATTGATACACATATAAATTTATTTATCGTACTAATATGTGTATAGATAAAGATATAATTTAATTCATGGAAAATGAGTATAAAACATACTATATTTACGTAAACGCAAATTCTTCCGCACGCTCTTTAATCTTCGTACACATTTCGGCTCACCCAGAATTTTTGAATAGTATACATAACCAGGACGACGACAACAGTTGTCCTTTGTTATTCTGCATGAAAGTGAAAGTTATACACACATCAGTAAACGTTTAAAAAAACATCACACTGATCGTTCAACACAAAGAGATCATTTTTTGTGAGAAATTTAGCTGTGGTTTACTCTTTTGCATTTTGAAGTATTCTTTAACGCGCTAATGAGTCATTGCATAATTACTTCATATTTATTTCAAGAAAAATTTGTTAGTTATATTAATTTATTCTAGGGAACACAGGTGTGCATGGGGAGGGGGAGAGGTTGATGTAAATGAGATGCAAAAGCGGAAATAGTGACTATTGCTATGTTATCTCGAACCAGAGGTTGACTAAAATATAACGACACAAGGAAATTTGCTAGTGGGCACCTTTTTTTGCCAGAAAGGAATTAAATGGATACACAAGGAAATTTACTGAAGTAAAACAGAGAAGATAACATTGCTGCAACGACAAAATGCGAAGCAATTCTAAGGCGTCTAAGCTAATTAAAAATTAAAATTGTTTACAGTTCTCAAGCAATGAGATGAATCTAATTTGTCATTTTGTTACTTATCTAGTTTATTTGATTTTTCACTGTAACTTGGTAGCCGTTAGTAATTTATGCTCTATAGAGCGGCACAAGCACAGCTATAGCTATTGCAACAAACAGCGCCCCCTTTTCCCTGTGAGTCATGAACGGAGGTCAGTCTGCACCTGCCGTAGTGGTTAGGTAGCTAGTCACAATGCTAGGCGTAGTGATGAAACAATTTCTTGCCTTTTTTCAATTATGTTATCTCCTTCATTTTTGAAATCGCTAAGTAAACCAGATAAAGGCATTTCTTCTTTTGAAGTCAAGGTTCTTGAATGGCAGAAAATGAAAACGTTTACCATGACAAAAAAGATTCGCCAATTCATTATGTGATTCATGGGCATAAAATTTCTTGCTATAAATTTCAACAAAAAGTAAAAGTTAAGCACTCTGTATTTAAGAAATTTGTTAAAAATTTTGTATCAGAAATTTTGTAAAAGTTCTGTATGAGAAATATGTGTCAGAAATGTGTTGGAAATTCTGTATTTAAGAACTATGTTAAAATCTTCGTGTGAGAAATCTGTTGAAATTTAAGTATCAGAAATGTGTTAAAGGAATAAAAGCTCTGCAATGTGCAAACGAACGAGCCAACATTCAGGTTCAATTTTTGTATTTTATTTTATTGAATGTGACCCGATATCCAAGTATTACACATATCATTACTCCTACCTAATTTGACAGCTCAGCAACTCATCAAAGGTTTTATTCTAAAAGCTTTGTCCAAAAAATTCTCACAACTAGCAAAACGAATTAAGTTTGCCTTTCTTGCATGTATATAGGCATGCAAAGCAAGAGACAAAGACCTTTTAAAGCAAAGCGGAGATGACGTTAATATAACCCTGCGTGATTTGTGCTGCATAATATACTTTCTACTTTACATAAGCAAACTTGAATTCAAACAGTATTCCAAAGACAACAGCTAGTGTACGATGGACGCTTATAAGGATTGATTTTGTCTTTTAATCTCACCATGTTTGATTTGTTTTAAATGGAGAAGCGCACGAAATTAGCTATAGTCAGGACAGACATTAACCTTCAAAACTCTAGTCTTCGTAGTAATTGGATGATTATCTTTTTTAATATTCTTAATTATATACTTGAGTTGCTCTCCAATATAAATTGAATTGTAGAAATATGATTTGTAGTTTTTAATAGGATATAAACTCAAACAATTGATCATTATTGACTAGTATTTGATCTAAATCACATATCTATCAATAAATCAATACTATACATGCAAGCAGTGTTAATAAAAGAGCATTTGGAGACAGTCTAGAAATCAAATAAGAAATGTTGCATGTTAATTTTCAGTAAAGTTGGAATCAATCCGCTTGCTCTTTGGAAGATTTTATAATTAGACGTTACAAAACGTCTATGATTCAATAAAAACGACTTTTAATTCGAAGCACTGCTATGACTTTCAAAGTTTTGATAAAAATACTATAACTCCATATAATATATATACATATATATATTATTATACTTTAGCAAACAGATACTTACAATCGAGAAAAATGAAATGATAAGTCTTGACAAGTCCTTTGCGAAAAGTTACTTGCGTTAGCACCTGATGAAAATAAGCAAGGTAATCCAGTGGCTCACCCAATAAAACAAATATGTTTAAGCTAAAAATGATTACAGAACAATAGAACAACAAGAAACACGAACTATAACAGGAATTGACATGTTTATTTGTCAATTGCTGCAGCCCTTCAGCTTTTTCTTTGTGACGTAAGGTGGAAACTTTTACATTACAATTAGACTTTCAAAGTCAGTTGAAATTTGAAAACAATTGGCAGATCAAAACATTGATAAAAAATCTTATATTAGTATTAATGACACAGCAGGTTCAGCATAAATCATAAAAAAGTGCACGTAGTTCTTCATACAAAGTTATTCTAACGAAACGTTCAAAATAAACATCTGATGTAAACAAGTTAAGCCAATAGTCAACACGTAGTTGTATGTGATTGATGTTACTCTATCAGCGATGATAGTTATTAACAATTACTTATACAACTATATGCGAACGCGTGTTGTAATTGCTGCAATATAATCGCAGGCAAATCGGGAGATGTTAATATCAAAAAGCTACGGATGAGAACTAAGCCGTACGTGAATTTGATATTAGTATGCAAATATCGCCGATGAAATGACAACAACTATATGTAAGATAGGCTTTAGGTTGATTTGATCATCAAGACTACAGCTATATATTTCACATGCTCATGCAGGATAAGATAGGCCAAGCCACCGACACAACGCAGGCTTTTTTATACGAGGTACCTCTCGGTAGGCTGGTAGCCATATAAAAACATATATATAACGTGCAGAATATTCACGTTCATTGAACAAGGTAGGAATTTCAAACGAAAGTGTAATTAATATCTGAACTATATGCAGTCGACATCATTTGAAACAAGTTTTAAATGATAAAAGAAGCTTTCGATAATTATTTTACCAATATATTTTCAGCGTACCAACTACACTTTCATCACAACGGGTAATTATTTACAAATAAGATTTTCAATATTTGACAAGATGGAGTAACATCACGATTTTAGAACTTATAGTTTTGGAATCACGATGAATCTGAAATCAGATTTGCAAAGTTTGCAGACTGGTGGTTGCAGTAGTATTACATTTTGATTTATTTATAGGCAATTTCTTCCTAAGCTCGACTTAAGCGCACAAGCATATAAGCACAGAATTATCAAAACTCTCCGTTCTTAGGCTTATGCTTATGCTTGATGCAGTTTATTGCAAGTGAAGAAGCCTGTGCTTCTGCTTATGTCGTAAAAAGGATGCTTGCAGGCGCAAAAGATCTACATGCAAAAGAATTTTGTGATTTGTGGATATAAGACAAACTATTGGTGAAAGGAAACATATCATATGTTTACAGATCGTTCAGATTCTCAAGTAGAGCATGATGATAAATGTAATTTTTATGAAAAAGTTTCCCATCACCTTGGCCAAAATTACTGACTGGCAACAATTAACATACTTCAAAAACTAGTTAGTCAATATCTTTTTTATCACAAACTTTGCTTACGGCAAGGACTTAGATTAGGAGCTACAGCTCAATGTCTAACTGACATTTTCCTCCTAAAACAACCATAAAATTGAACTGAATTTCACGCAAAATCATGTTTTATAGTTAAAATCACTCATTCTAGTGATCAAGAAAAGGTAATAATTCCATATATTATTATATTAGATAGACTGAAGATATACTCAACAATCCTTATGCTATTTATATATGTACATCAACGTCCTCATTGGTCCGCATTTATCACTGGGCAGTTATCGTCATTAAAAATTCCCAATTTAGCATCCATATTTAGGTATTCAGTGTAAAATCGCCTCGATGATAAAAGAAGAAAGATTGCCCACTTGAATGTCATGAATCCCCACACAATCACAACATAGCTTCCTTTACCATTCAGTTCTAAGAAACAACAACATAACTTAAATACCATATATTAAAGTAGCTACACACTACAGTCCAAAAGTTTAAGGCCACTTTCAGTATTGCTTTTCAAAAGGAACAGAAACGACGAACGAAAAAGCAATATGGTATAATTTAGCAAGGCAACAAGCAACGTTGTAACTGCTAATCATGGCAAGTGCTACTATAGCGATTTGTTAAATTGCCAAAACATCAATGTAACAGAATCATAAATTTACGTCATGCAGTTAGAGGTTTGAGGATTTAGGACTGAGGATTGAGGATGGCTTTCATGAAGATCATTAAATGCCATCAACAATTTCCTGATCTGTCGCACATTGAGCTGACATGGAATAAACTAATCCGAAACGCAACACCTCATTTACCCTCAAATAAAACTGAACTGCCAGGATAATTCAAGAATGAGCGACAGAAGTTGCCAATACATTCTTTCAAAAAAGCTTACACAAAATGCACAAATTTTTGCAGCAGTTGGTAAAAGCAAAAGGCGACTTTGTTAAATAAAGTAACATGTTAATAAAACTTTGTTTATTAGACATTTGTTGTGAGAGTGAAATTGTTTTGGACATTACATTTACCATCATTTGGGTCTGTATTGTGCTTGGTGTGAACAGAAACGTTCGTTTATCGCTGGTATTAATTTAATTACTGAAAGGAGCTTTAAACTTTTGGCCTATACTTAGTGTATTTCTATTCAGACGAACACACTGATGCATAAAGTATAGCGTAGACTGAACACAATGAGCATACATTTATGTACCTTCTTTTTCGTTTATTCCGATCACCATGTAGGTGAGCATAGCAGCAAAACCCGCCATCATAAGTATAAAGGCGAGAACCATGTACTGCAAAAAGCGATGAGGGTAAATATTTCCTCGGATGTCTCGTAATACAGAACTATTTACTCCAACATAAAGCATAGCGACAAATCCTGACACGGCCGCCCAGACAGCAGCGTCTATGTTATCAAATTTCATTGCAAACACAAAACAAGCACTAACTCCGGCTAATAAACCAATGGCACCATGTACTATCCTCAAAATTATTTTAGTATTCCTCTTCATCTTGGTGTCACTATGTACATTAGGGCTTTTAACCCTATTTGTTATTGCGTGTGACGATAAATTATTCAAGATCAAAGTTTCATGAGATTATGTAATCACACTGATATGTAATCAATTGCATGACACGGTGTGTAACGACGTTCGCAATGCTGTAATATTTCATTCCTTGACTAGAATCAAAAGCAAGCAGTTTAGTGAGGCACTTTAAATGACCATGTGAATTTCATTCATGATACCCGTCGTTTATATTCATCTTTTAAATTAACAGTATGCAATTTTTGCTTCAAAAAAAGGTCTAGTCACTCAACGCAGATTTATGATGAGTTTGATAACATAGTAGCTAGCTTGTGTTGATCGAATGAATTGTATGAAATAAGTATTGAAGTGCATGAAATAAGAAGTGTACGAGATAAGTATTCTATCATGTTTTCTTCTATAATCTCTATGAAGAATACTCAAAGTTACAAAATAACAACAATACAACACGTGCACTGATTGGTCTATAACTGGGTTTGCTTTTTCAAATTCGTATTGGAAACTCGATCGAGGAAATACAACGGTAAGAAATGGAGGAAAGAATTTCAGCTAGTGCTTAGTAATGAAAAGATGTTTGCATGACAAACACATGCATGGTTCAGAAAAGGAGAGATGGAAAGTGACTTATAGTAAAAGCCCTAAAGGAAAAGTTGATCATAAATCGACTTTGCATACTGCATTGTAGGAAAGAAAATATTAAAGCAACTAAGAGATGTTAAAGACAGCCCAAAAGAGCATCAATACTGATTAATTTTCACGGAGCGACAGAAGGAAAATTTGGATGTTGAAGAAACAAAATACAAAGGCAAGATTTGGAAAAAAGAGTAAAAAAGTTGATAAAAGCTAAAGCACCGACAAGCTGTTGAAGGACGTCATGCATAACGTAGATAGCTCTACGTAAAGAGAAGAACGATATCGATAATGAGACACATTGCAGTGGAAGGGAATCGTAAAAGGATGGGAATCACGTGAGACTGAGGCAAACAAGGGGAGTCAAAACAGCCGTATAGTATTTGGCATGAGCATGCGTGAAATGCATAAACTATAATCTTTGGCGTAAAAATGTATGAAAATGCATTAAAAATACGTAAACTATAAGTAGTCTTTTGGATGGCTAAACTTATTATTTGGCGTGAAATTGCTTGATTCTCATGGAGAAGCTGCCACATTCTCTGTGGGTCCTTGTATTATTCCTCTTCAATAACATTCCTTAGAGTATTCTTTTCACAACACTCCATCTGTATATACCAAAGGTTTCCAGAGTACACTTTGAATCTTCCTGCAAATCTCTTGTGGTGATTGCTTTCTTTTCACTTTCAAAATCAGATTTCTCGTCCTAAAGGAAAGACGCTTCTAGTTACTTTTACACATTTTCAACAACATCATGAACAATTCCCACTACTATATACCACGTGAGACAACAAGCTTCCAAACTGTATATGTGATACAGCAATATTTCTTTTCAACACATCTTCAGTAGACTCGGTGTAATCATTGAATTGTTTCTGTGTTGGAACCTCGTCCTCGCTAGAGCTTTTATCGTCGTCAACATGCTTGGAATCATTCGTGTTTCCATTGGTCCATGAGACCTCATCCAAACCTCTTGAGCGTACGATGGGAGCTTCGATTACCTTTCTTTGCCAAGCATTTGCAACACTTTAAATTCATTCCGAAATCTTGAATTTCTCGTAGCGTAGCCGAAAGAACAGGTATCAGATCAGGATACTCATCTCCATCATCACAGCCATTTTGATTTCTCCCTTGATCTTTCTCAGCGTAAAGCTTATCTGAAGTGATATTATTGCTTAAACCGTGCGACATGGGATTTGGTGAAATAAAAGGATGTCCAAGAAGCTGCTGTGCTAAGCATTGGTTACCGTTCTCCAGATATAGACATCAATCTATAGAAAGTATGTGACATTAAAACACAGTAGCTATAAATTCTTCGTCGCTTTAATGCTTGTTTTTCTTCGCGACCTTCATTTTTACAAGTGGCAGCTTTGAGTGGAAGTTTTCAAGCATGGCTATCATTATATTGACAAAAATATTCCGAGAAGGATAACTTTCTTTATGACACGGCAATTCAACGAAAAGGAACTTAGAAGTAAAAAACGAGTTTTTCAATTCACCCAAAGACCAAACTCTTTTTCCTTGTCATTAGTTGATTCTTTTTAAAGAAAACAACTGAAAAATGCAACAACAGAAAACCAAAAATGTTGAAACGCGTTTACTTGAATCATACCCTTTCGGCAAAAATTAAAGAAAATAATAACTAATAAGTTTCTATTTATATTTATTGACCTAAACGAAAATTGCTCACATTTTTGCCCATGTTTAGTTACACATACACACAGTTAGCAAACACGATAATCGATAGTTTCTACCAGTGAATGAACTTGAACTAATCCTTCTATGATCTCACGGAGAAGCGGACACATTCTCTGTTGGTCCATGTACCATTCCATCGTCAATAACATTTCATAGAATACTCTTCTCACAATACTTCATCTGTATACACAAAGTTTGAATAGTACACTTTGATTCTTCCTGCAAATCTCTTTTGGTGATCTCTCCCTCTTTACTTTCGTAATCGGATTTTTTGTCCTAAAGGAAAGATGCTGATAGTTATTTATACTCATCTTCAGCAATATCATGAAAAGTTCCCACAACTATTTATCACGTGAACCATCGAGCTTCCAAGTATATGTGATTCATCGATATATCTTTTGAACAAATCTTCAGAAGGCTTATGCAAGCCTTTAATTGTTTAAATTTATTTTCTTCATGGTCATTACCACTTAAAATATAATGCAAAGCGCAGATGGTGAATTTTACTGATCATAATTATTCAATTTCACTTCATATTTTAAACGAAATTTCCGAAATTCATGGTCTTGTTGTGTTGGTATCGACTGTATTTTTGCAATACTTCGTATTACTAGAATTAGAATGGGTACACGAAAGAGCGCAAATTCTTAACCAACGCAATTTACATAATTTATGCAATTTACGTAAGTACTGTAACGTCATTCTAAGGAAGTATTTCGAACTGTTTTTGAAATTCTGCTTTACGTATTTTTACACATTTTAACGTCAAAGACTAGAGTTAGTTCTTTAAATGAAGATATGATCTTCGCACTTTGCTGGACAATTTAAGCAATTGTCTCATGAACCTGAAAAATTCAGGTGACTCAACGGGATTCGAACCCATGACCTCTGCGGTGCCGGTGCAGTGCTCTGACCAAGTGAGCTATGAAGTCACACAGTGGTAAGCAGGTAAATTTTGTTGGGCTCATGTTTTCTCGTGAAAGGAATGGAAATGTAGTCTTTGCATGAAAATGTGTGAAAGATGCATGAACGAAGAATCAATCTGGTGACGTATATTGATGGTCTGAAAGGTTGTAAAGGAGTCGGCTAAGACGTACTAAATCAGCAAAATTGATGAAAAAAGATGAGAAAGATATTGAGTGCATAGAATATGCATAAAGGGAAGAAGGAACGATAAGCTGAATTTCACAGTAAAAGATGAAAATAAATATGAACAGAAAACATGCAATGTGTAGATATAAACAAAGGGGATGAGTGATATTAACACGTGAAAGCGGAATTTGTGGATGAGCCAGTTGAAAGGGTTACTTAAAAATGGTGCAGACAATGAGATTATACGAGCGAGAAAGGCTATAAGAATATCGGAAGTTCTTTTAAAAGATATCAGTCGGTGAAAGATGAATTTTACCATAGCATTGAAGTAACCCGCGCAACATTTTCGATTGAAGTTTTTTCTATAAAGTATAATTGATTCAAGAGATAAAGTATAATTACCAAGGTTGCACATGCAGTCACCGGATAAATACACAGAGCTGAAAAATTTCTATACAAAGAACATTCGATTTTTTTCCACTGGAAAATTTGATCGCATCTCTTGTTAGCGCATGCGCAACCTGGAAAATAATACGTTCCGTGGAAAATTTTCTTAAGTGGAAACGGGCCTTTAAAAAAACTGGTGAAAGAGTTTTGACTTGAAAATTCATTTAATAACATAACATTACATCAATAAAACAGAAACTTGATAACTTAAAATGTAGCTAATGATTATTCATAGGGAAATATTAATAAAACTTGGATATCACAAAACTTCCTTAATATAAACTTCAACGATCAGCATGTTTAATAAAATTGAAATAACAGAAAAAACGTTTTATTTCTACTGAAAATAATGAAAGCAATAGGGAAACTTTTTAATGACTATAAGAGAAACGTCAATCAACAATTAAAAACTCGGACGTAATTTGTTTATAGTTGGTACAAACTAATGTTTCTTCTCGTAGTTTTTGAAAGTTGGACATATTTAGTTGTTTTATAGGCTGAAAAAATGTAAGCAGAAGTCGAAAGGATCGTTCTGTACAAAAAAGCGAATGCTTAAAGGCAATCAATGAAAATTTTGGTTCACGTTCACAAACTGTGGAAATGTTTGTCCAACACTGTTATATCATCTTAATCTCTTAAGTCGTTAAAAACTTTCACGTATTTGCTTTGACGAGCTTTTTAGTACATAACTAAAACTATATTTTCTAGGAAACGAGTTTTAGAATATTAGAATACAGAATATAAAAATAAAACCAAAAGTGCTGGTTGACAAACACTGTCGGCAGAAAATAAGCTGCATTGCTTGCTTTCATATTAAAAGAAGTCCAAATTTTTTCGTAAATGCCATGATAGCTCAATTATAATTTCAAATAATGTTTACGTATTAAAATAAACAATCACCAAAAGAAAAGAATAACGCAAAATAGAATCCCGCGAGTGTATGGAATTTCAAATCAAAGTATGTAAGACCCGAGTTGCTTCTCAAAAGCTGGATCTTTGGTAAATATGTAAAACATTAAACAACGGATAATTTTGAACATAAAAAATAAACAACATAAAATAAAAACAGTTTCAACGGTCAACATTGACAAGACAAGAGTGACGAGGATCAACTAGGATGACAGAAAACAAAATTCAAAAATCCACAAAATAAAATTCAAAAATCCAGAAAGCAATGCATAGTTAGAAAATCTTTTGCATACTACCTGTCCACGAGAAAAAGTGACAACATCAAGAAATAAGATAACATGTAAAAATGTTACATTCCTTCTAAGGAGGAATTTTTTGTCTGATAAAGGAAAAGAAATGAGAAAAAAATACGTGGATTTAGCTTTTGCTTTGATTGCAATCCTCTGCAACGGATTTTGAACTGAAATATTCCCTTAGTGGTGAAAAAAGATGTTTGATTACTGGAACGCTCCAAGATTTACCAAGCAATTTCTGTCGCTGATTTCGACCCATGTTGGCGACGTCAGTATAATGAGGTGGAAACCCAAATAACCTGAGAAATTTAGCATGAAAAATTTCTTTCAACAAAAATTTTACGAAAGGAAAACACAAAATATTTTTTTAACTAAATCCATGTGTACCCCAATCAAATCTACTCCAGCACACACTTAAACCAATCAAATCTAATGCAGCACATACTTAAACCAATCAAATCTAATCCAGCACATATTAAACCAATCAAATCTAATCCAGCACATACTTAAACCAATCGAATGTAATCCAGCACATACCTAAGCAATCAAAGCTAATCCAGCACATACTTAAAGCAATCAAACCTAATCCAGCACATAGTTAAATGGTGGATATGATATCTCGTACGATAATTTCTGAGTAGCAACAAATTTATAAAACATTTAATAAAAAAGACGATTTTATGAAGAGCAAATTTTTCTAACATAGATCACACTCCCATTCACTGTAAATAATTTATTCATATTGTTTCTTCCTATACTGTATAATATTTCGTAACACTAATCATTTAGCACTTAAAAAATGGCATTTTGTTTATGTCGAAAAATGTTTGCAATTAAAAAAATCGTCGTTTTTATTATTTTTTCTTAAAAATTTTACGAAAGGAAAACACAAAATATTTCCTTAAATAAACCAATATGTACACCAATCAAATCAATCCAGCACATACTTAAACCAATCCAATCCAATCCAGTGCATAGTTAAATGGTGGATAAGATATCTCGTACGAAGCAGGACAACATTGACAATACATCACGAAAATAAAATGAAATCGAGGTGTTGCAGGGAGGATAAGCATGTTGCACGTTTCTGGTGCAATGCTCATTTACGCGAAGTTTTAGAAAACAAAGCAAAGTAATCATTGGCAGGCGGTGTACAAATATACAGCAACGATTGTCATGTGCACAGTAGCATTGAAGACCTTTACCCAACATTATTGTCGCACAGTAGTCATTATATATGCACTTACTCCATCAAAAGCTATGATTAAAATTCAAATTAAATATAATTATGTAAATAGCAAAATAAGAGAATTTTTTATATACCTCTCCATTTCAGTAGACCAAAGTAAATCTTCATTTACATCAGAATCGAAAACTTCAACGGGTAAAATACCTTCTCTTGTTTGCTTGATTGAGTTCGACTTTGTGGTGACTGTCTGTATTTTTGTAAACTGTAAAATAGATGAAAGAATTGTAGTCATAATGACGTCATCAAGGTCTATACTGAACAAGATGTCAACCAATTAAAATCAAAATGTTTACGATGAAGTCATGGAAACAAAATAAAGTGTTTACTGAGGGTAAATAACTCAGTAAACACTTTAGTTAAATAGTTAAATAACTCTATTATATTGAGTTACAGAATGAGCAAATACTATTTGTTCTAAAGCAAGTTTTTAAATAGCACATCTTCATGAAGAAGCTATACGGCTTGATCTGTCTGGCAAAGCAATAGTGAAAAGATCGATAAGATGCTTACCATTTTTTTGCAATACATACATAAAACATCGGCTAGAATGCAGTTTAGCGGACACCAGTAGCAATTTTGCGATGAACATGAAGACTGTGGGCACGTTTGGATCAGGATTATGGTCAAGAATATGGTCAGGGAAAATTTGAAACTAAATCTAACCTATAAATTTAGTTGAACACGCATGACTCTTATGCATACGCTTTTTAAGATATTTTGCATGAGCCAGCTGCACTTTCCTGTTGATCAGCGACATGTACTATCCGCTAAACTGCATTTGACAAAAAATATCAAATGGTGGAATTCATAAAAAATTACTAAATACACAAAACATAAAATAAACATAACTGACAATCTCAACAATAAATATATAGGTTAAAGTCACGTCGTTGGGTAGTATTTCTCCAGCTCACAAGCTATCAATGATATCTTCAATATAACATTGAATGTTCAAACAAATGCCGACAGCATTATAGAATATAATGTTAAATTTTTCGACAGCCGAATGCTGTGTGGCAGGCAACTATACTTACTAGAATTTGAGAGCAACATATGCTTCGTATCTACGTATTTTGATGTTACACTTACGCGAGCTTTACGACCACAATGTGGTTCTAAACATGATTGTAGAGAAAGTTTGTCTCCAGAGACTGGAATTGTAGGTCTGAAAGAGGAAATTAGAAACATAGTTTTATCAGACTTAATTAAAGGAGTTAGAATTGAACATTCAAAAAAAGAAATACAAAATCTACCGATTCATTCCTGGCAAATTTCCCCAAAAGTATCGGGCTCTGCGGGCAGGAGAGATATCTTTGGCATCGACCACAACAGGATTGCACTATAATTTTGGAATAGTTAATCTGGCAAGCGTTGAATGAAGAAACAGTCTCACATACGTTAAGCAACATGTGAAATTTTCTAAGATAGACTTTAAAACTGACTAAATATGAAACGCCGTCTTTTTTAAAAGACAACACATTAAAACAAAAGCACAAAAACAGGAAATGGTACAACATATGTTGAATCTATAGAGTTGAATCTCGAACAACAAAGGAGTGCTTCACGCTATAGATTCTACAAACAGCACATTGAGGTATTTTTTTCTTAATAGTATATTCTTATGAATATTTTATAGCTTAATCCATTAGCAAAGTCATAGTATATTCTCTTCTGTTTCTTTCGTCAATCATGCCTGTTTGAAGATGTTAGTTCATCTCAACTTAGCTTTACCAGCTTAGAATGTCAAGAAAACGAATCGTAATCTCGACCCAGAGAACAGAGTTAGAGCCTGTGTCAAACCTGCTTACACTTAGCGTTAGCCATCCAAAGAACAAGTTGAAAGAATTAGGTGTAATCAAGTAGTCATAATAATTTATGAAAAATAAAATAAAACGGTTTGTAGAAAGGTGAGAATATCTAACTCTAACATAGACATTTCAATAAAAAAAGACAAAAACAAAAAATTCTACCGACAAACCTGTAAAAATCTAGATATTGTCCTTTTATCCACAGTGCGCATGCTAACAACATTTTCAAAAAGCCAAAAGAAAGGCCTTGCGTCTGCTTTCTCTGGCTTGGCGTACATCAGTAGGCGAAAGAACTCGAAAAACAGACGACCGCTGCCCTCTGTGGTAGAAGAATTGCGTCATTCAAAAAAATTTTACCTTCAGATGTAATACTTACTACACAAATCAAAGCGTGATATTTAGCAAAAAAATGTGTAGCTATGGTAACTAAAATACCGCAGTGGCAACCTGCATATTTAGTCGTGCTGTGTAATATGTTAAGTGTTCGCTCACTGTGTTAACAGTAAATTTTTTCAAACAACGAAGAAGAATACCGTATCTGAAATTTTCATAGTATGACTAAAACTTTTAGCAATACTTGCAACAAGTAATAGTGATAAAAAAAAACTTGAACAAACTTTACCTTCCATAAAATTACGACATACTACTCTAAATTTTAAAATTGTGTGAAAATCTTTGAGATTCATTGATTGATTAATTTACCACGAAACAGGTAGCACAATATACACCATAAAATAGAGAATGGTACGACTTACCATAAACACCTTGTCGAAGAGGATTAGCAATTGACAGATCGTTGCAAGGACTTGCACCAATAACCAAATCAAATGGTCCCCATGACTGAATCTGGAAGAGAAAATGATGTAGCCTGTATGAGAGTATGAAATTAAAAACGACCAATTTTTGATCATCTTGCAAGTGAATAAATAGGCTGCAATTATTGAGAGCATTTCTAAACCTGATTTGGCGTGATTTGTTCTATATCCCCAACTAATTTTACAACATCATCATCGCCATGTTGAACTTTGACGACCTAAAGAGATACGACAAGAATCAACAACGACACCTTCACTCATTCACGATAAAACTCACAACTAAATCATGAAACGTTTTTGTTACGCAAGTCGTTCTTCATGAATTAGCACGTGGTCAATGGTTACTGGCCATTCAGAAGTTTTATAATGAAATACATCGAAATATATAAAATATTCATGCTTGTACCATTGTAGCGTTTTCATCAATTTCAGATGCCACGTAAACCTCCACGTTGAGACCCAGTTCTTTTAACGCGAACAATCCTAAAGAAAGCACGCATCATCATCAGCTTTACAAAAGTCCTACAGTAGCTATAGGGGTCCAAGAATAGTAGAAAGCATTCATCATCATTGGCTTTACAAAGGTCCTACAGTAGCCATAGGGGTCCAAGAATAGTAGAAAGCATTCATCATGATTGGCCTTACATAAGTCTTAGAGTAGCCATAGGGGTCCAAGAATAGTAGAAAGCATTCATCATCATTGGCTTTACATAAGTCTTAGAGTAGCCATAGGGGTCCAAGAATAGTAGAAAGCATGCATCAACATTGGCTTTACATAAGTCTTAGAGTAGCCATAGGGGTCCAAGAATAGTAGAAAGCATGCATCATCATTGGCTTAAGTCCTAGAGTAGCCATAGGGGTCAAAGAATAGTGCAAAATTTCAAACAGGCACTGTCTTTAACACTTGATGTATGAGTATTTGAGTGTGTGTTACTATAATGAAACAGTAAAATTCATTAAGGATGTACGGTGGGCTTATCAAAACAGTTTGAAAGATTTACCTGTTCCGATACCGTCAAATAAGGAAAGAACACGAAGAGGTTTTCGTTTTTCAGGTGGCACAGGAGGTGATACCATAGGAGGAGTCTAAATAAAAATAATGTTGTAGAAATCATCAAATTAACCAGTTGTTAAGTAGAGGTAAGCAATGGTAAATAATTAATTACTTATATACTGCAAATATCATTAATGGTTGTTTAAATGAACAAAATCGATGCAAACAATATTGAGCTAGGACGTAAGATTGCTAGAAATAACAGGTGAAAAAAAAGAGATACTTGTATTGTTTTCCCTGATGCCCTTACGAAAATTTCACATTAGATTTCATATATGAAATCGCCATTTCACGTATGAAATAGACATTTTCATATATGAAAGAAAACACTTCATATATAAAATTAAATTTTCACATGTAAAACTTAAATGTCACAAGTGAAAAGTCAGTTTCACATTTAACACCTAGTTCTTCACATGTAAATTTTTCATATGTGAAAAACAATTCCCATGTGAAATTACACTTTCACATATGAAATGCTATTTTTTTATAAATATCAGTTTCACAAGTTTCACATATAACATTTAATTCTTCACATGTGACTTTTTCATATGTGAAAATCAATTCATATGTGAAATTACACTTTCTTCATTAATGAAATGCTAATTCACAAAAATCAAAGACCTTAAAACATTTGCGACCAAACACACATAATGTTTTAATGTAGACATTCAATTCAACAAATCATTCATACATATTCGTGTTCTTTGTCCATGTCAAAAAGCTGTCGAAGTTGCTCTTGCCAATCTTCCCTTTTTTCAAGAAGACCAACTTTAGTATTCTGGCACATTATACAACACCACGTCTCTAACGACGAAATCTACAAAAGAGCAGTAAAGTAAGTATAAATGAATGATGATGCAATGCCATTGCATAAAGAATGAATTATGACGACGAATGAATGAGCAAGGGTAAGAGAGGTACTAAAGGCTTTGTGAAAAGGCTTTTCCAAGGAAATTTTTTTGCTGCGTTAGCAAAGAAAATGACATACACAAAAGGGTCATTTTGATATGCAAGTTAGTGATGCACATTCAATGAGATTACTGACCTCAGTTCGCGGTCTCGTGTTACTAGTAGTCAGATATTGGATTTAATATTATTTTAATCACAAGAGTAATTTATCATAAAAAATTTCAATGGAGTACTGACCGCGTATTGTTTGTTCTATATACTGTAAGAATGCTACTTGGACAAAAAGTTGGTGTTGTAACTGGCAAGCAATTTATATACATGATAATTTTCCCAATTTCTACTTGAAGCAATACAAACCAACGGTGCTGTTGACCCTTACTACGTACGGGAAACAAAGCAATTGAGCTTCCATCATTCCACATTTCTTTTAAAAATTCATGAGCCAAATGGTCAGAGTTTGTTCCATATTGTTTGTGAGTAAAAAATTCATATACATTAAACAAGAAAAGCTCACCTGCTCAACAGTACCAGTGCCACACATTAGTTCCAAACACACAGCACAGTAAGATCTTCATAAAATAAAATTGAAAATAATCATCATTTATAGATACTAAAAATGAAGAAAAAAGTGTATTTTCATAAAGACTGGTGTCATGTGGAAGATGCAGCCAACAAAAACACTTTATTCCTGAGGTCTTAGTTTGTAGGCCGACAAAGTTTGTCATCATATCTGCCATAAAATTCTACGCTAAAATTGACCATATTCATTTTGTTTTAGCAGCATATGACATAATAATGTCGATTGAATCATTGCGAAATTTTAAAACAGCCAACCAGAAAATTTGTGAACTAAGTCCACTAACATGTGGTAAGATTTTCATATCACTTTGCAGAAAAAAAACACTTTTATTTTGACAACAGCTATGTACAGCAATATGCCTACTGTAGCCGAAATGAGACAACACCAAAAAAGAAAGATGAGAAGATGGGATTTCAGAAGGCGAAAACTTAAATGCCTAATTTCATGAATGAAAGTCCCTATTTACTTGGTGTTTTAGCTGTATACTGCATGAAAAAAAACTTCCTGCACGTCAAAATTATCGTTTTTCTACTCAAACATAATGCAAATTGCCGTTTAATTCTATAGGTCTGCTCATTTGAACTCATTGTTGCATCTAAAATATCCAGTATTATACCTTAAATATCTCGTATTATACCTGAAGCAAGCTGGAGATTCACACATGAAAACTTCTTTTCCATCACCACATATCGTACAATACATCTAAAAATCAAGTTTGCAGTTGATTCATTATGTCTCCCGGCGTACAATCCCGCTCGGGCATAGCCCGAACAGAATTTTATGTTTTCAAAATTTTTCTTTTGCCTACATGTCTTCTCATAAGACAAACTATAAAACATCCAATGATGCATGAAAGGTTCAAACAACTTATGCCTTTTTGACTTATAATTTAAGCCAACTTTGAAAATGTTTACACACTTTTGATCGGTTTATATATTTTACAATGTTTATTTACTGTTGAATGCATCACGAACAAACGCATTCGTGGGCTTCATGGCAAACAAAGATTATTAACTCCTTAATAACCGAGCGTGACGTCTTTACGGAAAAATATCGGACCAAGGTCTTTTTGTACAGGGCGAAGTGTGTACAAAAAGACAGAGGTCCGATATTTCTCAGTAAAGACCGAGAAAGCGAGGTTATTAAAATGTTTATTATATGACATTATTTGACCTGAAACGAAGCTTGCTTTCTTTCACTTTTCTACTTTTTGTCAGTAAAAAAGAAATCGTTTCAAATTGTATCGTCTGGATAGTTAAACTGTTTTCCAAGCGTTTTTCCTTCGACTCACATTCGTAAATGGTTATTTGTTTCGTTTTTTCTTGCGTTTTGCTGTTTGCTTTAAGAAGTTTGTTTACATTTTACTGTAAAATTACGCGTTTTGGACCGTGGTCGATTACGGGAAAATAATTGACCTGTAAAAATGTTTCTGAGCCAATCAAAGGGCGCCATTTTGCCGGAAGTGACGCTTGCCATATAATAATTGTTCTTCTTGTCTCATTGATTGTTGAGATAAACAAACGAGTACAAGAATTAATATTAAAAAATTGATTAAACGAAAGCGAGAACCACTTTGAACCTCAAGTCATGAAAGTTCAATTCAGTTTGGATAGAAAACAGACTTCATAACATTAATAAATCATTACCTTACCAACTGTACAAAATCATGTAATCCATACATGAGATAGAGAAAAACATCCCAATTATCATCACAATTATCATTATACTCAATGCGATTACGTACATTGACCAAGAAGAAAAACTCCAGAATATTCAACTAAATGATACTTAACCTGGTATCCGTCTTCATCAAAGAGATAAACACATTCGAGAAAGGTGTCCTTAATGAAAAATTAACAAGATATTAAAAAAAATTCTATCAAAGATATTTGTATTGTAACTAGCTAAAGACTTATACACGAACGAGGATCGTGTTGAAAACGTTTAAGTTAAGTTCAATTAACTATTAGTTAAAATTCAGATTTTTTGTAAAAAAACTTTGCTTAGTCACCCATCAATTGACTATAGTCCTTATTTAATTTTATCATAGTGTTATCACACTTTGTACCTTATACTCATCACAAAGTGCAACACTTAAGTAATAAAACATGTTTACTGTGTTTGCACAAGCTTATGCAAACCGAGGAGACCTTTGGGAAAACTCGAGTGCAGATCAGTGCAAGCCCTAGACCGAAGGTCGAGGGTTGCACATGCTCGAAAGGGTTGCACATAAACCAGTGGAAACACAAAAACCTTCTTTTATTTCTTTTATAAAATAATAAATATGCGAAAAAAACAAATATTTTAATTCTTCATCTAAAATGTATTCATGATCGATTTGCAAATTATCTTTAAGTGACTGACTGTTTTGACTGATTTGATTGGTTGAGCTCAGATGTGTTTTGCACAGGCTAATGGAAACATGGCTCTAGACAAATCACCGCACGCGTTTTATTGCTTTTATTTTATAAAAAAGATTGGACGACAGACACACATTATAATTGGCCATAATCGTCACATATCGTAAAGACATCAAGCTTTATACCTTACACTCATCGCAAAGTGCACCATAAAAAAGAGGATGTCGAACACTTATTTTGACATCGCCACAACCAAGACAGATGTCTAAAGAAGTAAAACGGAAAGGAAAGTGTCGCTTCCTAAACACATAAAGCTATTTGAGAAAAATAAGCAGCGAGAGTCATTTCTGCAAGTAAGAATGTACGACATAAAATTGCGTATGGTACAGCTATAGGAAGAAAAAAATGGTCCTTGTTGGCACAGCAATTTGAAAAAGCTTGTTTGTTCAAATTCCTATTGAAATAACTAATGGCGTAGTCAGCCCACAAGTTTTTTCGTGCTATGTAAGTTTTTAGGAGTTTACTCACTGTAAAAACATTAGATTTCTAAAGAAATTAAAAACTATAATGATGAAAATTTACACAGCAAGAAAAAATTTGCGGTTGACTACGCCACTAAAAATAGCTTTCATCAAAACTACAGTTGTGTCAAGGAATATTTTTTTATACGACAAACATCATTTTCTTTAAATCCTACATTTTACCTTCAATATTCAAAACCCCAGAAGCTGCTTGGTCAAAAACAACTAAAAAATAAAATGGACCAAATATAGTAAAACACTTCGGCATTCTTATTGAGAAAGCTTGCAATTAATTAATATACAAAAATATAACTACAAAGTACATAGAAAACAACACGATAATATCAAATTTGAATTTTGGAAACTGATAACTGATGTTTTTGTTTACATAGTCCAACCACCCTCCCCAAACTATAAAATGAGTAAATAATGCGTAAGTCAAGTAAGCTCTCCAGCAAGTTTATCTAAAAACAAGAGAAAAAATCTTGCATTGGTATTTAACAACCCTTGCACAGTCACCTTTTACGTCTTCCGCTAGGGCTGGTTTTCTGATTGGTTGACCAAATCTGTTCTTTCCTTCATGGTGGTTCCAGGCCTCTTCTAGGTTAACAGCGCTCGGACTTATTGAAACTTTGTGTTCATCTTTTGAAGATAAAAACATATTAAATAATATTTTGATCCCTTATTGCAGCTTAGCGGTATTAAATGAGAGTTAGTACATTCATCCGTCGTTTTTCCGAATCATGCAAAAAATTAAAAAAAGAATGGCATCAAATAAATGCAGAAAGACAAACATTTGAGTAATTTCGTAGCTGGACTCATTTATCATAATATTATGCTATTCTCGATAATCGTATACAACAAAAGTCTTCAATGACCTTTTCTAATCCTAACGTATATTTAACTTATTTACTTCAGCCTATTTACATTTACCTTCATAATTTTATTTGCTTGGGAGCTTTGTATGTAATTTAGCTACAGACAAAAATGATCTGTGACAAAAATTCCAATGAACAAACCTTTAATCGTTTCAAATGGCTCAGGTCCGCTGGGCTTAAAATCATCTAGAGCCCAGTCTAACAAAAGTTTTACACGGTCACACTTTTCATTGTCTTCTGCGTTCAACTCTTTCTTACAACGTGAAACAGCAACCTACAATTTATTCATCGATACAAAACAAAAATCAAACCATACACCAGTGACTATCATAAGAAATGCATTAACGGAAGAATTCCGTTATATCCTTTAACTGAACCTGCATTTTAGTTGCAATAAATTTTGATAATAAACTACGAATCCATTTTATTCAATGATTTAGAACCCAATCCTCTAGTTGTCTAACTACGTTGTCAAGGTGAGGCAAGGACGCCATCTTAAAAGGATGCAAAAAGAAAACTCAAAATAAAATATTTTAAAAAATCCATCCTGTCAAACATTTTAAGGAACAAACCTAGACTATCAACTTTGCGACTCTAAATCAACTCAGCAAAAGCAGATATTAGTCGTAAATATCGTCAGTTTTGCCACCTTTCAAGATGGTGGCTTGCCTCACTCATTACTATACCATTTCGGCGCAGTCAGATATCTACGTAGTAGAATGGGTTCTAGGTCATTGGTTTTATTGGCATTCCCACAAGTAGCGTAGTCAGCCGACTTTTTACTTCCACTATGCAAATATTTTTATGTTCACTGACTGTGAATCTTTCAGAAATTACATGGCGGAAGTAAATCTTCAGGTTGGCTGCATTCCAATTATTTAGTCCTGTTTTTAAAAATTTTTTTTGATCACGCGCATAAAAAATATTAAAGAAATGAACAGTAATGTTTTCAAATTTCCATGACAGAGCTGAAACTTTCGAGTTTCCTGCGCCACTGCATGATCTGTTTATTCAATTGATATATAGACATACCTAAACGGGCAGTTGGAAAGATCAGCTTCCAATGTAAGCACAAAACAGACTACAATATCTACCTCTAATGCTTCAACGACGGCTCTTTTGTAAACTCCTCTGAATTTTGAGTTCAGAAACTTTGTTTGAAAATGACGAAAGAGAACAATTTCATTCTTGATAAGCTTGAAAAGCAAGAAAATTGTCAATATGTATGCATCTAAATACAACATTTCACAGTAGCAATTCATAGTAGCTAACTCTTAATGAAAACGAGTCATTGTTTTTGTAAGTTGCTTTTGACTGTATTTCAAATGTTATGAGACTACAAACAGACAGGTGTTGTCAATGAAAATGTTATACGAATATGTTGCTATTATTTAGTGTTTGTCTGAAATAATCTATTTCCCACGTCTGGAAATATAGGTCAGAAACATAGGCTATATTTAAACTTCAGTTGGCCGCTCCATGTTGAAAGCAAGCACAAGCACAGAGTAGCAAGCAAATAAAGACATATAAGACATAGTGTAGTGAATATACAGCAGAGCTACTTCCATTGAATTTTTTCGTGCCATGCATATCTTATAACCAAAGTGACAGTTAGTCAATTGCTTTTTTCCATCAATAGGAATGATGAAATGGCTAACGGTATCCAAAAATATTTCGGATTGTGCATGCGCTAAGTAAGGCAAGAAATGCGATCAAATTTCCAGTTAAAAACCTGAATGATCATCAAGTAGAAATTTTTCAATTTTGTGTATTTAGTCTGGTGAAAACATGGTCAATCTAGAAAACTATACGTTCCGTGTGAAATTTTGGAAACGGACCTTTACACAATGATTTTGACCAATAAACTACAGTAACAATAACACGCATGCAAGACTATCTGTGACTAAAGATGACTTGCCTTGTTTACGTTTAGGAGGCAGTAAATTTGGTGGAGTGCTTTTCGACAACACTAGCAAAAATGGTTAACCTTGTTAGGATTAATCTGCCTGCCAGCAAAACGCAAACAAGGCAAGTCATCTAAACTTCATGGACTATTTATTTTCATAAGTTTCACATTTCATATACAGTAAATCTCGCCTCAAAAACCAAACAAGTTATCGTCCATAATGACATATTTATACCTTTGAGAACTTGTTATCTCCAAACCACTTAACCCAGACTTCATTGATGTGGTTTTCCAAGCTTGCGGAAGCACCAACATCAACAACAATACCAGGCCACCAATCAAAACCTTTTAATTTCCCCCATATCAGCTGACCAGAAGGAAACTTCTCCTGTTTAAAAAATATTAAAATGTGTTTTTTAAATGGTCACACGGGTTCGTGAAAATGTTTCAAATCATTTTGATAAGAAAGCCAGAGGCGTAGCCAGCTCAATAAGTGAAGAAGAGCGGGGAAATATTCCTATATTCATGTTCTGCTGTATTAGTTTTCTTGAAATCGATTGTTTTCTGCGGGATTATAATAAGCATATAGCATATATTAACATTACCCCTCCTCCCCAAGGTCACTGAAGCTAGCTACGTCACTACAGGAAGCATTAGACACTAATAGGCTACATTATCGATGTGCTAGTGAAGGTCTACATGACATCAGCGCAAAGTAATAATATGCAGTGGATTAGCTATAGCCAGCCGGCAAACTTGGTCCTGCCACGTAAGCAAAATTTCTAAAGAAATGAATAATAAAATGATCCGAGATTAGCACAGCAGGACCAAAACCAGCGGGCTGGCTTCGCTTCAGCTATTTTCACAGATTGACATTATAAGGTTGCATCGTCACAGAGTAAAGTAACTTTATAAAATAGTTTCCAGCCTTAAACATAGGAAAAGATTTGAAGGACTTTAAAGTCACGAAAACTGTCTATGTTTTGTAATCCCCATATTTATGTGTCACCTTAAGATTCTCTAATTTTGGTTTTTTTGTTGGAGTTTCGCCAGCTTGCGTATCTACACATGAACAAAAACCACATTAAATGCTAAGAGTGTTCTTTTCACATAGAGCAAATCGTTGGCCTAAATTATGAATAATAAATGTAATTCTTAAGTAAATCCACTCTAGAAAAGTGCAGACTGAACACAGTTTTGGCGATTGCCCAGCTTTACATGAAGTTTTCGTTAAGAACGTGTCATATATATTTTCATTTTGTGGAAAAGACAGACAGCATAAAAAGAAAAACTGCGCATACCAGCCAAGGAACCATCCTCTTCCGTAGATGTGGTATACTTTAACTGCCTTCGAACAGATAAACTAAGCTAAAAAAATCATTGAGATGATTAGTTAGACCATAAACATGGACAAGAGCAAGTGAATTTTATGGCGAAGTAAAGGGGAAACGGTCACGTTTAAAAAAAGTTTAGCGTAAAGTCGATGTAAAACAGTGGATGATAAATCAAACAAGTTATGATCAGAGACGAAACTAGACGCTATAATGGGATGGGTGGGGAGGGGAGGGGTGTATATTCATACATTCAGTTATGCCCTGTTGATTTCTTTTGAAGGTTAAATTTACTTTCAAAAGAAATCAGTAGGGCACTACTGAATGTATGAATATACACCCCCCCCCCAATCAATGTTCTAGTTTCGCCCTCAGTTATAATCACGTTCTTTGACCTATTTTTTCCACACAAACGTTTTAAATGTTATTTGTTGCATCGATTTGACATACATGAGTAAAAAGTTTATTTTTTCGTTCTGATATCTCAACAAAAGAATGTTTCTATTATGGAGTAAGACATTATTTTTACCGCTAGTTTTATACAGACAGTACGACAACCTGCTACATCAAACAAAATATGTTGATTTATTCCCAAATAAAACTAACCAACCTGTGACTGAGAAAGAGGAGAATTCTTCACAGGCTGTGACTCATCGACAGACACAACACGTCGTGTTTGTTTAGAATTCTTTCTTCTAAACTCGCCTTTAATATCACTGAGTTCACAAAATCTGCTGTCATTTTGAAGTCTTTTATCTTTTCTGGAAAGTAATAAAAAATCTCTTTATATTATTTTACGTAGCTAAGGGATTGATTTATTTCTATTCATCATTAAATACATTATTTCATTTTATGGTGTATCATTTAACCAAGAAGCATTGCTTTGTATAGATTGAAGCAAGAGAGGGCGGGGGGCCTGGGGCCTGGGGGGGAAGGAAAATGATAGAAGACGCTCTGAAACATGTTAGATGCTCCACTTGATGAAATGGGAATGTTGAAATCAATTTATTTAGTAAAATATTTCAAAAAAATTTGAAAATATATTACCACTTTTGTTCGTCATAACTGTAGAAAAAATATCTAATGAAAACACGCGAGTTTTCTGAGCTGTTCTCATCTAATCATATAAGTAAACTGCACAAGTCATTTTGATCATTGAATTGAGGTGATTGGTATTCGCTTCACGTAATTTTCATTTCATGTTTAATTAAACAGTCAATTCAAACGTTCGTTATTAGGTAATTCAAACTAAACATCCCCTTCTTCGCCATTATAGTAACGAAAATACTGGTTTGAACAATGTTTGACGAGTATTTACTTAACATTGAAAAAACAGATATCGAATTATTCTAAAAGAATTAAAATCTTTGCGGCAAAAAAGCACACGTAAACGCATCTGTTTCAACTTGCCTTTTACGACTGTTCTGACTGAACTGCTCTCGCATCAAGTAGTTCTCCGACATGTTCTAAAAAAATTAGTGTAGCAATGGTACAAAGGTAGAAAAATAACAGTTGGTATTTTGCACGTCTCCTTTTGGCCGGACGAAAACAAGTTAAGAACGGCATAGATTACTTCCAAAAATATGTAATCTGGAATATTTACTGTGAAATACGTCTATAAGTAAAATTTAAATTAACTTCGTTGCTAGATATGAAAAACTTAACCTAGTTTTGAAACATTACTGATCTTATTCCTGTAAAAATATCTACTAAGTGAGTTGCTAGAAAGCATTTTTCTTGTTACATAAATATTTCTTCATGGTCTATTATCAACATCTAGCTTCCCATTCACAAAGCTAGCCGGCGTAAGTAATTTGGGTAATTTGGATGTCAAGATTGGGGGTTGAGGAAGACTGGTAAGGAGTTATTTGGTGGTAAAGTTTGTAGAGTTTGACAATGAATTCGCTTTTTTGTAAGTTAAAATTGTGAAAAAATGTAAGTATTACTACATGTAAAAATATATAAAGTGAAAAAAAAGGAGTATCAGTTTCGTAAGTAAATTTCAGAAAAATTCATTCTTGTCAAAAGTTCAGAACACTTTCTTGACCAACGACTTACAAAGTTTTCATCGACAAAACTGCAAAGATTTACTTCCCGCCCCCTGTCTCACCCCAATAAACGTTTTAACTAGAAATTTACGAAGTAGTATTTTAATAAAACATAACGTTTGTTTACTACCATTGACTTAAGGCAAACAAAAGATGTACTTTAAATCACTCACTTTATTTTTTCCGTTGCTTTGAAGAGTGCATCTCCTTTGAGGGCATATCTGTAGTTTTAAACAGTTTTTAACACAGCATGATAATCATAAATTATTTAATACATTTTGTTCTTACTAAATAAAGTTCTCTTTCATATTCATGGGTTACATTGTGATCAATGACCTTGACAAAAAAAAAGTTTACACATCATCAAACTATTTCTAAAAGGAAAGTACAAGTGTGAAAGCATGACTAACAAGAAAAGTCAATTCTATTTAGATTTACATCTCTAACAAAGCAATTAAGTCAATGTTTCAATAAATTATGTAGAATTATGCTCATTTATTTCATAATGATGACAGAAAAAATTATGACAATTGTGATGTTTTTCATCACATGGTGCGATAACCAGGTATTCAGCAAGAAGTGTGAAATGTATTCAGAAATAATTTGAAATCTTATCATACTTTTTGAAGTGATAATATAGCTAGCATACATATGTAGAGGCAAAAATACCAAGGTCTTTATACCCAAATTACAATGCTTCAAGAGCAAGTTGAAACTAGTTGTATGCATAAATACACTTTAATTTACTTTTACCAGGGCCGTTGCTGGAACACAAATAGGAGGATGAATATTCACATATTCAGTAGTGCTCGACTGATTTCTTTTAAAAGTGAATTGGCTTTCTAAAAAATCAGTCAGGCACAACTTATGGATATATGCATATATATCCTCTACCCAATTAGCATTCAAGCACAGGTTTTGATTTTCATACTGTCTTTTGCTACTCCTTTCATTTCAAAGTTAAAGCAGCTAAATGAAAATGTGGGGCAAGTAGTACTGATTCAGTTATCCAATTGAAACAGATTCAATTTTAATACAAGAAGAATGCAAAATTTCAAATTCAATTACACAAAGCTCGATGTGGACATGCAGTTAAAATAAACTGCTATAATTATTAAGATGCTTACAATTCTTAAGGTGGCTGGACTGTCTTCCACATAGATAACCAACTATATGCATTTCCAAAATCTCAAATTTTACAATACAATGCATTGTCGTATCTCAGTAAATTAAATGTAATGAAAGCAAAACAGCTTACACACATAAATCTACAATTTGAATACACCACCAATTTGATTACTTAGAAAAATATGTAACAGCCTAAAATTATGTAATGATAGAAAGCAAAGATGTAGACTCCATTAGCTTTACGTACCATGAAAAAGGACAACATCCCAACGGTGATGTTAATGCCATGTCCAAATAGTACGTATTGTTGACACAGTCAATTTAAATTGTTACTAAATGTTGCCAGTCGTTATGTAATCCCTCTACTTCTCTCATAAAAACTTAAATATATGCTTCCTTGCACGGCATTAACATACATCTCATCCTGACGGCTGAACATTACACTAATTGTGCCTTTTTTCAAAAAAGATTAGTCACAGCAAATACATAATTGAAGCATTGACATTTTTACCGCACTGGCGTGACTCCTTTTAGCAAGAAATTGAGACAATATTATGACTACAGTTACTCATGCTTTGCACCACGTGTTCATGAAGCATGCTTTCAATTAACATTCCTACCTACGAATACTCCATGCACAATGTCGCAATTCTTATACAATTTCTCGCAATTATAATTGTTTACGTAAATAAAAAAAACAATGGCACTTCTAATGCTTTGAATTGGACGTGCATTGAGTTCTATTGAAATGCTAATGAAATATTTTTTGATGATGCAGTATAAATACACAATACAAAAGAAATACCCCATGAGGTGTCTTTGCTTTTGATACTTTGGGTGTTTCGTTATTCTCCATCCTTCTTCACCAAACAACAACCAAGATGTTATTCTCACAGATACTAGTACGACAATGATGCAAGAAGTACAAACGACAAACTAGTTGACGGTTTACGACAAATATTCCATCTCGACGACGTTGATAACATATGCAACTTGCTAATACAGGGAACGAAAACTTGTTCTCGAATTGATACTCCAGAGCTCTAGAGGTCATCCAATAAAAGTCGCTACGGTCCCAAAGGAGAAAAACAAATATTAGCCTCCTACTTAGGATGAACGTTCTTCCGCTCTTCACTTGTTTGCTGTCATATTGCAACGTTGTTGCGACTTAATTACAACCTTCACGGAACGCCGTACAAATTAGAAACGCTTGTTTTCAACGTTAAGACTGCTCAGAAATTTTTCCATCTTGTCCAATTTCTTCTTCCACCGACCGTTCCACCTACACGTCCTCCATTGTCAGGGACGGTCTAAGGTGTTGCCACGGACCTTTGTGAAGTAAAATTAAGTTAATTTTTCAACAGAAGCACCGCAAAAGCGCAGTGTTAAAATCGTCAGTTCCTTGAAGTTGAATTACCTATCTCTCGCAGAGTTGCAGATGCACAAAACCTGGAAGGCTATTATTTTTATTTCAAATAAGAAAGCATGCAATAATGGCCTCTTATACAAACTGATGTATTTAAGTCGTTCCGTAAGACTCGATCGCAGAAAGAAAATCTTCACTTCATAATCAGAATATGAGCACATTTGCACATTCAATCTCATGCAGAAATACTTTAAATAATGCTATATAATCTAAAATGACTACCCAGATTTTGTCGTAGTGGAGTGTTTTCCTTTCACCACTTTCCTGTGTTGTAGAAGCTTGCACGTGAAAAGTCACAGTGGTTTGTAAATAAAAATTTTTTTGCTAATTTGCTAAATTCAGCTTATTTTCCACTAGAGTACAACAGCATTTCCAAGGGTACTCATCAAAATAGTTGCAGCCCTGCAGAACCTCTATTCCGGGCACGTTTTACATTACTGCAGCCCAGTCTTCCTCCTATAAATTGATCATGTAAAAGCTATCCCTGGTAACCATACTTTACAATCGCTATTTTCCAGGTGTCTTGCAAGGAAGGAATGTTTCTAGGACATAAATTTGACCGCCAGGACAGTTCTCTCACAATCAAATTTCCCAGTTGCTTAAAAATTCCTTAAATTTCCATCAAATTCTTTCAAATTGTAAAAATTACTACAAGGCATGATCACATAGGCTCAAAAAGTGTTTTTTTTTTTTGTGGATTTTCCTCCTCTTTTTTTGCTGTTTTCAAGTTTTTCAATGTTGTATTTGTAAAGAAACATTAAATATTATAAAGTGTATATGAATATAAAGTATAAAAACATTAACAATATCCTTAAAACCCTTAGAAAATCCTATTTTTAAGGACAATTTCTTAAAAGTGAGAGCACTGCGCCAGGAAGTAGCTTAACGCACATTGACCTTGTACACAATGAAGCTTACACTGTAACCATATCCTTCGATTCAATCGGAATCGAGGGAAAAAACAAGATCCACGCAGATCGTTTGAAATTAATGTATAAAGACAAAATATATCTTAAGCTAGACTTAATTTTGATGGAACAATAGCGAGTCTAAAACTACAGCAAAAAAGCTACAGCAACTCGTGTACTTGCATGTATGTTATCTAAAGCACCTCAAAAAAATTTAACTAAAGGTAAAAATCTATTACTTGGAAATTCAAAAAGAGTTCCTTTTAGGAAAATACTTGATATTAAAATTGAGCTGCTATAACTTATTTCAAACCATCGCTGGATCCGCAACTAGCCTTTTTACGGCAGAAATAACAAAAACTGCTTTATCTGTCAACTGCGTAAACACTTTAATTCCTAGGAGTCCTTATCTCTTATTATATAAGATAACACAACACTTTCTATAAACTACTTATTCCAAAATACGCATTTAATATACAAATGGTCTTTCGCTAGAGTGAACAATTTGAATAAATCTCTTTAGTCTCTGAAGTTTTTCTTGCGCCTGTCTAGTCGATTCAACTATTTCAGTCTTTTTCTGGATTTGCGTCTGAAAGGAATAGTGATTTTTTTATTTGCAAATAAGAGTGTAAATGAAAAGTATAAGTAATTCAAAACTGACAAAGAAGATCCACCATTACACGTTTAGAGTGAGGGAGATTGAAAAGTGCAAGGGAAAGTGCTAGAAAAACAGGGAAGGTGGCAACATGCAGTAATGTAGGATGAAATGTGAGACATGCTGGGAAAGTAGGATACATGATGGGAAAGTGGGATACATGCTGGGAAGGTAGGATACATAATGGGAAAGAAGAATACATGCTCGGAAGGTGGGGTGTAATGTCAGAAAGTGGCATACATGCTGGGAAGGTAGGATACATGATGGGAAAGTGGCATACATGCTGGGAAGGAAGGATACATGCTGGGAAGGTAGGATACATGCTCGGAAGGTGAGATGTAATGTCGAAAGTGGTATACGTGCTGGGAAGGTAGGATGCATGCTGGGAAAGTGAGATACATGCTGAGAAAGTAGGATACATGCTCGAAAGGTGGGATGTATGGTCGGGAGGCGGTATACATGCTCGGAAGGTAGGATCTCGCATCGTAGGATGCATACTCAAAAGATGGGATACATGCTCGGAAGATGAGATTACATGATGGAAAAATGGGATACTTGTTGGTGAGGTGAGATGCATGCAGGGAAAGCGGAATGCATGTTCGAAAGCGGAGACATAGAGGAGAAAAGTAAAGACATGCAGAAGAAGAGCGGTGAATTAATGTCCACTTACCACAATAGCACTGCTTAATTCAGTAACCTTCCTTTGTAGCTCTAACTCCTCCAACTTTAATTCTTGATTCCGATTTAATAATTTCTGTTTCTCTTTGTCTTTTTCTACAACAAGAAATAGAAATGCTCTAAATTCATGTCTTCATGACTACTCGCATTTCTAAACATCTATTTAACAATGAATCTAAGATTGAAGCCAAGTTTCAGGTTATCAGATAACCGCTACATCATTTTGCATGATCACACAAAAAAGTACGCGGTGATTGATTCAATCTGCAATGCAGGGAGGCTAGATTTCGATATTCACACAACACAATTTGTTATAAGTTCCACAGCACTGGTTTTTCGTTGAAATCTAGTGGTGTCAGAAAATTGTTATTGTAGGGAAAATCAAACAATTGGACGATGTTAGACACATACCAGCTCTGTGTTTAAGATATGAATGGGCAACCGCGAGTGTACCAGGCCATTCCATTGGTTCTTTACTTCTCATGATTTCCTGTAGGAAGAAATTGTTTAAAATGACTGATCAAAATCTCAGGAAACAGTTGAACAAAATCAATTCTCTAATGATACGTCATAGAAAAAAAACGATGAATAGTATCTCAAAATGAAATTTCTAAACAGCTCTCCAATAATATGCATCGAAGAAAATGTGACTAATACCACAAAATGATACCTGTAAGCGCGCACAGTTTAACACAAACACTTCTCTAATGTTAGGCCATTGAAGAAACGATAAATACTATCTCAGAATGAAACTTCTAAACAGCTATCTAATAATTTGCCATTGAAGAAAATGTGACTAATATCTCAAAAAGGAACTACTAAGAATACAGTTTAACGAAAATACTTCTGTAATGATAGGCCATTGAAAAAAAGGCAACTAACATCTCAAAATAAGGCTTCGAAAAACATATTCTGACGGACAACACTTCTAAAATGACATGCCAATGTCCAGTCGATTGAACAAGCACGCGTGCAATTTCAAGAAAAAAACATGATTTTTTAAAGACAAAAAAAGCTACATATTCGACATAGCACACTAAGATGCAACGTTACTCCTGCAAACTCCAAGTTTACAAGTATTTTACGTTAAAACGACACATGAAAAACAGTGATCCTTGATAGTTAGGAATTCAAATACAATTGAGATGCCAAACTAAAAATTTTAATGTCTTACTCGACATTTGGGACACATCCACATTCCTGTAGGTATCGATGTGAGTGGCGGAGTGAGACATTTTAAATGATAGACCAGTATACAAGTATCACACATCAAAACTTCTCCACTTTGTTGACATACAGCACAATGGTCTTCGTGTTCTCCATCCTGAAAATTTTTGATTCAATTGATAAACGTATTTCAGGAGCAACCAAAATGTAATGTAAGTATGTAAGTAACTCGGGAATACTTCCATGAGATTTATGAATACAGCCGAAAAAATACAGTGAGAAATTTACGGGGGTAAGCATTAGATTTAAAGCAAGAGATGGAAGTCACTGAAAATTTACCCTCCCACGTAGCCGAAGGAACAGGGATACCAAATACGCACACCGCAAGTAGCTGAACAAAAACAATTGTGAGTTATTGTAATCAATACCACAATATACCAACCTAATATATACTTCTAAGAACTAAACCCTTCCCCCTGCCATAAAAATGTGAGATACATCCCTCAATAAGCAGACTTTGTTATTCAAGGTAAACAGTGTAGTAGAGCAGCAGTCACAAACCTGCAACAAATCCTCTGTATTCTCTGTTGTTTGATTTTCTGGCTCCTCTTTCGGTGATTTAAATCCATTGATGGGAACAAACACCGGTGAGGGCAACATGGGAGATTTTAAACTATTGTCACTGTTCTTTGACGCACGACCTGAGGATAAGACAGAATGAATGTGAGTGAAAAACGATTGATGGGAGCAAACACCGGTGAGGTCAACATGGGAGATTTTACACTATTGTCACTGTTCTTTGACGCACGACCTGAGGATGAATGTGAGTAAAAAACGTATAGCAAGAAAGCGCAACCGAGTTGAACAAATTGATAAAGGTGTGTATATGTACAATCTCTGTTCGGTCTGGGGTATATGAAGAAAGAACAGATTTCTATGTGCACTTGATGAAGAACAAGAGAGCTCCGCGGATTACAAATGTTCTGACAAGAATACACAACGTCTGCGGCTCTGAGTGGTTTTTGATTTTTTTTTTGTCTTAAAATCTATCGATGTTGGGTTCAGCTATTACGTTTCATAGTCTATACAAAATATATTAATCCTCTCATTATATTAATATATTATTAATATAATATATTATGCATATACTCTGATTAATATATTATGTATATACTCTGATGATGGCTTCGGAATATAGTCTATACAAAGTGACACAACTTAAGAATGAATAACTTCAACTCTCTACGTTGACTATTTTTGACAAATACAATCGAAAAATTTCATTACAATTATAACAAATTTCGCAATCGAAAGCAGTTTGCAAAAGAGATTTTGTAGGTTACCTCTTCCACGTTTTATTCCATTGGATGTTCGTTTTGGCTATGAAAAAAAAAACCATTATTATTACTCTAAACTTTTATCATGACAGCGTTTCGGTCGTATTCAGTTAACAAAATGTTACGTTAAACAATAATTGTGTTTAAGTCAGGCGGTTGTATTATAGCTACTTTATTATATGGCAAGCGTCGCTTCCGGCAAAATGGCACGCTTTGATTGGCTCAAAAACATTATTTTCCCGTAATCGACCACGGTCCAAAACGAGTAATTTTACAGTCAAATGTAAACACACAAAATTCGTTATGCAAACAGCAAAACGCAAAATAAACGAAACAAAAAAACATTTACGAATGTGATTTGAAAGAAAAACACTTGGAAAACAGTTTAACAATCCAGACGATACAATTTGAAACGATTTATTTTTTATGGACGAAAACTAGAAAAGTGAAAGTCAACCCGTACAAAACAGCAAGGATGAGAAAGAAAGCAAGCTTCGTTTCAGGTCGAATAATGCCATATAATAAACCTTTTAATAACCTCGTTTTCTCGGTCTTTACTGAGAAATATCGGATCTCCGCTTTTTTGCACAAACCTCGCCCCACGGGCTTGGTCTGTACAAAAATACCTCGGTCCGATATTTCTCCGTAAGGACCTCGAGCTCGGTTATTAAGGGCTTAAAATTGCACCTAGGATTCAAGTGATTTTGATTTGTGTAGCATGATAGTGTATAATGTGTTTATCTATGATGTGGGTATATAGTTCCCGACAGATCATACGACAATTTCTAATCAATATATTCAACCTAACTATTGTATCTATTGCAGGGTACACTAGTACCCTGTCTAAGGAAATGATTAGTAGAACTTAAAATAAATTCAAGTAACGAGACAAAATTGTAGATTAGTAAGTAAAATTGTTCAAGATCGCAGAACACAAGTAGTTTTTTCTTTTTTTAACAAATTTTCACAAAAATCCAGAGTGTACGTAGATTGATTTACTCATCGAATTCAGAGAAATCAATAATATCGACGCTCACAGAGCGGGGTAGGTTTGTACAAAAAGACAGAGGTCCGATATGTCTCAGGAAAGCCCGAGAAAGCGACGATATTAAAAGGTTTATTATATGGCATTATTCGACTTGAAACGAAGCTTTCTTTCTTTCTCGTTTTTGCTGTTTTGTACGGGTTGGCTTTCACTTTTCTAGTTTACGTATGTCAAAGTAAAGAAAAAAAATATTGCAAATCCTATTCTTACATATAATTCATAATAGGAAAGTTAAAAAAAACCACCTACGTATGCGTACAAAATATTTAGTACCTAAAAGCATTGACGTAATGGAATTTTTGGCAAGATACTTTATCAGTGAAGCAGTGAACTTACTTCATCAAAAAATTGAAATGAACTATACGGTGAAAATATGGCACTTGTTCTTCTTCTTCGTTCATTTTTCTGCGAGTTTATTTCTACGCAAAATAAAAAGAATTTCTTAATTTCAGTGGACAATGAAAGCAACTAACGCATAATTTATACAATTAAAATAAATTACAGTGCTCATCGCTTATGGTTTGACCATGCGCTCTAGTGATAACAGATTTCAAGGTAATAAAATAGCAAAAAAACGCGTGGACTATATACTATATAGGTCTGTCTTTATAGAAACAAAGTTTAATGTCCATGTGTAGTGTGGTTCGAGTACAATATCTTCCTCCGCCTCAAAGTTTCAAAATGGCGGCTATGACGTCATTTGACTTGGAAAAGCTCAGTAAAAAATTTATAACGCACCTCGACATTTTGAAACTGTTATAAGACCAAGCGTGGAAAGGAAATTCAGTTTCTAAAAAAATAAAAAGTTCTTTTTATCAAATGTTATGGCTAAATAGAATAAAACAAGCTAATAATATCAATTAATCACAATTGAGATTACTCTAGTCAACAAAATGAAAGAAATTTTACTTTAACAAACCACAATCACAATATCCCGGACTGAAAACCATTATGTTTATTCTTTTTAAGAGAATGTGTTTATTCTTCAACAGCAGATTGTTGGCATTATTGTGTTTCCAGAAATCCAATGTTTTTTTTTACAGTAAGTGAACACCAAAATTATATTTAAATTGCATGGCCAAACTTATGGGCTGGCAAAACTTCTGACCGTATCACAAGTTAATTAAAAGAAAACTTTCAGATCGATAAAAGCGGTAAATTTTCAGCAATGTAGGAGAGATGAATGGAAACTTGTTCACAAAAAATAAACAGACACAACATATTATTTTAGAAACAAATGTTTGTCTTACAATACCTCTAAATACATTTATCTAAGTACGTATTTTTGTCAACATTTGTTTTTTTTATAGAATGTTCTAAACCAATTAGGAAGCTAGCAGCAGTAAAATACTGAAAGAAATGATAATATTTCGACTGGCACGTCTTTGATTAACAGCAGACAAAAAAAACACCGCACTTTTTGTTCATCAAGACGGATTATTTCGAAACTTTTAAGGTAAAAACCTGCTAAAAATTATAACACGAAAAGTACATTTTATCGCACAAAAAGAACGACAAAATCATCTGGACGTAAATCGTACCTCTGTGTTTTGTTTTAATGGCGAACGAGATTCACCATTAGATGTGGTGGTCTGTATCCCTTGAGATATTTTTCTTGCTTCAGGTCTTCGCAAGACATTGTTGCCTAAATTATTACTTGAAACGGTTTGTATTCCCGTGGTAACCATGTTGGGTTTTTTAATGCAACTACGATCGTTCTTCAGATAATTGACGTTGTTATAGGTGGAAGTAGAGTGATGATTGGTTGTTTTTGGAACAGAGACAGCAGTTTTTGAATGCTGAAAATATCAAACAAAATTAACTCAAAAAAGCGATAACAAAGAACCGTGATCCAGTGCTGTAGAACTAAATTTATCAGGGGGGCTCTCTTGACGAAGCTGAAGCCATGAAATTATGAAAAATTACCCATTTCAAAGGTAAAAGGGGGCTCCTCCCCCAAGCGACCCCCCCCCCATTTCTACAGCACTGCCGTGGTCCCATTATTGTATTCTGATATCCATGAGGCATCCATAACCACTAATAAACAAGGCGTTTGGTCGGTTAGTATGATTCATAGGCCTTGCACTAGTAAGCAAGCAGTTTGTTAAATTGATAACTTGAAGAAAAAAATATGATGCTAGGAAATAGATCGAAATTTTCATTTTTGAGAGCAAACTAATACATGCTAAAGATGTTTGGCTTCCTGACTTCCACGACCTCGTTGAATAAAAGACAATGAGTATAATTCACAATAAACCACGAGAAAAAATCAAGCTGTACGTAGTAGAGATACGGATTATGGCAACAGTTACTGTAAACGGAGACTTTCACAAAAATATCAAGATACCTGCAAATTAGGCAATGAATTTCTTTCCATTGGTCCTGAAGTGAATTGATGCCGCAGAGCAGTATTGGATGGGTTGTGTGTCGATGAAGAAGTTAGTTCATGTGTGGCAGAGGCAGTTGTTTGAGTGACTATTGGGGAGCCATTCATACGTACAGCTTGCTCCGAATGACCTTTTTTTGGGTGCTATGAATATATGTAATGGGAATGTAGAACAGTGGAATATTAGTAAAACGCAGATTTACTTTAGTAATACACTTGATCACATGTTCGCGTGGAAAGTTTAAAATACTGTCATAGCGGTCATCTCAACTGTCTCACAACAACGCGTTTTCACGTTTCCATCTTTTCGTAACTCTCTAGATATTGTTTCTTGTGTATATCTACAGTGTGCAATCTCTCCTCAATTTTGGAGTCACCCTCTTTATTACATATCAATCTATTTTCTAGTTGTAATAAACAATACTTTATTTCTTTTCCAGTTCTACTAATTTAAAGTAACTCTCAAAAACCACTTGTCGTTGCTTCATTTTCTCAATTCAATCAATAGCTTAACACACCATGAAAAATCATCATAGTATTACTGGAGTGTATAAATGTATAACCCACAACTCCCTCCTGATGCATACTTTGATAAAGCATCAAAATCATCTCATTTTTGTCATATAGTACATGTTTTACACTAAACAGTCATTTCTTGGTGGATTCTTTCATTAACTTCACAAGCCTCCTGACTAAACATTCCTGCAGGGTAATTACACCACACAGGGACTGTTTGGCTGCCTTAGGAGCTATGCCCTTCCTTCTCAATAATTATGCCACCATTTTGAGATGATCTGATGTTTGCCACATGCAGTCTACAACACTAATAAAAACTATGATCTACAGTCCTTTAAACATCAATTACTATAAATAGTCTAATGGTCACACACATTATCCTTAACAATTATTCTTTTCACCAACTTTATGCGTTCCACTGAGTTCTTATTCATATTATCAAAACAAACAAACTTTTGGAGCAATTAGCTTAAAACTCAAAATGAAATTTGCAACAAGGGTTACAAATTTTTATTTTGAATAAAAAAGTGTGCTTACCTAAATAGCCTTTTCAAAACGTGACAATTTTACTATTATTTTACTTGTCTCTCAGTTGCCCAATGTCAAAATGATCATTGAAAACAATATGTGTTTTATGTCACCAGTTTTCAAATTTCCATGACAAGTATACAGAATGGTAATTTTGCAAAATTTATCAAGTCGGTTGAGACTGGTAATCACCGAAGTAAAATTTCATCTTAGTTTGTTCTGTAGCTTGTTTTTTGATGGTTTTCAAGTAGTGAGCATGGCATTTAAAGTTAAACTTAAAAGTTGAAATGTGTCAGCTATTACAAAATAATCACACTTTCATTCATATAATCTAGGGCTACAGCACATCCAAAGTTTTGAAATAAGATAAGACCTCATAAAAATTGCCAACCTGTTTTATTCTTATGTACCTAGATAAATTCCTGCAACAAATACTAAATAATAAACTAAACAAATAGAAACTACAACAGCCTTCCATGAACAAGAAATTATGTGATTAATTACTTTTATGATTAAACACAAACATGCTGTATCAAATAGTCAACTTACATCATTTTGTTCCTGTCCGTTGAGAGGAGTCGTAGCATTTGGTTGGATATTTTTCTTCAACAGCTGAACAACTTGTTTCTGAAAGTTTAAGTGCATACATTGAAAGTTGCATGGATAGTTACATTGAAAGTTGCATGGATAGTTACATTGAAAGTTGCATGGATAGTTACATTGAAAGTTGCATGGGCAGTTACATTGAAAGTTGCATGGATAGTTACATTGAAAGTTGCATGGATAGTTACATTGAAAGTTGCATGGATAATTATATCGAAAGTTGCATGGATAGTTACATTGAAAGTTGCATGGATAGTTACATTAAAAGTTGCGTGGATAGTTACATTGAAAGTTGCATGGATAGTTACATTGAAAGTTGCATGGATAGTTACATTGAAAGTTGCATGGATAGTTACATTGAAAGTTGCATGGATAGATACATTGAAAGTTGCATGGATAGTTACATTGAAAGTTGCATGGATAGTTACATTGAAAGTTGCACGGATAATTATATTGAAAGTTGCATGGATAGTTACATTGAAAGTTGCATGGATAGTTACATTGAAAGTTGCATGGATAGTTACATTGAAAGTTGCATGAATAGTTACATTGAAAGTTGCATGGATAGTTACATTGAAAGTTGCATGGATAGTTACTTTGAAAGTTGCATGGATAGTTACATTGAAAGTTGCATAGATAGTTACATTGAAAGTTGCATGGATAGTTACATTGAAAGTTGCATGGATAGTTACATTGAAAGTTGCATGGATAGTTACATTGAAAGTTGCATGGATAGTTACATTGAAAGTTGCATGGATAGTTACATTGAAAGTTGCATGGATAGTTACATTGAAAGTTGCATGGATAGTTACATTGAAAGTTGCATGGATAGTTACATTGAAAGTTGCATGGATAGTTACATTGAAAGTTGCATGGATAGTTACATCATCAGGTGAAAAACTAGAATGCTATTTGGGAGGAGAGGTGAGCATGCATATATTCAGCTCTGCCAAGCTGATTTCTTTTGAAATTCAAATTGCAAGCAAACCAAATCAGTCAAGCAGAGCTGAATACATGTATGAATACTCCCCACATATTAGCATTCTAGTCTCGTCATGGTATATAATACATTCATTGGTGTAGCTAGCCTGCAAGTTCATGGTCATGTTGTGTAACTATTTTTGTGTTCACTCAGTTCTAAAACAACTTGCTTGCTACATTGCTGCATACATGATAAATGCTATGTGCAAATGTATTCAGCTCTGGTTGGAAAAATATCACCAACGATTTTAAATGACCGTTCAACTTCTTAGTCACCTGACTCATTATTTTACTTTGCTAAACTGATAAATAGCAAACCAATGAAACTACAAGAAAAGTGAACTACGAGTGAGCCTTAAATACAAGAATTGTAAAGTTTGAATTTTATAATAATTAAATCCTTGTAAGGTTATTTTACACAGAAATGTGAAAAGCCTTTTTCTGAATGAATCCCATAATAAACCAAATTGAGGTAAAAATCATCAAAACTTCACCAACTTATAAAAAAATTTACCAAATCCAATCACTCTGAAAGTTAATCAAATGTAGCACAAAAAATTAAGCGTCAGAGTTTGTACCGAAGTCTAAATTAACGTCGATTTTACGTTTTACTTAGAAAATTGAATGTCAATAACATTACTCACCTGTTTTTCATTTAAATTCGTTAGTTCTGCTTGCAATGACTGCACTTTGCGCTGTATTTCCACATTCTTTGAAGGAGAAAAAGAAAACTATTCATCATTGAATGAATAAGGAATTGTCGACAGTAGTTCAGTTCATCGTGCATTTTACAGTTATACGTAATCTGCCGAAGACGTATATAGTAAAGTTTGCCTATAAAACAACGTTTTGCACTTTCATTTGGTTAATACATTTCATTTGACGCTAAATAGTAAAGTTTTAAAGGTTGCATCCTAATCACCTGTGGGTCTTTTTTCATTTCATTCACCCAAATCTATAAAAACATCATCGGTAGTCAAAGAGAGGTTAACGGTACAAATTGGCTAGGTGTATTAAACACCAAGTGCTACTTTATTTGTTACATTTATTAAAAATATTTTTCTTCAGTTGATCAAACACGACAAAAAATTTTCTCATTTCCTGCCCGAATGAGCTTTCTGTCAGGGAAAAATGCCAGCACATGACGACAGTGCTGAAATGCGGATTGAACTGATTGCAGTAATGTAATATTCATGTCAGGCGATACCCGTCGAAACCAGTCTGATATACAGACACTTGCAAATAGAATATTTAGTACACAAAATAATGTTCATCTTAAGCTACTTTTGGCATAAAATAGTTTACGAGATAAATGCAGACGATTCGCCAAACTTTGGGAAATATTTCTGAAGTTGAACTGAAATGAAACAGTTTTCAAGTCTATATAGGCAATTCGATAGGGTGTTCAGACAGACAAACGTTCCATATAGACATCTATAGACACGAAATTTCGACAACATTTTTTTACAATACCTGATGCTGGCGAATGTGACTTTTAAGCTGCTCTTGAATTTTCTCCAAATCCATGATTCAAGTCTACAGATTACCGAGCATTTGAGAATTCGGTTTCTCACACGAAATCTCGCATCTGATTAAGTGTAGTCAGTGCGTTGCTCAAATAAAGAAACGCTAGTTTCCGGTTTTCGACGAAGCTCGTCTGCTCTTCGCAGGTATCCGATCCGGATGCGACAATTATGAGGCACTTAACCGTATATAACGATTTATTTTATTTAGTAAAATTTTAGGTAGTAAAACTTCACAGTTTTCTTTGGTACTTACAGATTGATGCATGCATGATACATATGAATTCAGTTTTATTTTCGTATCACAATATTAAAAATGACGATATTTTTGATTTGCAAAATGGCGGGAAAGGGTGACTAATGCCCGGTATATTGTCCTCGTGTATGGTAATTATAAGCAGTAACAAACGTGGTACTTACGAAGAAAAAAGTAAAACTGCAACAATCGAATTAATACGAAAATGGCCAAAAGAAGTGCTGCAATTCAGATTAATGACAGTAATTGGGACGCTGAGGAAGAGAGCGAAGAGGTATTTGATTAATATGTTTTAGTATTAACACTATATTCTTCATACTGAAATCTTTTGTAATTGAAAAATGATACTTGACAGCCGAAATTTTTTAACCATACAATTTTTCGCGACTTTATAGCGTTTTATGTTTTTATCATGTTTCCATTTATTACTGTGCAGTTTTAGTGTTGTAAGAAAGTATGATGTTCTTCTTGATGGTGGCGTTATAAACACTTCATCATCCATGGGATTGTGAATTTGTGGTTCACAATTTCAAATGTGTTGATATTGAAGAGATGAAGACTGTTGGAAATCAGAAAAATACCATGCTCATTGCTTAAAAAAATGAAATACTCTTTTTGCTCACCTTGCACGGATGATGTGTTATTTGTCATTGAGTGCTGTCAAAAGTTATAATTTTCTGTTTCCCTTTTCTAGGCAGGTCAATTTAAAATTGCTGGTGCGGCAGAACTGAGTCAAAGAGTGTAGGTCAATGCTTGTGAAGTCCTTGCACATAAACCTGTTTTTGTTGTATTTTGTCTCCAGGACTGCTCTTATTGATAACAACTTATGTGTAGTGTATAGCTCTATACTGCTGTCTGAATGAAAACTGTAAATACTGTGTTGTTGGGCATGAATGATTAATTCAAACCCTCAATTTAAAAAAGACAGTGCGAATTGAATAGAGAGGCAAAAATTGTAAGCTGTTGTGGTAGCCATAGTTCTGTCCTTCTAGTGTATAATTTCATATTTTTGTTATTTAGCAATGCATACTTCTCCTCTGCACTTCATATTTACTTCTATATTTTTCGATTTTCATTCCACATTTAATAAGATGGCTCAAGATTTAGAAAAAATGACTTGTTTAAACTTGTCAAGTACACATTTCACCAGATATATCCTCATTGTTTCATAGTCTTGAACATTGCTTATCCCCCTTTACTCTCTCATTTAACCAGATATATCCTCATTGTTTCATAGTCTTGAACATTGCTTATCCCCCTTTACTCTCTCATCTAACCAGATATATCCTCATTGTTTCATAGTCTTGAACATTGCTTATCCCCTTTTACTCTCTCATTTCACCAGATATATCCTCATTGTTTCATAGTGTTGAACATTGCTTATCCCCCTTTACTCTCTCATTTAACCAGATATATCCTCATTGTTTCATAGTCTTGAACATTGCTTATCCCCTTTTACTCTCTCATTTCACCAGATATATCCTCATTGTTTCATAGTCTTCAACATTGCTTATCCCCCTTTACTCTCTCATTTAACATTTTCTAAAGAAAGCTCATTTATTTGTTAAATAGAATCAAGAAAGCCAAAAGACGTGTTCCCGAGGGTGAAGTATCTGTAAGTATTTCACATTGTTTTAGTTATTTTGATCAATGATCAAAGATACCGTAATTAGTTTGAACCCGGCAGTATCGTTACATGTTTGTAAAAGTAGATCGTCCAGGTTGGTAGAGTCATGAGAAGGACTGTTTTTGTTATTGTTGACTGACGTTTCGACAACCTTAGCGGTAGTCATCTTCGGAGTCAAAAAGATACCTTATTTATATATTCCATATTATGTTCTGTGTGTGGTGTGTGCTATATATATACGTATATTTATAAAATAACGTTTTAAAATCATTGGTGCTGATTGGTTGAATGTTCAAAAACTATGATTCTATAACTTGATGGAAACATGGGTATTTAATATTTGCAGGTTGCCCTAGAAATTTGTAAACAATATGTTACCGAAATTAATAAATACATCTTTTTAATTTGTTTGTAAAAGGCTGTTTTATAAATTTAATAGAAAACATATTTACTTGTTCTTGTTAACTGATTGAAGCACATCTGAAGGTTTGGGAGAAACTCAAAATTGCTTGGAAACACATGCACTTTGTGCTCGTATTTGCCACACAATTTCTCATTTCGCCCCGCATGTTTCTACATGGCTAAAACTATATTGAAACAAGAAAAATGTTTTCTGTTTCTTAAACAGTATACTTATTTACTGCACTGTATAAGTGTACAGTAAATAATTGATTATGTCAAATTTTATTATCGCTTTTTAGAAATATACCAGCAAAAATTTAGACTGTTTGAATCTCATGTCTAAAATCAACTGTGTGTTTGTGTTTAAGCAAAGTCTGTATAACTTTTGCATCTCCTATTTGTAGTAGCCTATGGCATTACTAGTATAGATAATTTGGGAGTGAGGACTACATTCATGTACATTGTAGTCCATGAATGTATGTATTTCATTTAAGAAATAAAAGATGTTTATAATGTCTTCACAGGCTTACATATGCAAACCATCTATAATGTGAAACAGATAAACTTAAAACAAAATGTTTAATTTTTACTTTAATATGTATTCATGATTGATTTGCAAATTCTTTTACTACACCACGTATGTGTAGTAAAATGTTAGTTACGTACACCTTGTATGGGTAGTAAAATGTTAGTTACGTATACCACGTATGGGTAGTAAAATGTTAGTTACGTACACCATGTATGGGTAGTAAAATGTTAGTTACGTACACCATGTATGTGTAGTAAAATGTTAGTTACGTACACCATGTATGGGTAGTAAAATGTTAGTTACGTACACCATGTATGGGTAGTAAAATGTTAGTTATGTACACCATGTATGGGTAGTAAAATGTTAGTTACGTACACCAAGTATGGGTAGTAAAATGTTAGTTACGTACACCATGTATGTGTAGTAAAATGTTAGTTAAGTACACCATGTATGGGTAGTAAAATGTTAGTTACGTACACCATGTATGGGTAGTAAAATGTTAGTTACGTACACCATGTATGTGTAGTAAAATGTTAGTTACGTACACCATGTATGTGTAGTAAAATGTTAGTTACGTACACCACGTATGTGTCCTAAAATGTTAGTTACGTATACCACGTATGTGTAGTAAAGTGTTAGTTACGTACACCACGTATGTGTAGTAAAATGTTAGCTACGTACACCATGTATGGGTAGTAAAATGTTAATTACGTACACCATGTATGGGTAGTAAAATGTTAGTTACGTATACCACGTATGTGTAGTAAAATGTTACTACACCATGTATGGGTAGTAAAATGTTAGTTACGTACACCACGTATGTGTAGTAAAATGTTAGTTACGTACACCACGTATGTGTAGTAAAATGTTAGTTACGTACACCATGTATGTGTAGTAAAATGTTAGTTACGTACACCATGTATGGGTAGTAAAATGTTAGTTACGTACACTACGTATGTGTAGTAAAATGTTAGTTACGTACACCACGTATGGGTAGTAAAATGTTAGTTACGTACACCATGTATGGGTAGTAAAATGTTAGTTACGTACACCATGTATGGGTAGTAAAATGTTAGTTACGTACACCACGTATGGGTAGTAAAATGTTAGTTACGTACACCACGTATGGGTAGTAAAATGTTAGTTACGTAAACCACGTATGGGTAGTAAAGTGTTAGTTACGTAAACCACGTATGGGTAGTAAAGTGTTAGTTACATACACCATGTATGTGTAGTAAAACGTTAGTTACGTACACCACGTATGGGTAGTAAAATGTTAGTTACGTAAACCACGTATGGGTAGTAAAGTGTTAGTTACGTAAACCACGTATGGGTAGTAAAGTGTTAGTTACGTAAACCACGTATGGGTAGTAAAGTGTTAGTTACATACAACATGTATGGGTAGTAAAACGTTAGTTACGTACACCACGTATGGGTAGTAAAGTGTTAGTTACGTAAACCACGTATGGGTAGTAAAGTGTTAGTTACGTAAACCACGTATGGGTAGTAAAGTGTTAGTTACGTACACCACGTATGGGTAGTAAAATGTTAGTTACGTACACCACTTATGGGTAGTAAAATGTTCTTGTTTTTCAAATTCACCATTCTTCTGATATTATCCTGTAGACCAATAGTTTCAAAGGTTTCCAAGGATTTGGCACCACGGAGAAAATAGGACAAAAAACTACTTCAACATTTGCCGGCTTTCAAGGCTTTTCAAAACAGGCTAAAAACAGGTACAAAATATAACTGTTTACAAAGACCATTCAAGGACTTTGAATGATTCATTGTTATTTTACTTATAAAACAACGTGAACATTATTCTTACAGAAGATGTTTCCATGAACGTAAACGATTCAAAATCTGATGGAAAAAACGTCGATGTAAACGATGTTTACATGACTAATGTGAAACGTCTTAATGAGGATGTTTGCGAATGGATAAAAAAGCACATCTCTCAAAATCCATATGTTGATCTATCGCCAGTTTTTAAAGACTATGAGAAACATTTATCAACTCTTGAGAAGAAATATCGTTCATATTCTGTGGATGACTGCGATAATAAAACTATGGCTACTGCTGTTACATTTCCAACGTCAATTTCTACTGCAGCGTCTGTAAATTCTTCTGCCTTCACTCCAACATATGGATGTAAGTTATTCTCCATATCTGTCTGTGGAGCACTGGTATATTTATTTGACTTAGCTAAGACTATTGATATGTACGTTGTACATGGTTGTACATGGATTACATGGGAAATACTAAATTGTGAAGCCCACTGATATGATGCAGCGCCATATTAAAATCCCACTCAAATGAGTATTTTTAAGGAAGTGATTTTGACATCGATAGCCTTAGATTTTGAAGTGTTATTACAGCGGAAAGCTTGGTCCTTAACTTGAACAGTTGATCTCAATTTACAAAATTAAAATCAATGCAGCAAGTGTAGAAAACATTTCCTTAGTTGCTTTCCATCAGCGTTTGTTGTTTTCAATCTGCGCACAGCATCATAACACGAATCAAATCAATTAAAATACATTTTCTCAACTTCGTGACTATTCAAAATGGCGACCTTTTTTCGTTTCCGGCTTCAAATTTAATTTGAGATGTGCGATCCATCTACGTAATATAGCTACGTACCTGTAACAAGACAGGTTGTTAGATACATCTCGTGAGCTTTTTGTCATTATTGACTCGCAAATGCGCTAAACAAAAGAGATGTATAACATTACTCCTGATTTTATTCTCTACTTGCTTCTTCTCTGCTTTCATAAGAATTATTAAATATACTGGATATTTATTAATGTCGTTTCAGCGAGCAATCTAAGTCCGGCAACATCAATACCATCAACCAATAATACGACAGAACCTGAGGACGAACCGAAAACACAAAGTCAAATCAAGAGGTACGTATTGAACGATGTTTTGTGTGGGTTATGTGGCAAATTGCGTGTGAGAAATGTTATATACCGCTAGGTCCACCAGGAAAATAACACGTAATTATATGTTCTTTTCATTTTGAGATTCATATTCATGTCTCTTGTTGCCATTGTAACAGAGTTGCCAAACAATTGAAATAAAATACATGGAACGCTACCTGAAGCAAATAATTGAAGCCAAATCTTACACCAGACACACGCGATTTTACCCCAGACTCGCGTGTCTGGAGTAAAGTCACGGCTTCAAAAAATTATTAAGCTTTCGTTTTACAAGTAGCGTTCCGTGTATTTTCTTGCAATATGCAAAACTGTGTCTTCACAAACACGCGTTGATTTTAAAATATAAGAAAAGAACTTATTATACGACGTATTTGCAAGTTCTCTATTTCATTAGGTTTATATTGAACTTGTTTTTTGTGCGATGCGATCTTACTCAGATCAACAAAGCGTAATGGAACTAAATATTTTCTGTGTCATTCTAAATTGACATGATACTTTTTCACCATTTCAGTTCGCCAGAAGAAGATGCTTTTTTCTCACTTCGTTGCAAACTCTTCTTTAAAAAGACAGATGATTGGTCTGAACTTGGTGTAGGAATGTTAAGCTTAAAGAAAATCTCCGATGAAAAGATTCAGGTGATAATACGTAATGATACTGCCTTGGGTAAGATTATTCTTAACGTCATCATTAATGAATCGACCCCCATGTCGAGATCGGGGAAAAACAATGTGTTGCTTCTAAGCGTGCCAAACCCGCCCGTATTTGGTAAAGAAGGCGATAATTCCAAGCCTGTCAGTTATTTAATCAGGGTAAAAAGTGCAGAAAATGCCGAAGAACTTCTCACGAAAATGAAGCCATTGTAAACGTGTGCTGATTACAGAAATATGTGGTTAATCATGTCATCAAGTTCAGTAGAGAAGTACTTGACGGAGTCGTGGTGATGATTTTGTCGATTCTTAATGGAAGGATGATTAGTAAAAAAAGATTTGTAGCTACCTGGGGGCTACTTGGTGAAGTTTTGTAGAATACTAAGGGTTTTTAAAAGAGTGATAATATTTTACTGTAAGACTAAATGGCAACATCTCAAAAATGGCACCCTGAGTTGAACAAACGGAGCTTACTAAATCTGGACAATCACGAAGATGGAACTTTTGCCCACTTATAAACTGCATATATAAATTGCTGAACTCATGCAAACCTTTTGTAGCTCTGTTTTACATACCTTTATTAAAACCTGTGGTTAATATCTATGCTTTCACACTTTGCTAGTGGATTTATTTGTGGCAGTTGTTGTTTGAGACTGAACTCGCGTTGCTTCCGATAAGTTTATTTATAACATTCAATGAAAACTTCTACATTGCAAGAAACTACAAAAACTACAAGTAAGCACATGCTGATACAGGTATTTTACGTAAAAGACGCTACATGGTTGGTTGATAATAATCTATCATGAGATTATGTTCACAATGTAAGGGTGACATTACCAATTTACTACTCTTTCCTTATTTCATTGTAAGGACCTGGCTTGGCAAACACTTTACATTACACTTATACATATGGCAGTGTCATTTTGGCTACATAGAAAATGTTGAAAATGATCGAATTTAACTTTACTTGTTGTCTTTCTAAGTATATTTACTAAGTTCTCTTTGTTGGCAATTAATTAAGTTCATTGTTACGCGCTACCTGCACTTTGCTTCTAATGAAATGGTTTTTAATTTCTATGTGTTTAGACGTTGTTTTTTTTTGAAAAGCGGGTTCTTTGCTTATATTATTTCTCCTTAGTTGTGTGGTTTGATTTTCGCGCTACTGTTCTCTTCCACTATGCTTAAATCACTGCACCCAAGCTAAAGCTGTACACTCTGTTTTACATGCAGAAAGTAAAACCATTTGCTTTTTTCTATTCTTTGAGGATATCAGAGATCCTTCTTCTGATATTGGAAAACCATTTCTTTCACTACCCAATCTAAATGTTTACTCGTTATCTTGTTGTGAAATATTTGGTAAGTTGTCTTTGCTTGCAGAAAAACTTAAGCTCGGTAAGTCGCGCTGTATTTCGCTTCTATTGAAGTGGTATTTGATCTCCATGTGTGTTTAGACCTTTTTGTAAAAAGTGGCGTCCTTTAAATTGCTAATTTTAGTTCCATTGATTTTTGCGCTTCTGTTTTCTTCCACTATGCCTAATTTGCAACATAATTGTTATAAAAATTTACACTCCGTTTCACAAATAGAAAGTAAAACCATTTAAATCTTTCAACAAGGCTCCATCTACAAACATAAAGTTTACGTGACGGTCTGCGAGTGATTGCCTAAACCTTTCCCCGGTCAAGTAATTATTTAATGTTTCATTCCAGTTTCTGCCGCTTTGTTTGAGACCATACAGGGCCTTACTCTGTATTTAATTTGTCAACGAACTTTTCTCCTATCCTAGTCCTATAATTTAAATAACCCTTAATTTACTCAAAACAAACATCACTGTCAACTGAATATGCCCACCACAATATAGATATCTTGACAGAATGTCCACTAGTGTCGGAATCTTTAATGTTCGTGTCCCTCACTTTTATGAAGCATTTTCTAAGAAGACACGCCTTCCAGAAAGATACTTCCGCTAGATCGCAATAGAAAATATAGATGTTTTTACAAATATATTGATTTGCACTAAAAAAGCTTGGAACCTTATTTTATTCAAAAGATGAGAACTCTTTGTAAAAATTGATAACTCATGGTAATCACCAAGACTGACTCGGGTGATCCGCCTCTAAATAAGAATTTGCTACGTTATTTAATATATAACGTTAATCAACTGCACGCTCACTCGTATTAGCAGTTATGCTATGCTGGCTGGCTTATTTTTGACTTAAGATGTGTACCTTCCTGTCTTCTCAACTTGATCGTAAAGTTTTCTGTCCAATTTTTTAGTTTCTTGCTCTCAATTGCAGCAGGTACATAGTACAAAGTGATGGGCATATTTCATTATCCGTTTTACTTTTGTCAATCATAAATTTATCGACTCCATCAAAAATTTTAACTTGCTCTATTTTCATGATTTCTGAGTGATATACTAGGTAAGCTGGACTCTTCTTATCACATCCCACAAAAATGCCTCTTTTACCTCTGGGCTCGAGCTTTCTGGGATTCACTACGTAGAAGCAAAACACACTGAACTGAACCCATGCCTTTTACTAAATTAGACTTGAATCTCGTTAGATCCACACCTGCAGTTATTTCAAAACTATTATTGCTACACCTGTTTGCAATATAGGCAGATGCCATTACTGCATAAGTTTACAAAACTGCGGTAATTTTGATTCTACTGGTAACCATCTGGCCATATTGAATAAATTTAACCAGTCTCTCTTATCCATCCCATTTTAGTAAGGCAAATAAGTCTCAATGAGCAATGTTTCCTGCTTGATTAGACTGTTACTTAAAAGAAATTTGAAGTCATATCCTGCAAAATCTCCTCAATTATCACTTTTGACAAATTTCAGTTTTCCTTTTGTTGCAATTTCAGCAAGAAATTCAATAAACATCTCTTCACATTATATATTCGAACAAAAGAATATTTAGCTACATAAAACCACGGCTGTTAATTGTCTCATTTCACAACTAAATCTGGGCTTGAGCTCGAGATGTCAAAACAAAACCGCAATGAAATGAAAACATTGACACAATACAAAAATTACGAAATAATCTGATAGGACCTTCACAAATCAGCTCAAAAATTAAACGAATCTCATTTTAATACATTACAATTCACTTGATACTTTTCCTATTTAATCTTTACGATCAGTAATCAATAGAGGT